AGCTCCAGCTCCAGCTCCACCCCTCCTGGAGCTGGAGCTCAACCAAACAGTTTCAGCTCCATCAAAATTGGGAGTGGAGTTGGGTGGAGCTCTCTCACAAAATGTACTAGAGTTGTGGAGCTGGGTTTAAGCAGCTCCACAACTCCACTCCAGACTCAACTCTTGGAGCTAAATTTAGAAGTTGGAGCTGTATCAAACAGGACCTTAGAATCATAGTACGCGTTAGTGTTGCTCGTACATAGGGGTTATGTAGGATCAAGGAGGCCGACTAGAGGGGGGGTGAATAGGCGGTTTTAAAACTTAATGGCACTTAAACAAAACTAACCTAAGTTGCTAGGCAAGGTAAGGTGCAAGGTTAACTAAGCAACTAAGTTAAGTTTTGTAAACCTAGGTGATATAGGCTCAAATATGTCTCTATGAATGTAAATAGCACAAATGTAAATGCAACAAATAAATGAGACAATAGACAAGGAATTTTTCACTGAGGTTCGGAAACTCGCCGGTTTCCTAATCCCTGTTGAGGCGAGCCCAACTCCACCGCTCAACCACGAAGCCACCGCACGCCTCCTTTGTCAAGGGGTGGGCAAGGCGGGAGCTGGCCCACGGAGAGGACTACCCAAGCCTCGATCACTCGGGGTAGTTCTTCCTTCACTCCGAAGGTGGTGAACTCCAAACAACTCACAAACGGCGCCGGGCCTCCTCCACAATCTCCTCGGAGAGGTCACCGGGCAACACCTACACAAGCCGTCTAGGAGGCGGCAACCTCCAAGAGTAACAAGTCTAGGATGCTTGCCGAGGATGATCAAGTGCCACACTAGCTATAACAATGAAGCAATGCACTTGGATTGGCTTAACTCACTCTCTAACACCTCACTAGAAAAACTAAGTGCACAAGGGTGTGAGAGCTCTTGCAAGGGTTCAAGATAATGCAATGGAGTGCCAAAACTTTACCCTTGCTGCTGGGGAGTGGGTATATATATACCCCCAACCACCAAAACTAGCCGTTGGAACCGAAATCCCCAACTCTGTGCTCTGTCGGTCAGACCGCTGTTGTGAGGCTGGTCAGACCGGACTACTTTGTAACGGCTAGAAAACTAGCCGTTACAGGGCAATCATTGAGCCTACTCAACCTGGTCGGTCTGACCACAGTGTAGTGGCCGGTCAGACCGTCCACGGCTCGGTCAGACCGCCGTCGGCTCGGTCTGACTGGTTGCGGCTCTGGCGGCTCTGTATCGCCACCAAAAACCAGACCTGTGGGGCCGGTCAGACCGGCCTAAGGCCCACGGTCATACCGCAATTCACTTTTCAGCTCAACCGACCGTTAGTAAAACGACGATATCTCTTGACTCGGGTCTCGGAATTTGGCGTTCTTGGACTTTATGGAAAGCTTATTCAAAGGGCTATCCAACCCATGAACAATCCATCCAAGAAACACAAATTTTCTCAGGGAGAAAGGGCTCACACTCCAAAGGATACTCCACCGGACATAACCACATGAGGCTACCCAAACCTATAGGATTTGCCCACATATCTCTTTGTTTAGGACTTGAGAAAACTCACCACACTTGGCTAGACAAGCCCACCAAATACACCTACATGCATATGAACTAATAAGGCACAAGATCATCCACAAGCTCGCTTCATAGACCCCTCTTGATAGTACGGCGCCTATCTAGCAAATCCGGTCTACACCAAACATCAAGACCGGGAAAAGGCTAAGAAAACATTCTTAGCTACATTATACCTTTGCCTTGCAAAATCCATCTTGGGGTCAAGCTTGAGTCGAGATCAACACTTGTGACCATTTGATTCAACCATGTTTATACCAAGGTATTTACCATCATTTGTCAAGACTTTCTTCTCATTACAAGCTTGATTTCATTCTTACCAACATGGCGATGTCCTTGGCTTGGTGACCATTAACCCATGGTGTCATCCATCAGCCTCATCATAGTGGGACCTATTCCTTTTCACATCTCAAAGGAGAACATTAGTCTCAACAAATCGGTTGTCATCCTTCACTTGATGACCAACCGGTTGCATATGAAAGATATGGATATGTTTCTTGAGTATTCATTAACATCACAAGTGTCATATACTCGTATGCAACCTTAAGTGCAAAGATCCGATATAAATAATAGGTGAATAACATGGATCTAGAACATGCACAATAAATGTATAGGATTTGCCCCCCCTAAATATATGCATACAAATAAATATACAAGAGATGCAAGTGTATGCATAATTAGAGAATGACCAATGGGGGTTTATCCTATACACATAGAGAAGGCATATGTAGTAAAGATGTAGACCAACATAAAACATATACATTCATGATCTCCATGTTCTTAATGTAAATGAGACTAAATAAGATACGACTCGAGTAAACATTAGTCTCACACTTATATAACAATAACATGGAAATCATATATATGAACCTATCAAAAAGTAGGAGATAAGAAGTGGTACATATCGTTTTATCTCCATGCATTTCATCCTTATCATGATTAAGGTCCATCACTAAAGAATGCATATCTACCACATCTCATCATCGGGAAATAACCTAGTTAACAACTTATGAAAAAGAGAGGTTAATCCCATAAACATCGGTTTATCATCTATCATCAAAGCAACAATTACACAAATTGTTTAATCCAAGATCTTTCAATCTTTTCTCTTTTTGGTGATAGATAATAACCCGATATAAACAATATAGAGAGATGGGATGAAAGATGATTTCAAATCAAGGTAGAGATCTTATAATAAACAAAATATATAATAAGCTCCCCCTCAAGATGTGCATACATATGGATATAAAGGAATACATATGCACATAATCAATCAAGATTAATGACGGAGCTCACACTATATTTTGGATCCACAAGAGAGACCAAGTTAGAATATGTGAAGTTTAATACATACCTCTCATCATTTTTATTTTCATATCTAAACGAGACTAGTTAAAGAGAAGCTCATAAAAACGTTAGTCTCATATTATTAGATTTGTCATTAATCACCAAAACTAAATTAAGACACTTGAACTTACAGGTGATGAATAGTAAGGTCCGAAATGAATTTTGTTGTTTGGGGTGGACCGGCCTATGTTGTTTGGAGAGAATGCCAATTCGAGCATCTCAGCTCAGGCGAGTGAAGAGAGAAGGCCAGTTCGAGAAAGGGGCGGTGGCAGCTTCGTCGTCTTTGCATGGCGAACTTGGGATAACACCTTCCCCTTCCGGTGCCATTTCGAGCAGTGGTGCAACGTGTGCAGCCGCGCAAGCCGGTTTCCTAAAAATGTAGAAAATACTGAAAAAAAAGGCTAAAAAAATGGGGAAATTTTCTAAAAATTTTGGTCCATTTCCTATAAATTTGATAACTTCACATTGGCATACACACAATATGCTATACAAATTCATAGAAGGCAATAATTTAGAACACATATGACATTTCACGCACAATTCAATATGCATCTTGACATCCTTCACCAACCGTTGCCCAAATAGAATGCCCACCATCTAAATTAAAGCCCATTAGTACAACTTTAGAGTTCAGCACAGAACACCTCCTTAGTTTTTTTTAACATTTTTTTAACAAGGATGACATATTTGGAATTCAGCATTTTTCTAAAAAAAATTATATGCCAATAGGTTCTACCTATACCATACTATTTATAGTATTTTTTCTAAATATTTTCACTTTTTTTAATCCAAATTTGAATTTGGAAGAAACCCATCGATTTAGAGGAGAACTATTGCCGAGTCACGTAGAAACGTTGGTTTTTAGCAAAATCCAATCGAATTCATTGGTTTTGTAAACCCTGATGCGGAGCAGCTAGTTGGCACCGTTGGGCTAGCAATAGAAGTCGTCTTCGCCCTTCTTGTACACATGAGAGTTGCAACTAGACGACACAATACAAGCCTAACAACAGTCTTTTCTTTCAGTTTATGCCAACGCGTATAATGAAATACCTAAATGATAGGGTTGAAAGTTATAAAATTTGTGCTGGAAGTTTTAAATCTTGGGTAGAGTTTTTTGTTTTTTCAATAAAAGTTAAATTTTTAGTTGGGCATTTCAGAATTTGAAAGTTTTTCAGATCCGGGTAGATGTTTTTTAATTTTTAGTTGAAAATTTCAAAATTTGAGTTAAATGTTTTAAATTTGGGAATAGTTTTTTTAAGCTTTCAATGCAGAGCGCTTAAAGTTTCTTATTGTGATTTGGGTTTTGCAAATTTGAGTATAAAATTTTGAAGAAAAAAACGGATTTTCAAATTTTGAATTTCTATTTAAAATTTGAATCTCTAATCGCCTTGTTCTTTGGATGGTTTCGATTCGATCGAGAGGCGTGGCTTCAGCGATATTGCCTCTCAACAGGCAAGTTTTCCTTTTGCCACTGACATGTGCAACGCAAGCTATTGCTAGCAATACTCGGAACGGGAAAAGCGCCAATAATGGCCCATGAAGAAATGGTAACTCTGCTAAGCCACCAGAGGATGGACTTGCGTCGAAGTTTCGTGCCGAGCGGATCAGATCAACCAGGAATGGCACCTCTCTGCTATACCTAGCATAAACATAAGCTCACCAAAATACAAGCGAGTAAGGGGAGAGAGGGCCAATTCGAGCAACGGGTGGTGACCGGCCGCGTCGTCGTCTGCAGCGAGCTAGGGATCAGTAGAACGTAACGCGCCCCCTCCTGATTCTCGAATCGGCGTGAGCCTTTCGCGGCAATTGCCGGTTGCCATTCGCACGCTGTGCTCGCTTGCAGCTGGTGCAATGGCGCGTGCTACCCCCATCCCTCAGGTGCCATTTCGGGTAGTAGCGCAACGGCTCTGTCGACCACTGCTCACACTGGTAGGCTGTGTTTAGGCTGTGTGTTTAGTTCCTTCAAAAGTTGAAAGTTTGGGTTGAAGTTAGTATGATGTGATTGAAAAGTTATGTGTATGATATGTTGATGTGATGGAAAAAGTTGAAAGTTTGAATCTAAACACAGCCTTAGTTCCAAAGTTTTTTTTCCAAACTTTCAACTTTCTATCACATCAAACCTTTCATACACAGACAACTTTAAAGTCACATCATCTCTAATTTTAACCAAATTTTAAACTTTGGGCTGAACTAAATACAGCCGTAGTCTGCTCCCGCCTCCTTGACTCCTTCGATCCGCCCATTGCCATAGAACACACCTTTTGGTGTCGTGCCATCCATCGCTCATGGCGCTCAGAAAGCTTTCCTCCCTCCTCCTCGTCGCCCAGCTCCTCCTCGTCGTCGTCGGCGGCGCGAGCGCCATTGTAGCCCGCGGTACTCAGCTCTACACGACCGGCTACTTCCCTCAGATCGACTGCTCCCCGGCACCGATGGCGACGTCCACTGGCAGCAACGGCACCGCGTTCCGCGCCAACCTCCTCACGCTGCTCGCCAGCCTCCCCGACCAGGCCGCGCCGACGGGTTTCGCCTCCATGCAGGCCGGCGCCGGCGGACGGGCGCCTGGCGGCGACGACGACGACCGCGCGTTCGCTCGCGGCTCCTGCCTCGGCGACTCCACGCCGTCGCAGTGCCGCGACTGCCTCGCTGCCGCCGTCATCGACGTCGCCGAAGGCTGCGGCGCGGACACCCGCCGCGCCGGCGCGTGGCTCAGCGGGTGCTACCTCGCCTACGCCGACACCGACGCGACCTCGCCCCGCGAGAGCGCGTTCCACCGGTGGTTCTTCGACGGCGACATCCTGCCGTTCAGCGACAACCTGGACCCGACGTTCCTCGACCTGGCCAACGGCGCCGTGTCGGCGCTCGCCGCCGCCGCCGCGAACCGGTCGGGGTCGGGGCGGACGATGCTGGCGGCGACGCAGGAGTTCGACGACGGCGCCAACACGGGGCTGGCGGGGAGCGTGCTGGCGCAGTGCGCGGCGGGCCGCGCGCCGGCGGACTGCGTGCAGTGCCTGCAGGACTCGGCGCGAGCGATGCCGAGATGCTGCTGGAACGCATGGGGGCTGGGAGAGAGCGTCGCTGTCGCGCTGAGCTACGACTGCGTGCTCCAAGTTCACCATGCACCTGGCCTCTCCGGCGGCAAGCCTTGGTGGAGGAGCTCTCCGTCCGTTTGCCCTCGCCGTTGGAGCAGCAGCGCTAGCAATAATCATGTAGTAGTAGTAGTCGTCATGTTCGAATCGAGTGAAGACAATTTGCAGTAATATAACCACCTGTAGATAAGCTTTCATGGAGTCATGGTGCTCGATCGAGTAGTAGAAATAAATGGTCATATGTAGTACTAGGGATTATGTGTTAGGATAACAGTAGCTTATCATGTGTGTTTTGTTTGCAAAATGCTATGCCCAGCTAGCCGCTAGCGTTACGAGCGTCCACCGCCAACCCATTCTGCAGGGTGAAAGATTGGACCCCTTTGTGCGGCCCATGGGGCGGTGAACAGAATCACCCCGCACGACGCACACGCGTTCGCCGCGCGCGCGCGACTACGCGACCGTGACCGCGACGCGGGCATATTTGCAAAAAAAAAAAATTGTGAATAAAACTTTTATATACATGTTTTTACCGATCTAAAAGCAAAGACTGAAAAATAAATTTCGATAAAAAAACCCCTCAAAATTAAATTTAAATCTAAGATAGAAAATTTAAGTTTTAGCTGATAAGTATAAGCATAAGTGAAAAGATAAGGCTTTTGAGGGCCAGTCGTGGTATCGGGGCAAGGCCGGGATGTGCCGGACTGCCGGTGCGCCACCATACACTGTGAAACTAAAAGAAAATCTCACAATTCACAACTATACGTTATGAAATAGCCTGCGGCTAACTCGGATGCGTAGGAAGCAATGGTGACCAGTTTGCCTTTGCCATCACAGGAGTGAAAACAATAACTAAAAATAGAAATGGTAAAAATAAAAAAACGATTTTATTGTTCTACCAACCGTTTCTTTAATTTACCAAAGTCTCATGAAAAATGCTACATTTATAATACGGTAATCACCGTATTTTTAAATATCTCAATATTTATCGTCCATGTATCTATGTGACCCGTGACCCGTAGTTTTGAGACCCATAAATATTTATCAAATTTCTAATTTGAGTACAAGGCTAGAGGAGAGACAATATTATATAGTCATGTTAAGTTAAACATCGAGTTTAATGTTTTCGATATTCATTACTGGTTTCCGATCGATATTGACATGGTTTTGTTCATGTAGTCACGTTTTCAGTATTTTTGATATCATTTTGTTTTCAGCCTCATCGTTATCGGTTCGTTTCCGAGAAATATATGATTACTTAAACGGCTGATGCATGTTGTTTTCCAATCGTTTCATCCCTAGACATGGCGTTGCAAGCTATTAATTGCTAGCAATGCTTGGTACGGGAAGGTGCAGTAGTTAATGACCCATGGGAAAAGGTTTTTGGAATGGCCTGCTTGGCGTTATATTAATAAAAGGAGTTTATGCACATAGCAAGAGGTAGAACAAAAAGGAAAAAAAATGTATATTACTGACAGCAAACATGCTTACACGTTAGTCCATCTTACTCCCCATGACAACAATCTTGCAACGTGTTTTGCGCCGGCCAAGTTTCAACAACCCCAACTCATTGACCCATGAGAAATTGTTAAACTGGTAGCACACACCATAGTCCATAGGACTTTTCTTTTTGAACGAATCGACGAGCGCCAATTTTATTGAATAGAGAAGGAGAATTTTACAAAGCGAAAGAAAAAAAGGAAAGGAGTTAGGACCTTTGGTCCGAGTTAACTAAAAGAAAGCCAGCTATTAAGACTTCTCGCTCCTGCTAAGGCCCAAGTTTTGACCTCTTCCTTGATCTTGGCTAAAAGAGAGGTAGCTGAAAGCTCCTTCTGTTGGAAGGTTCTGCGATTCCTTTTGTTCCATATCTCCCAGGCGACCAACAACATCAAAGTGCGGAGTATCTTCTTAGGTGTCTCTTGCATGTTTGCGGTAGCCTCCCACCAATCTAGCACCGTTGAAGTTTGCCGCCATTGGCTAGGATTTAGTTGCCGCCATAGGACTTAATTGCACCGGAGTTTCGTGCCGAACAGACCTGCCAGGAATGACAACGCTTAAGACCGTAAGCTCACGAAAATAGAAGAGCATAGCGCTTAATAAGCGAGTAAAGGGAGAGAAGTCCAGCCAATTCGAGCAACGGGTGAACTAGCTAGGGAAACAACTTTCGGCTGAGTAAGTTCGGAGTGACGCCCTCTTGATTAGCGAATTCGGCGGAGCTTTTCGCCGCAATTACCCGTTGGCCATTCACAGTGCTTACTTGCAGCTACTGCAATGACGCGTGCTAACCTCCCGTGCCATTTCGAGTTGTGGCGCGTGCGTGTCCAGCCGAGGGTTTAATTTTTCGGTTTAGTGTTTTGACTTGGTGGTGGTCGAAATACCGAAATTTTCAAAATTCTGAAATTTTGATCCGAAATCATATGAATTTTTGAATAAAATTTGGTTAAATTTGAACAAAATATTACCAAATTTATGAAAAAAATGAAAAAAAATTCAGCCGAAATATTATTGTATCGTGGTCTGATAGAACCGAAATTTCGAGCTGAAATTATGAACCCTGGTCCAACCGCGCAGAGAGGCAGCGGCTATAGCTAAGGGCAATAGCAGTGCAAGCTATGGGGCCCATATCCCTAGTCCAAAGTCACAACTCAAAGACACTCACCCCACAGTGAAAGCACCCATATATGTGTGGCTTAATTGGATAGAGAGAGAGAGGTGAAGCCGTGAAGGAAACGAAGCGATACCCTACAGGAGGACACAGGACGCGACCCCAAATTTATTTTCCTCACCTACCCCTCACCCTTAGCAGGACTCAGCTTGGGTGACATTGCGAAGGCAAGTCACAGCGTGACATTGGGAAGATCTGGACCATCCAAAATAAATCCAACGGAGATGGCGCTTGGGCCCGCCTGCAGGTCGAAATTATTCCCCAATCCATCCATCCCGACGGGAGACGGCTCCCCCAGCCCCAATCCATCCATTGAACGCGTGGAGCAGTGCGCTCGTTCGGCCGCCGCCACGAGCCAACTGGGAGCACGCGCCGCCGCCGTTACTGGAGCGCCGGGCTCGCCGCGAGTGGGGAGGGGACGGGGTGACCACCGCGCGAGGCGCCCGACGCTCGCCTCACCCGCGTCCGGCCGTCGCCGGGAGCCAGCTGGGAGGCTCGTCGCCGCCGTGACTGGAAAGGCGCCAGACCGCCGGGCTCACCGTGAGTGGGGAGGGGACTAGGCGATCTCCGCGCTAGGCCGGGGCCAGGCCCTGCCGTGCCGCCACGGCCGGAGGAGCGTGGAGGCGGCCCGCGGCCAGCTGCCGGTCCAGACGTCGCGCTGGTGGGCCCAGCTCGGCGCGTGGAGGAGACGAGCCTAATGGCTTCATGAAGTACCTGAGACAAGCCCTGGTGCAGTGGTGCGCCCAGCTCAGCGCGTGAATGTGTGTTGATTGGGTTTTTTTTTCTCCTTTTTCAAGTTACTGTGTTGTCCTGTGTGCTATCCTCTGCTCTTCTCAGTTGAGGACCTAAAAATCCTGAATAGTTCAGAGTTTCAGCATTGATCACCTCCATACAAAAGAATTTCACATTTATGATAGCTGTGCCATTCCAGAGCCTGACTGATGCAAATGTTAGAATTAGCCGGCAAAAACTTGGCAAGTAACAATAGAAGTTGTCATCTGTAGGATTAGCAAGACAGCAGCCAATGACTGGTAGCAGCGCAGCCTCCTCCAGGATGTCCCCTCCTCCACGCGCCGGGCTCAGGCTGGGCGGCCGGCCGTCTACACCACCGCGCCGTCAGGCCCAGCGGCCGTCCGCCTCCACGCGCTCGGCAGGGCAGTGCCTCGGCGGCCTCCACAGGTCGCGGCAGGGCAGGGAGTTGGCCTCGCGCGGCGGCTGGCCCGGTTCAGTCCGCACTCGCGGCGAGCACGGAGGCCTGCGCAGGCACGACGGCGGCGAGCCTCCCAGTTGATTCGTGCTCACAGCGATGGCCGGACGCGGGCGGGCGAGGCGAAACGACGATGCGAGCGCGCGGGAAGGATCGGGGGCGGGCGCCGTCTCCCGCGCTGGATAGGGGCTGGATGGGCAGCGAAATTTCGACCTGCAGGCGGGTCCAAGCGCCATGTCCGTTGGATTTGTTTCGGATGGTCCAGATCTTCCCAATGTCACGCTGTGACTTGCCTTTACAATGTCACCCAAGCTGAGTCCCCCTCAGCACGTCTCCTCCTTCGCCTCGCCTTCTCCTCCCTCTCCTCCCTCGCGGCGGACGCCGGGGACACCGCCGCCGTGCGCCTCGCCTCGCCATCGACCGCGCCGCCCGCTCCGCCCGCGCTGCCTACGCCGCTCGCTCCTCCTCCCGCTCGGACTCAGGAGCTGTGGGGGCGGCTGTAGTGGACGGCGCGCCGCCGACGGTGGGAGCGGCGGGAGTGGACGAGACGCCGGGGACACCGCCGCCGTGCGCCTCGCCTCGCCGTCGACCGCGCCGCCCGCTCCGCCCGCTCCTCCTCTCGCTCGGACTCGGGAGCGGTGGGGGCGGCTGTAGTGGACGGCGCGACGCCGACGGTGGGAGCAGCGGGAGTGGACAAGACGGCGCCGACGGGCGGCCGGCGGCAGGAGCGGACGGCTTCTACACCTCTGCGGCGCAGGAGGCCGTCGTCGCCATGGAGGTCGTCGTGGCGACAGCGGCGGCGGTGGATCTGTCCGCCGCCCCTCCCCTCTCCCTCCCCCACTCCCTTGCTTCGATCGCTTCTGCCTCCGGCGACACGTATGTCCATCTATCTCGCCGCCGCCGCCATTTTTGTTTCTTGGGAGCTCGCCGGTGACGTGGTATGTGTGTTGGTGGTGTGTTCAGATTTGTTGATTTATGTTTGATTTTTGTTTCCTTGCCCTCGATTTGTGTTCTTTGATTTGTTTCATTGTTCTGATTTGGTTTTGATTTTGATTTGGGTTGATGCAGCTGGAAGTGTGCTAGGCGCCTCCCTGCTCGTCGGACACCCCGGTGGCAACTGCGGCGCCGTCCGACGAGATGGCGAGGCCGCCCTGGATTTTGCTGTGGTGGGAGTGGATTTGGAGGGCGTATCGGGGATTTCGCCCTTGGATTTCGCCACGAGGGCACGCGTGGGCGAAGCCACAACGCTCACAGCGCGCGCGCCTCCAGTCTTCTCCTCTGCTCGCGGCATCGTTTTGACGAAGTCCTGCGTCGCTCAACATGGAGATGAGGTTCCAACTTGAGACGCGGGTTCGAGCGCCACGGCAGCAAAAATCCAATGTGTCGCCCCATAGCACCGGTCCAGGGTGGAGCGCTGTGAAAGGCCTAATAGCTGCACAGTGTGGTGGCATTGAGCTCACTCGATCGCCTTCATAAAGAGCGGTGTAGCTTCGAGCTACGGCATGCAGTTCGTATCCGGCCTGGCGACCTTGGTGTCGTGCAATCCATCGCTCATGGCGCTCACCAAGCTTTCTTGCCTCCTTCTCGTCTGCGTGACGTCGACGGCCACCGGAGCCAGGTACTTCCCACAGATCGACTGTTCGCCGGCGCCGACGTCCAACAGCAGCAACGGCACGGCGTTCCGCGCGAACCTCCTCGCGCTGCCCACCGACGACCTCCCCGCCCAGGCCGCCGCGACGAGGTTCGCCTCCACGCAGGCCGGCGGCGGCGACCGCGCGCTCGCTCTCAGCGTCTGCCTCGGCGACTCTACGCCGGCGCTGTACCGCGAGAGCCTCGCCGCCGCCGTCGCGGACGTCGTCGCGGGCTGCGGCGCCCGCGCCGGCGCCTGGCTCGACGGGTGCTACCGCAGCTACCTCGCCGCCTACGCCGCCGACACCAACACGACGATGTCGCCCAGCCCAGCGGGGGGCGAGTTCCACCGGTGGGTCGTCACCGGAGACGTCCTGCCGTTCAGCGACAACCTGTACGCGACGTTCCTCGACATGAGCAACGGCGTGGCGGCGCGGATGCTGGCGATCGACGTCGGAGCAGCCACGACGAGGACGGGGCTGGCCGGGCGCGTGGTGGCGCAGTGCGCCGCGGGCGTCGCGCCGGCGGACTGCGTGCAGTGCCTGGAGGGCGCGGCGCGAGAGATACCGAGATGCTTCCGGGAGGCACGTCGGGAGGAGCAGGGAGAGGGCGTCGGCGTCGTGGTGAGCGACGACTGCGTCCTGCGTTTCGACATGACTTCTTCGCCAGCGCCTCGGACGTCAGACACCTGTGATGGGACTTGCAAGCTGTTAGCCCTCGCCTTCGGAGTAGCACTAGGAATAATCCTGTCATTCACGTTCAATTTGCAGTAACCATCGCTATAGCAGCTTGATGGAGTCATGGTGCTTGGAGTGGTAGAAATAATGTCTGTCTGGGGGGGTAGAATGGTTGCCTGATGTTAGCAACTTAGTAGTACCATGTTTCTAGTGCTTTCAGTGACACTATTCTAGCCGGTTGTGTGCTTCTTTGTGATTTGCAATGCTATGCTCAGCTAGCTGAATATATGCCATATTGTCACCTCGGGAACTAGATAGAGCTATGTGTTCCATTGCATTGCTGGGGAAAATATATGGCGCAAACCACGTATGTAATGTAAACACTTAGAAATTACTGTAGGAACGAAAAGTAAACATATGAGATTTGTCCATGTCATCCCCGAATTTTACTTACAGTGTCGATAAATCTCAGACGCTCATTCTTTTTATACTACAGTGGTTTTTAGGTTTGCAATACATGGTTTCCCGCATTGCCGCTGTAAAACACATACAGCTGAGAAAGGCAGAAAAAGTTCTTTGGCAGATCTTCGGTCAACCGGTAAAACGCCAATTCTCAAGACAGGAAGTCTAATACAAAAGTCAGTAATGGCTCATTCGTAGACGGAAAAAACGAAGGATTATAACAAACACAAACCTTCTTCACCTTACAGAATCTGACCCAGGGTGCAACTACTCCATTTAAACTCATGAAATTTAGTTTACAAAAAGAGAATTATACTGTACCTCCTACCCCTTTAGTATTGAACAAAAATATATGTAAGATGTACCTGAAGAACCGCTGTACACTCTATGGAGAACTATACTTTTGTAGAAATACAATTGAAGGCTGATTCATCTTCTGTGTCTTACAAACAATATATGATGGGAGGTACAACATGCGCCAAAAATGCCTTCATTATACAAGCAACTTTCGTTTTGTGGAATCCGCTCTAATTAGTTTATGCCCGCTTCCATACAATAACTGTACCATCTGAATCAGATGAGGCAAGCAAATTTTCCCCATGACTCCAGGCCACTCCAATTACTGGAGAACCATGTCCCTTCACGAATGAAAATAGTTTCATCGGTACCTTTGCCATGGAACCAAAGTTTAAGATTCCAAAAATAGAAGAAGCACTGAACATACCTGAAGTTTATTTACACACGAGTTCTTTGGCCGTGTCAAATCGTAGAAGTAAACATTTGCATCCTCACTGCCCGTGACTTTACATTCAGGAGGAAAAAGGAATCAGATTTAAACAAAAACCCAGCTATGCATTACAAAGAACAGAACATAGGGTACAAAATGGTCCACCTATTTGCCAAAGCCAGTCATCATACATTGTCTCACTAAGTTCAATTAAAATTGTAAAATAATTAATTAACAAAATTTGTAATGATAACTTGTGTCAAGTGTCATTGTCGGCTTGCTACTTCATTGAACTAAAAGACAAGTTTACAAAGGATAATGCTAACACAACATGTGAGGGCAGGCAATACACAAAATTTGCAGTAGCAATTGAGTGCTGGCTGACATGAACAGTATCAGAAATGAGAGTTTGGATTATCAACAGCTTTAAGATTGAGGTAACCAACAAGCAACAACTGAAAAGGAAAAAAAAAGGTTTTATTTTTACTCACCAATGAATTCTCCTTTTTCGAGGGAAAGGAGTGGACAGAAAGAAGCACGGATGCTCTGCACCGGTGACGCCAATTTTAGGGAGCATATTAGGGTCAAGTATCCCTTGGAATCTGTTGCAATGCTGAAATGACCAACAACACAAATAGTTACAAAAAAGTAGAGTTAACAGCATAACATACAGTAATGATCACGCACCTGAAGAAAAACAAGTTTCCATTTTGAACACAAGAAAGGAGGACTGGGCAACGTGCCACCAGAGAGAAGGTGCGGTATTGGATGGTTGTAACAGGAGATTTGCTTTTATTGCTCTTGTTCTTATGAGTTCTAGATAATGAACCCGTGTGTGAATTCACACTAACAGTATATATGCAACCCTACACATTTCAATTACCAATTGAAAATTATGAACATCGTATATTCATTTTAGCAGTAAAAACAAACCAAATCAATGGATACCTGAGCGTCCCCAGCAAAAATAAGTTGTCCAGTGTGATCAACATCCAAAGCTGTAACCGCATCATCAAAGGTAAGCTTGCTGACTATTCTCCCAGTGCTAAAATTAATGGCCTATAATAGATAGAGATATGGATCACAACCATCGACATTAAAAGGTACAAGCAAAAGAATGTAAAGGGGAAATGGTAGTCATTAGGTGATATATTTTCTAATTTAATCAGAAGAAAATCATCTTTAGTGAATAAATAACCAGAATAAGAATAACACATTCATTTTTCCATTACTATCACAAAACAGAACATTCAAGGGAAGGCGCAGATTAATCAGCAGGCAAAATATTGGAGTATATGAATTGCTGGGAGCAAAAGGTCAGGAATCGTACATTGATTTCCCTGTTTGCATTGCCAACTAACAGTAAATTATTATTCACCTGCAAAAAAAAAAAGAAGAAAGAAAACCCAGTAAACATATGATAAAGTAGACCATCCATCCTGGTTACTACACAAATAATTTTTATGAATGCGAAGTGCAAATAAGATTGGTGCCAACAAGCGAATGGGATAAGTATGCATTCTGCAAAGGCGGGACTTACAGGATGAAAGCAGATACATAGCTGGGAAGAAACCCCATATACAACCCTGATACAAGTGCCTTTTGAGATCTCCCATACTCTCATAGTTTTATCCATGGAGCACGAAGCTATGTACTGGTTATTAGATGAAAAATCAAAATCTGTAATGCAGTTAGAATTCGAAGCTCACTAAATACTAAACATTGAAATAATAGATAAGTACAACTCAATTATTCTGTTTTAATTAGCATCCATCCAAATCCATAAATTATTCATGCAACTTTTTTGTGGCTATAACAAACAAAAACTACATGTGCAGCAATTGTAAATGCTCAGCACTAGGAGATACTATTGATGTTACAAACAGCATGATAGGCATTTAAAATATTGGGAAGTCACAATTAACTGAACTATCATTCTATATTATTAAGATAAGCATCGAATAAGATCCCAGTAACATTGAGGGTACATTGCAATGCTGATTTTTGCACTTAGCTTCATATGCAATTTGATCATCCCTAGTAACACCCTTGTACTAGAAGCTAAGCACTTTTCCTGAGCCACGTAGGTACATAAATAAAACCATATAAACAAGTAATGATTGTACTCTAACCTGTAATATCTTTAGAATGCCCTATTAATTTTTGAAGAACAGTTGGTGGGTCAGAAACCTGGCAGACTGTTAAACTGCCATCAGAAGCACCATATGTAAGTAGATCTGAACTTGCACGACCAAATTTCAATATTGTAACTGCCGGGAGTAAAATCAAACTTTCGTTAATATATTATCCAGATCACTAAAACAACAATAATTTATTACCGTCAGAGATGAAATTTTGAAATTGTGCACCATGACTATAAGGCAACAAACCTGATGCTTTGCAGTCGTCAAAGATGCAATGCATTCCAACAAATGAGTATGCAGGCTCGGCAAATCTGACATGACGCTCAGGATCACTCTGCTTTGAGCTGATACTAAGATTGCGGAGCAATGGTCCGCTGTTCCTTCTCAAGTCCTGCAGCAAACAAGTACATGACAATTCACAACAAGTTGTGATCACTCCACAAAGGTATCCGCACAAATGTAATGGTGTATCAACGATAATTTACAATGTGGCTAATGCAGCAAACAATAAAAGATACCAACCTTGCTAGAACTCCAGCTATCCGCCTCGGAGAATGCAGCATAGGCAGGAGAAGGAGCCCACCTTCCACTGGTAAATTGCAATATCCACAGTGTTAGAATTCACCTCCAAAATCATACTACATATTCAAATGATTAATCTTAAGAGAAAACTAGTGGATGAGCATAAGAAAAGCTCAGAGACACACAAAGGTAGCGAGCCTGGCTACATTTTTTTTGTTCTCGTTTCGTTAGGTAAGGGCAGGGCGACGAGGTGCGGAAGAAAAAAAAAACGAAACAAAATCAAGACGCACCTGTTGCTGGACGTGCTGGCGCAGCTGGAGGCGGCGCCACCGTCGATGCGGCGGAGGAGGAAGTTGCGGTAGGCGACGTAGCCCTTCCCGTTGCACCGCCACTCCTGCATCACCACCCACCCACCCAATCCAACCCAATTCATTCATTCCCCATGGCCAAAAAAAAAACACTACGCGCGCCAATGAGGGATCTGAGAAGAACGAGAGGAAGGGCGTACCATACGGTGTTGGAGCGCCGAGGGGGGCTTGCGGCGGAGGAGGAGGCGGCGGAGGGCGGCGTAGTCGTCGTCGGGGCGGGAGGAGGAGGAGGAGGGTGTCGGGGGCTGGAGCACGCAGCTGAGGAAGTCCGGGTCCGTCGGCCGGGATGGGGCGGGCGGGCACGCCGCCGCGGAGGCGGTGGAGCCGCCGGCCGTTGCCTCCATTTTTGCCCCGCCGCCGCCGCGCGCGCGCGCCCGCCGGCGAGAGGATCGGAAGATGTGGCGGCCGCGCGAGCCGCTTCGGATCTCGGGCGTACGGGAGAATTAGTTGGCAAAAGTCACCGTTTCTTTCTCTTTTTTTTCCCTTTTTCTTTTCCCCGTGACGACTTGTGTCCGGTTCTCGTCCTGAGTCTCCTGACGTCTTCATAAAAGGCCCATCTTCTGATGATCCCCCCGACACTTCGTAAAAGGCCCATTGGGCTTCTTCACTGAACCCTAGATAAAAATTCCCTAGCCTCTTCCAACTCTGTCATCTCGTGGCGGCTGGCGAGCGGCGACGGACGGCTCGACGGCTCGACGGCGCGGGAGGCCGGCAGTCTGCGCCGCAGGCCTAGGCAGAAGGGGAAGCCAAGGAGCTAAGGAGCAAGGCAACAAAACAAGAAAATGGTTAGAAAGAGAGAGGCAGAGGAAGGTCTTGGCATCACGAAGAGGTGATATATTTGTTCGATGGTTTAGAATTCCAGAGCATTGCAAATTTAAAAATGTACAAATTTGTGATTGTGTAATTGATGCTAACTCTTTGCATGGAGATAATGTTTCATGAGGCACACTTTTTTTTTTTCGTCCTCCGCAACTGCTTAAAGGCACATATAGGGCTATGAAACTGTGATGGTTTTACAACGGTTTTTACTGGTTATTGACCCACATTTGGCATTTTTTTTATTGTTTCTGTGTCAGTGTTGGAAAGATGCTGACATTGAAAAGGGGTCTTGATGATATCACCATAAGCCCAAGTACGAGTAAAAGATCTTGCAATGGAGAGGAGATATCTGGTTTGCTCTCTCTGTGTGTGTGCGCGCACACGCGTGTGTGTTCATGTTTCTTGTAGCTCTATTTGAGTACTCAGTTGTGCTATGTTTGTTTAATTAGGTGAACTCATTGAAGAGGTCCCATCCAATTTTAGTAATGTCGTATCACTTGCTTTATCTGATGGTGATTACGTTGTTATACTCTTCTTGGTTTGCCAAATATATATTTATTAACGTTGCTAGGTATAAATGATCTAAGTTACTCTTCTTGTGTAGGACACTCTGTGTTGTTTGCATGCTCAGGCATAACTATAGAACACAAGCGTAACTTCACAAGGTTTTTGACTTCAGCAAGTTTGGTTAAAGCTTTCAATGATAAAACAAAAGACCGTGATAACTTAAAGGTGGTGTTGCTAACCATCCTTTACTATTTTTTGCTGTTTACATAAGATATAATTGCGATCATTCGATAACATCGCAGTATAATTATAGATCGAAGTGCGCTGTGAAGGCAATTTTGTCGTAGGGTGTTTGGATGAATATGATTTAGATCACGAAATTGCTTTTGTCAAAGTCATGACCTTCCTTAATGTTCACGAGGTGCTTCCCAATCACGTGATGAAATATCTGTCCGGGAGTAAGGTAGTAGCTGTAGGACGTGATATCTCTGGCAAATTAATCACCACAGATGGGATGCTAATTAGCGATTCAAATGGATCTGAAGATGCTGAAGAGTTTATGTTGTCCACATGTAAAATCTCTGAGGTATACTTTAAACAGAAGTTCTTCGATCTATCTCTATTACTAAATGCACTTGTAGGCATCATTTGTATGCAACCCGTGTTCTGTATAACTCTATTTTGTTGATTAGTTCCTATGTAACCCTTGTTGCCTGCCATTTTGTTTACATGCTAGGGTTGGGAAGGTGGGGCACTGTTTGATTCTGATGGGAACCTTATTGGCATGAACCTTTTATTTCTTGTGGGAAGATCCCTTTTCCTGCCGATCAGTATAATTATTGAACGGTTGGAGTATTTTCGGACATCCTACCGAAGGAGGAAATTTTTTGCATTGGCAACAAAATTGAAGGCAATCAGGTATGCTTTATACATTTTCCGAAAAAAAAAATCTATTTTGAACTTTTCAACCACTTATAAGGCATGTAGGTATTGAATAATAACAACTTGATTCTTTGCTACCTCTACCAAGATATTAGGGTTACACTAGTTGTCCTATTAGCATGTTTCACGGTTTCTCTATAGCAAACTAGATTTGCAATTGTGACTATGAATTCATTCTTATATTTCTTGAATCAATTGTTGAAGGCAATATATTTTTCTAATTAAAAGGCATTTTGTTCATATTAGAACTAGCATGATGGCGCGCGCAGATTGCGCGGCTAGCATCCTTATATTTTTTTCTCACATAATAGCATATATATTTTACATTTCATTATTAAAATATATTAAAATTATAATATAATTTTATTTTAAATTGTGTACTAACTTGACCAAACTAACCAATGTGTAATATTCATATTGTATTCTATATACGCAATAGTTATTAATTATTTGTTTAATTCTAAACTTTAGTTATTTTGTATTTTTATATGATCATGACTCTTCTTTCAATATTCTTTTATTTTTTTTAATTCTAAATTTTTCATTATTTATAAATCTTACACCTATATATACTTTAAACCCTTCTTTCAATATTTTTTATTTTTAAATTCCGAATTTCTGATATTTATTATTATATGTCTACATGGAATCTAAACTCGTCTTTCAATATTCCTTTTTTTTAATCCGAATTTTAGTTATTTCTAAATTGTATTCCCATATGGACTCTATAATATTCTTCCAATATTTCTTTTTTTAAAATTTTGGATTTTAATTATTTATAAATTGAATTTCTATATGGACTCTAAACTCAACTTTTAATTTATTATTTTTATTCTGAATTTCAATTAGTTCTAAATTACTATGTGGACTCTAGACTATTCTTGTAATATTCCTTATTTTTAAAAATTTTGAATTTTTATTGTTTCTAAATTGTATATCTATATGGATTCTACACTTTTCTTTCAATATTCCTTATTTTCTAATTTCAAATTTTAATTATAAATATTTCTATATGGACAGAATCTCTGCTTTTAATTTTCTTATTTTTAATTCCGAAATTCAATTAGTTCTAAATTGTATACCAGGATGGACTCTAGTCTTCTCTTCCTATATTCGTTATTTTTAATTCCGAATTTCAGCTATTTTAAATTGTATTCCTTTGTGGACTCCGTTTTTTTCTTTTTCTCCGATTAATATGAGAATTTCTAGGCTATTAGAGCGAACGTGGAGCCTTCGTTTTCTATTCCTTTAATAAGTTAATAGATAGACGTGCACATTAAAAAAGATTGTGTTGTTTCGTGGCACTGAGGTTCTGTATAAACATCCTTTCAATTATCTTTTGTTTTATTAAAATAATCATATCCATTGTACTCAGGTCATATTTATTCCTACATTTTGTGTAAATGCAGATGTTGCATATTGATGCACTGGTTTTGATCCATTTTTTCCTTTGGAGAAGTACTCATGTTGATGCTCTTTCGCAGGGTTGGAGGAAGACTCTCAATTGAGATGCCTAAGTCCCTTCTAGAAGGTGAGCACAAAGCCACCCCCAAATATTTCTCTTGTATGCAATTCATCATCATTTTTTATTTTATCCTCACAAGTGCAAATTTAGCTCTCATTTGATATTCACAATACATACTATATGCTATAGTGTCTTGCAGTTGCACTATCCTAGTTTTAGTGCTAATCAGTTAGTCTTAGATTATGCTCATGGGCATGCAAACTGAGCCATTCTAATATGAGTTGTTGCCCAAGTTCTCATTATATAATCTAACATTTGATTATTATGTGCATAATTTTACGTGAATGTCATTCATCCATATGCCAATGCTAACTTTACCTTTGTTGCAGATGTTTGTGATGAGGATCAATTTGAGTGTCTAGACTCCATGGGTTATCCCATGCCATCAATAAGTATGGCCAACGGTGAATCGGTGCTTGTAAATTAATCTGCAGATCTTTCCTACATAATATGAGCACAACATTAGCTACCCTCTGATGGTTGTGTATCTATAACCAGATGGCATGGTTTTGGTCAACACTTTTGAAGAGACTTTTGGCGACTTGTATGATGAAGGTGTCTGGAGTGAGCTCAGCAAAAATGTTTCTTCAAGAATATCTCGAAATGTTGTCTCGCTTGCTTCATTCAATGGTAAGTTTACATTTGCTATTCACTTTCATATTTGTATTTGTTTCACTAATAATCAAAATTACGGTATATGCAGGAGAAACAAGATATTTTGCATGCACAGGTTTTTTTATTGAATGGAACGGATGTACATCTATTCTGACTTCAGCGAGCTTAGTTAGAAAATCTGGCGATCGTAGCAAGATTGTTGAAAATTTGAGGGTAGCTAACGTTGTGCTCATATTATTCTGTGATCCTTGTTCTTCTAAGGTACTTCTTAAGTCTTACTTTGTCATTTGCAGATTGAAGTGTTGCTTCCAAACAAAAAACGTACAGAAGGGACACTAGAGCACTGTAATTTACATTACAATGTTGCTATTGTCAGTGTGAAGGATTTCCGTGCTCTTTGCCCTGCAAATCTTCATCATGAGCAGGAAAGTGTATGTGAGGATGTATTAGCTGTGGGGCGCTGCTTCGAATCAGACATATTAATGGCTGCAAGTGGTCATTTGGTTGGCTGGTCAGGCACACTTGATTGCAGAATGCTTCGGTACGCCAATTTTAAAATCACCAAGGTATGGGAGGAGACTTTTTGTTGCCTACTTTTACATGGTGGAAGTAAATAGTTGCATGTAGTCTCATTTGTTGGTACTATGATTAACTTGTCCATGTAACCTGGTTAGGCTGGGATTGGAGGGCCTCTTATTGATTTTGATGGGAGATATGTTGGTATCAACTTCTTTGATGACATAGTAGGAACCCCATTCCTATCATGCACCGTTATCCTCCACGTTCTGTCACGTTTTGATGAAGAAAGGTACTCCTAGAATTTGTGTTCGTATGTGCATGTGTTTGTGCGCTCGTCTTGATGAATCTGGTTCGGTACTTCAGTCCGAAGCACAAATGTGTTAAAACTATCCATTGGTGTGCTTGGCAGGACTATCAATAAAGTTGGCAATGGTGACACTTCATCTGGTGTGCTTGATTGGACTATGACTGGAGATCGTAGTGTTCGGCCAAATAGGTATTCTGGTGCACCTCATATCGCAGTTAAATTACAATGTTTTGCATTTGGTTGTTGATTTGTTTGTTGATAGCATTATTGTACCCTATACATTTTTTTTATAACAGCTGGCCCGTGCCCAAGCCATTTTGGTGTCATCCGGACGATCTGCCCCGTAATGAAACCCGGACTCGCCACAAATACGGATACTACAATGGACAGAAGTTCAAGTACATGTGTTAGGGCTTAGTTCTGTTTCGTTGAAAATTTGCTACTTAACCTGTACAAGAAGTCATATGCTTGGTTCTGCCATTTTGAATTGCTATGTTTATGTCTTGGCAAGGGAATCTGACGACTTGTGCTTGTCTTGACAATTTATATGTATGTACAAATGTTCATTTTGGTGCTGTGGACTGCTGCGTTGCTTAACTTGAGGCTATCTAATCTCTGGCCCAAACGGCAGTTACCAGAGCCTTTGCTTACTAATCTTATTAAGGTGTATTTAATCTCTCAACATTAGTGAGCTGCTGTCGACCCAGTGCTTCTCCGTACTCCCTCCGTCCTTAAAAAAAAAAACCAATCTAGATAGGGCTGGGATAGACGCCACCTACTACTGAATGTTTGCATCGTTATATTTACAATTTAGGGGATTTAGAACTAGATACAGTCATATTTAGAGTAGTATTATTCAGGGGATTTACTGATAAGTCTGAATTGATGTTATTATCAGTTTGTTGTCGACATTTGAAGTATTCGAAAAGACTGATAATAACGGATTCCTAGGATTTGGCACAAGCCACAGCTTGCCAGAAGCCCATGTTACTCCCACTCGGATTGTCAAATGCAAGTCGCAACGCCACGAAACCAATGTGTTTATTCAACATCTAGACGAGTACGAACGTACACAAGCCTATCAAGTATCAACTCGCAATTTCTCAGCTTTCTTTTCCTCTCGCTGCACGTGAGCTGCGCTTCTTCTATACACAAGCAGCACACGGCCACGAGGGAGCTGGAGCGGAGAAAGAACCACCTAGATCACGACGCCTGAACCGGAGGCGTCCGTGAGTCCGTCCTGTGTGTTCAAATCGAGCCAGTGCTTATTCACGTAGAAGAACCACAACACAAACTAGGGAGGAGGAGCAGGTGTGAGTAAACCATGTACGAACGACTCAGATCACTGGGAGTCGTCCAAAGATTCATCCGTCGGCTGCCAGTATCTGTTGGTGAACCACATGGAGTCAGCCGCCACAGCGTTGCCGTCCTGGTTGCGGTGCCACGTGTAGTACGCGTGCGTCCTGTTCTTGATGTCCAGGATGGCGTGCCCGAAGCTCGACTCCCTGAAGGCCGAGTAGCCAGGCTGCGGCGCCGTCATGCTGCATTATATTTGTTTTTTTTTCCCAGCAATTGCACATGATATCTTGTCAGCGTTCAGGAACTGAAAACGGTTGGTGGAAGCGAAAAAAGGATTCTTACTTGGTGGCCAGTCCTTCCTGGTTTCCTCCATCTCCGATGGTTATGTAGACTGGAGCAGACTGATCATGGACTGGAGTGCACTGGCCATTCACAATGTTGTACGCGACATTTGATATCCTGTGCTGCAATCAGAGAAAATAAGTCTATGTCAGCAGCTCAAGATTAAGGTACTAGTACTACTCTAAGCAGAGTATCAGTAGTAAAGCTATACATGCTCCGTACCAGTTTAAAAAAAAGTAGTAAAACCAAGCACTCCTTTGTTTAAAGAAAACGACAAGCACGTTGAACTTAATTTTACTAGATGCAAGTATATACTAATAAATATAAAGACGACAAAGAAGTGCGTGCTAAAGTTCCTAATGAAGTTGCAAGAAATTTCCATTTGATTCCCCATGCAAAGTTTTAACTATTTTTCAGGGGAAAAAAAACTGTAAGTGCTTACTGTCCGTTCATAGGCATGAACATGTCCTGCAAACACGAGGTCAACTTTGTACTTGACGAACCACGGCTCATACATAACTCTCATGCTTTCACCTTCCATGTAGTGATAGTTATAGCTGTTGTACCACGGAGCATGCAATAGCACTATCAACCATGGCGTTTCACTCCTGTTAACCTTGGGAAACTCAGCTTCAAGCCACTTGTACTGAGGAGTATACTTTCCTGGGAAAGAAACAGAAGAACTGATAAATTATCTTATTCCATCTATTAGCAATCAACAAATGGAGTATAAGTTAATAAGTTCATTGTTATGTACAGTGTGTGTTTCTGTTTGCCCAAAGCATGTAAGACTGACTACTTATTCACAATGTTGCTCATGTGGGTGTTTAATTTTACTTGTGAAGCTTGTTACTAAGTACTTTGAATACAGATGCAAAAGAAAACGCAACTAGATCATATTACATACCATATGATGAATATGATGCCAAGACAATAATATAAGCAGATGCTCTTTTGACAGAATACCAGAAAGGTGCCGTGCTACCGGAAGCCTTATAAGGTGTGGGGTACCTATAGCTGTATGGCTTGAATGGCTTCGTTTCACCCTGCAAATGTTCAACAGAATGTAAATGCTTATAACATAAGCTCCACTGATTATCTAGTACTGAACTGTATATGCATCCACTGAAGATCATTACACAAATAAAGTTAAATGGAGTACTACACTTACAAGTTCTGGGGCAAAATCTATCTCATGATTTCCAGCTGTCCAGATCCAAGGCTGGTAGGCAACATTCCTCTCTACAAATCTTGCCCATGTATCCCACCTCACATTGTCATGGTATGGGTAGTTATCTGCATAACACAGATCCCCAACGAAAAGTACTGCTTGCGCCTTTGAATTGGACTCATAATGGGCCAGCGTAATATTCGAGTCGTAGCTCTGACCAAGATCACCTGAATACAGATGTTGTTTTCAGTGATATAGATCGTTTATAGATTTGGTGAATGTGTATCCTGACATAGCAAAAATGAATTTAGGAATATTGAATACTACCTATGAGACCAAATGTATATGGAACATCTGGGCCACTTTTTGGAGGGGTTCTGAACCAAAACTTCCTCACGGTTTGTCCAATCCCAACAGCATAGTAGTATTTTGTGTCAAACTGCAACAAAGCCAATAGTCAATCTTTAATTTACAGTCCAAACACTAAAGACGACTTTTGCAAAGAACTAATACCTCCAACTTTTTTATTGTACAGTGATGAATGTATCCTGAGGTGTAGTTGTAGAACGTATACTGAGTGTGTTTTCCATCTGCAGAGAAATTAAGATTATCCTCCGAAGTCCCATAGAGCACAGTGCTTGAGCCTGGCTCAATTGTTGTCACCCATGAGATTATCATGGCAGTGCCATCATGATTTCCTTGTGTGATATGAACCTTTCAGAGAACAATATCAATAAGCATCAGAGTGGAGAATACACCAATGACCATACCCCAGCACATCTTGCATATAATTTTTTATGCTAACGGCATATTGAAAAAGGAATGGACATCAATCTCAGTAAAAGGCATCCTAATACTTAATTCAAGGGAGTAAGACTCTATAAGAGCACCCGCAATGGTAAAGTAAGGTGCTATCTATAAAACATGTACATCTCAGCAATAGACTAGATTAATAGTAAACCACTTTAATGGTATGTCTACATGGGTATCTATAGCTCTCTAATCCATTGCCTCGTTTTTCTCTATAGACTATCTTCAGGTTAGTAGATAGCTTTGCTCTCTCTCTACATTTAATTCTTCCAAGTAGAAAAATATGCTGACATGGATCTCTTGTAGAGAGCCTATAGATAACCATTGCGGGTGCCCTAAGAATAAGAAAGTTCCAAAAGACAACAAAAGGGTTCGTAAAAGGGCCCTGCAACCAATTAGTACTAGTAAATGGTCAAGCAGATAGTGTATGATAGAAGTTGGAACACTTCCCTAAAAGTTGGTGTTAACTTTAGAAATGAGTGAAGCAGAGCAAGCGGTGGTACGGAAGCAGTATTTTAATTCATGAACACACCAAGTTTGTGGACTGGGATTAAGCTAAGTGCAAAAAGCACCCCAGGTGACGACTCTGAATAAGCCAAATGCTCATCGATAGACTAATGACAGAAACCCTGTAACACAAGTAGCTAGAAACATTTATGCCACGCTAAATTCAGGTCTACCAACCAGAAACACAACAGTTTATCCGATTGAAACGATCGAATTAAACACAAACAGTGTGATTAAAGAGGAGACAATTTCTGAAGAGAGACAAGCAGTCAACTTCGGGACCATCGAAACCGAAAATTCCTTGCTTGTTTCATCAGCATGGAGACACCATGAGACAAGCATATGCAAATGGATGACCACCACTCAGCACTCAGCAGGACCAGCGCGAGTACAAAACGAACAGCAAAATACTCCGTAGTACTAGTACTAGTATATTATACAATCTACAGTAATCGAAGTGCGGCTCACGAGTGACGAATCACGAACAGATGCAGGACGCTACTATCTCAAGCATCGATCACAAAAGGAACAAGAGGAACATTTGATTCCTCCGAAGCTGCACAGATGCTGAAAACAAATCGAGGGCTTCGAAACCCGATACCCTCGGAGGAGTCTATCGAGTATCGATGCCTTCCTTCCGCGATGCAGAAAAGAACATGCAGTGCAGAGTGCAGCGGGTTACCTGCTGGGGCGCATTGCGGCCGGGCGGGGCGCGGAAGACGTCGGCGTCGAGCGGCATGTCGACGGCGGAGCCGAGCTGGCGCCGGTACTCGCTGGTCTCCCCGGCGAGGCACGCCCCCACCACCAGCATCCCCACGGCGCACGCGCACCACCACGCGGCGCCGATCCGGTCCACCATGGCTGGCACCTCCTCCTCCTCCTCTGGTCCGAGCGCTCTGCTTCCTCGATTCTCTCTTCCTCGTGAAGGTGGCGTGCTCCGAGGATGGATTGGGGTTTTGGGAATGGGATATTGGGATCGCTTGCTGGATTTGTAATACTACTACTACTACTAAATATCGTGATCGATCGATGGGTCGGTCAAAGTGGGCGCGTGGGGCGGATGGAGAGGGGACATGGAATATGCTGAGGCGAGGTGCCAAGAAATTAAAATCCCGGAGACGGGGACGGGACGGCCGGAGGCGGAGTCGCGGAGAGTTGATTAGTTCACGTTTGAACACGCATGCGTGACGAGGTGGGAGATTGGCGATTTGGCGGTGAGACGGGTTATCGGCCAAGTAGACGGGTTAGGGAGGGATGAGACGATCAGTCGATCAGACAACTGACAAGGGAGTGTTGTGGCGATCTGGATCCATCCAACATGGACTTTGTTTGGATAATCGAGTTGGAATAGTAATAACAAAAAAGGGGGGAAATAAACTATATAATATTGGTCAACTCGAACTGTTCTGCGGAATCTCTTTGGCCGAAATTAGAGTTTTGGAGTTGGTTTCGGTTTGATGATTCGCGATTAAGAAATCTGGATTTTGCGTCTGTAATGTAATCACATCATCTCTCACGAGGATTCAAATCAGTAGTGACTGCAACTTTAACAGTATCCATCATCCAACCATCGAGTACATAAGGGATGGTCTAGATTCGTTGCTTAATTTCCCCCAGCTTTTCACCTACTCTCTGATTCCAGCAGATGTGTTTTGGAGGGAAAAATCTGAGAGGGAGGTAAGAATTGGCGCCAATTCTACCATGGGAAGCATACTTTACCTCCTACTGCTGCACATCACATGAAATTAATTTGGATATTATCTTTTTTCCCTAGGGTTCTATTAATGTTGAAGATATCATCTTATCTTAAAAGTTCATTTGAAGAGGTCAATAGAACTTAGAAGGCATCGTGCTGATTTTGGAAGCAGATGATGATCTACTTTTGTATCATGAAAGCTTTTGTAACGGGGTTAATCTAGCAGTAGCATAGCTAGTTGATTTTGAAAGCTTTTGTGCCAGTGGATGCATGATACCCAATTTCAGCGAAAATAGTTAGGGTGTGTTTAGTTCGCGAAAAGAAAATTTTTGGGTGTCATATCGGACGTTTGACCAGATGTCGGAAGGAGTTTTCGGACACGAATGAAAAAACTAATTTTATAACTCACCTGGAAACCGCGAGACGGATTTATTAAGCCTAATTAATCCGTGATTAGCACATATGGGTTACTGTAGCACTTTATAGCTATCATGTACTCCATCCGGTTCCATATTATTTTACGTTTTAGATAAGGCCGAGGCCAAACTTTTATAACTTTGACCATCAATAATTTTAAAAATATTTAGTTTAAAGGACAACGTATATATATATTTGTCTTTCAAAGCACTATAATAAAAGTAAATATGCATTTATTTATTTTATATGTTATAATAGAAAAATAAGGTCAAAGATATATTTTGTATACCGTGTCATTAAAATGAAACCGGAGGGAGTACTAATTAGGCTCAAAAGATTCGTCTCACATTTTCTATGCAAATTGTGCAATTAGTTTTTTTATTTATCTATATTTAATGCTCCATACATGTTTACAAAGATTCGATGTGATGTTTTTGGAAAAAATATTTTGGGAACTAAACAAGGGCTTAAACTCTAGCTCATTTTGTCAATTATGCGTGCAAGATATTATGAAGTTCAATATAATGAAATGAAGTATGTGTCTAGTTTTCTTTAACAATATTTGGGTTTTCTTAACGTTCAAGAAAATTCAGATCAAAAGGAGAGAAATTTCAGGCAAAATCTGAACTGAAGCTGTTCTATGCTTATTCAAATAGCTAAAATGATGCATGACACAGTTAAATCTGGGCCATCCCTTGTGTGCTGGATGGCTGGATGATTGGGTATTACCAAAGTTACAGTCACTACTGTTACTGCACCTGATCCGAATCCCTCCCACGAGCTGATTCGAATATGCGATTCAGCCGGGGTGCTCTGCTTGGGTAGGAGTAGCTTACGCTACGACGCGCACGCAGTTTCCACGCTCCATCGGTGGCCCCACCCACTGACTGCCCTGCCCCTTCCTGCGCTGCAACTCTGCAAGTGGCTAGAGCCGCCACATGCATATGCGGCAGACCCCCCCCCCCCCCCCCATACGGGGTAGAACAGTAAAACAGACTCGGACGTTTCGAGCGCTTCCATCCACGACGAGGACGCAAGATTGCGGCCTTGTGGCCATTGCGGCTATGGTCCTGTGGAGTATGGGACCATGCCGCATTGACGCCGGCGTGCGCAGAAGCCACCGTTTCTTGCAAGGGATGGACCATATATCCGCATAGACAAATCGTCCAGGACTGCAATAGTGGCCAGTGGCACGCCGGCCATTACCACGCTATGCGAATGACATGCATGCGCGCGCCCGAGCTAGCTCACTGCTCTTGCTCTTGCTTGAGTTTGGACGAGCGGGGACTACTGACTGAAGCCCTCCTCCCTCCCTCCTGTACACACGCCCTCTCCGTGTTGCAATGCAAGGCCGAATCGCCGTGCGTGAAGTGTCTCGTCGCGCGTGGTGGCGGCTTCAGGCACCGGGACGGGCGAGCGGTTTTGCCGTGCGCTCCAGGAAGAGAGGAGCCTCTCTCATTGACACCGTTGTGTGGTGTGGGCGACCAGGCGTGCGGCGTGCCCATGAGTCCTTGATGGAGACTCCACTGTTTCGTTAAGCAATCGAGAATCCACGCTTGGCGGCTTGGCATCTTGCAGATGTCGCGATCCGAAATCTCGCATACGGATGATAGAGCTCCAATCGGAGGAGCGCGCTCTATCAATAGAATCCTCACGGTGACAACAGTAATCGCCAATCCGGACCAGGCAATGAACAGCACGCTTCACCATACGTGAGTACCCCGAAACACAGGTTATACAAATACAGTACTTTACGGGTTAACAAATAGTAGTATAAATGAGGGCCTGGGGCGCGCACAAGAAATTTTGATGAGAATTCACCATCAGATATTCGCATGTGGCCTGCAGCCGAGAATAACCCAATACAGAAACAAAAAGAATGGTATTTTGTATGATTTTTTTTCTTCGTTTTCCTTGCAACTCAGCATTATATTCTCAAGTCACAACCGTTACATGAATACAATAAACGCATAACACGTAGACTAACTCGGTGGAGGCAGCCCTGGATCCATACATAGTAGTACTAGCTAATCGTTACTGTGTTCTCGGCGCTATATCTTGTTCCATCAAGTGATGCGACTCAAGATAAGCAAGAATGTGGTTTCTCTCCATGGGCTCTTCAAGTTTTGTACCTTTCTGGTCCTGTAACTTCAGCAAGAGCCGTGGATACAGCATTGGCTAGTAATGGAGGGAACTAATCAGCCATGCGCCTACTTATTTGACATAGATGAGTCCATAACGCTGCATGACTTGTCCATGAACTGCACAAGGAATGTACGATATAGTAACTACACCATAAAAATCATGTCTGTTCTAAACAAACTAGGCGTGATAAGTTATCATTCTAATGGAGCAGTAGAAGGTAATTATAAACTAATGCCAATGTAGTCCTAAACAGATCTTAGGAGACAAAACCATATTTTACATTTGCATTTCGACTAGCAGATAGTTGTACAAAAATGTTATGTATCTGCTCTGGCAATTATGGTTCAGGAGACCACCATTTAGTTTGTAGGAAATGACAACAGACCACTACTGAAAGAAAGAAAGAAAGAAAGAAGTGAACATATATGTGGTGTTATTAACCATGATCACTAGAAAGCATGAAGAACGTTCTATCATGACTTTATTTGGGTCTATTGCCTTCAACCTGCCATTGAAATGTTAGGAATCCCAGGGCATACATGGGTGGACTCTTCTGGTCACAATATACAGGTCATTGGAAGCAAGTGCATGTTACCCAGCAGCACTAATGTTGAAAGTGAAAAAAGGCAACAGGCTTGGATGACTTTAAGAGTGTCTACAGGAAGTCCTACGGATAGGATAGCAAACACAACGCCTATCTTTCTCCGGGACATTGTAATTTCCAAACAGGTCTTAAGGATGGCTAAAGACTGATTAAGTATTACTAGCACACAAGGCTTGAGTTGGTTTCAAGTACTTTATACTTCAAACCAATCGTGCAGCTGCAACAGAACAACAGATGGAAAGCCTCAAGCTTGCATTACCTTTTTCATGGAATGTAGTTCCCGTCCAAATGGCTCCAGGAACTTCATCTCTATATCAAGGGGCCAAACCTACATAGAAATGACAAAAAGGATAAATTTAAGACTGAAAAATTTGGGTGTTTCACAGTTCACAATATTTCATACTAGCCATGTTAATTGGCTGGGGTTTTCATTCACTTCAGTTGACAATTTGTGATATCATTTACTATTGTAGTAATTCAATCTAGTGGTGCTGTGTCCAAATAGTGAGCATGCAAAGACCGCAACGCATACATGCACAGAAATCAATTACTGCAAGTAAATACAGAGATTGAAAAGACATGATTTATTGAAGTACTCAAACACCATAATGTGCAAGGTACATAATTTATTCTCAAGCTTTTAAGCAATTCATGATATTCTACTTAAACAAAGGAAAAAGTTTTGAGCTATATTATGCCTAGCAATGGCAAACTTTCATAATGAATACCACGAGAGCACGAAATGAATAGTACCACAGCATCAGAGTAGCCTCAAAGGCTCAACCTTAACCTAGTATCCCTTGTATTTCCTATTTTTTGACAAAAGATAAAGCTGAAACACTATTGGACAACACGAAAAATATAATACAAATCATTGCTGCGCAATTGCGTAACTGTTTAATCGACTATCCCTAATCCCATGGATAAAATTTTGTTTTCTGTAATTTGTATGACTACGAAATTGACAAAACCAACCCACTAAACCTGGCAATTAACAAGCATAGCCCAATGAATATTTAATGATCAAGAAAAGCTCAAACCAATCACAGGCACCGCGCACCGAATTACCAACCATAAAGCATAATTGAGCGAGCCTCAGGCACCAAGCACCGAATTACCAACCATAACAAAACTATCCAACCAAGATACATGATTAACCCAAAATCAGGCATACATCCCCTCACAAGTAACATCTAATAACGTTCAATTTAACTAAGGGCTATATCGATCACATGTGCGTAACGATTGGATTGCAAAAATACACTGCGATCGAGAGATCGGTTCGTACCTTGAGGCCCAGCAGCCGCAGCGGCGCCTGCTGCCCGGGCACGATGCACTCCGGCCCGGCCGCCTCCACCATAGCCTCCATGGCCAACCCCTCCCCTATCGGATCCGGATGCTGCAGAGCAAGCCCAGAATTAGAATTACCCCCTTCCCCCACCAACCAAACCGAACCGAGAAAAGGGAACGCACCTTCATGACGGCGAGGGCGTAGGCGGAATAATCGTCCTGCGCGACGCGGAGGACGGGGGCGTGGTGGATGCGCGGGACGGGGCGGATCCCCGCGGCGCCGGTCGCCGCGGCCCGCCACGGCGCGTCGTCCCCGGCGAGGTGAGGCCGCTTGGCGGCCGCGGCGGCCGGCGACACGGACGACGCCGGGGCGGTGGTCGAGGCCGCCGGCAGCGCGGCCGGGGAGGACGCGGCGGCGGTGGTGGTGGTGAGCGACGCCATCGTTCGTCGAGGATTGCTCGCCCGGAGGAGAGGATAAGGGGGTGTGGAGGAGGCAGCTCCGTTTGCGTGTTGGGCTCGCGTGTGGGGAGGCGAGACGAGGGACGGGAGGCCGCGGGGCGAGGGATCTTTTATTCGGGGGGTTTGGGTTGGGTCGGGTTGGGTCTCGCCGCGTCGGTTCGGTTCGAGTCCGAGCCGACGCGACGAGACGCGGGGCGTGCGCGCGTGGTTGGTTGGTTCTGGGAAGGGGGGAGAGAGAGAGATGGCGTGGCGCGGCGGGTGGGGTGGGGTGGGGTTCGGTGGCGTGGCGATGGGCTGTTTGGGGTGGCTGACGTGTGGGGCCGGGGGATGCGACGCACGTTTTAGTTGAAGAGTTCGAAGTTGGCTTTGCGTGTCCGAGTTAACCAATGGGATGTCAAGACGGCTATGGGACTGTTTAGTGGATGAAATAAAAATTTTTAAATGTCACATCATACGTTTGACCGGATGTTGGTAGGGGTTTCAGATACGAATGAAAAAACTAATTTCATAATTCGTCTGGAAACGCAGGATGAATCTTTCGAGCCTAATTAAACCATCATTAGCACATACGGGTTATTGTAGCAATTATGGCTAATCCTGGACTAATTAGACTCAAAAGATTCGTCTCGTGATTTACATACAAATTGAGCAATTAATTTTTCTTTTTATTTATATTTAATGCTTTATATATGTGTTAAATATTCGATGTGATGTTTTTACAAAAAGTTTATGGGAACTAAATAAGGCATATGTTTCTTAATCCAGAAAGGTGAGCCGAGGGTGGTTGAGGCTGCTTGTATTTGATCTGAAAGGGGGAAATATGGGTTTTACTAGCAGTTGTCAATTCCCGTAGAAAAGTTAAGATAGCCACTTGTTTATCTCTATTTTACGAGCTCAGACATTCTCTTTTTAGCATTTTATTATACAATGATTTAATTTGCTTGATTTCATGATTCACCGTACTATTGTCTTATTTAATTAAAAATCACGTGGACGGGTTGTATAGTGCTATTGATGAATAATAGGGTGAGGGGACACGGTGTAAATTCGGTGCTCATGTGGGGGTTTAATTTTTTTCCTCTAATAACCTTGATTTCCTATAAATTTAAAATTAATCATTTTTAATGGAAGTTGCTTTTGACTTATTAGCTTGTTTCCGGTAATTATAACAAATGGTAAAAAAAACAATGGCATGGCAAAAGATCATATTAAATTTGTTTCCACCCCCGAACATTATAAAACTATCGTAGCCTTTTGTTTTATAGGCATACCTGATGTTGAAGTTAGGAACTAATCTCTCGCGCACGCAAGAACGGAACGACTCATTAGCGTATGATTAATTAAATATTATCTATTTTTAAAAAATATTAATATATATTTTTTTAAAACAACTTTCTTGTAGGATTTTTTTTTTAAAAAAAGTATCATTTAGTAGTGTGGGATGCATACGTATGAAAAAAAATGAGGTGGGTTGGGAACCTCAAGCAAAGAACTCAGCCTATAGGACCAATGAACTTGACCTACCAAGCATTTTCTATCCTATGCATACCAACTACTATATAAACTTTTCTCAAAAAAAAAAAGAACCCTTGTATAGAAAATAGACGATATAACGGCAATTGATCTTTATTTTCTCTGACCGGGAGTAATATTCAATCACTGGAAGGTTACAGACTTGCAATCATACTATGCGGCAAACATTGCCATGCAAACTATTGGACTTGTTTAGTTAACATTGCCATATACGGGTCTTGTTTAGTTGTTTGGTAGGCCATGTTTGAAACATTTTTTTTGCGCAGATTATTGAGATGGATTGTCCACTTCATTAACATGATAAATTTATATTTTATTTAGAAATGAAACTCACAAATGGTTTAGAATAAGTGGTCTAAACAAGATAAAATATTTTTAATAAAACATATTTTTAGAAGTATAAAGCAAATAATCCATGGTAATAAAAAAAGTAAATAAGACACATGGCCATTTCATAATTTATTCCCACTTGACAAGGCCGGCATCGCTTGGTTGATTAGATCTCAAACTGCGCTCATAAGTATCACGTAGGATGAAGATCATGTCAAACACCTCCACGTAGTCGCCACGTTCAGAACCACCGGGAGAAAAATTGTACATGTTTTAATAGTTGGAAAGTCAACATATCTTATATCGTGGTTAAACGAGATGAATAAGATTCGGCTACTAGTTAGGCACTCAAAGTAAACTTATTCCTATTGTGTGAGCTATAACAATGTTGTGGTTTTAGCCCATGTGAAGACTCGAGACCACATGTAGTAGCGTCTTTGTTGTACGTGCTGTTGATGGTAACCGCACACGAGTGACGTGGAGAAAAATGTCCTTCGTGAACCCTAGACTCTTGTCCCCAAAAGTTAAATTGGATCTGATTGATTTGTTTAAGGAAACCACCGGCCCATGAAGGTCCAGCCCGGTTACCCACTAATTAGGTCCGTCACTAAATATGAAAAGCACTCATGGCTATGCCTATATATTGAGGGGAGGAGGTGCTATTGTATTGCACAAGTTAATGAATAAATAAGAAGAGTCTTACCTCTACATCTTTGTGTCTCCAATTCTGGTAGAATTATGCAATCTCTCTTAGACTAACTTGGTAGAGGAGGGGTTGCACAATAATTTAGTTCTCCTATGTCCTTGTTTAGTTGCTAATTTTTTCCTAAAAGGTCACATCAAATCTTTGGACATATGCATGGAGCATTAAATATAGATAAAAAAACTAATTGCATAGTTTGCATAGAAATCAGAATTAGTGTTAATGATGAATAGCTAAATATTATAGAAACCTATAAGTGTTAATGATGAATAAATTAGGTTTAATAAATTCGTCTCGTGGTTTTCAGATGAGTTATAAAATTAGTTTTTTTTAAGTCAAAAACCCCGTCCCACATTCGGTTCCTCCCTGCGATTGGATCTGTTATCCTTCGCTTGTCCATGGACATGGCTGCCCCGACTGTTCCCTACAGGACCACGGCTCCTCCCCTTCCAGAGTCCGACGGCCATGAAGACGGCTCATCAGGGGGCATGGTCCTCCTCGACAGGTGGTGCCTCATCGCTGACCTGCCCAACGCCAGCACCGGCGTGGGCACCACGAGCACCGGCTTGCGCATCCAGGCGACCTTCCACCCCGCCCGCCCGCCGCTTCTCTCCCGCTTCTGCGTCCACTGCCCCGGCCTCGACTTCCGCCGCGTGGTGCCTAAGATCATCGCCTCCGACGCCGATCTCGTCCTCCTCTGCGTCCCCGTCAACCCCGACAGCATCGCCAACGCACGAGGTTTGGACTACTTTGTCTACAGGCCGCGCGCCCATCGGCTAGATCTGCTCCCGAACCCGCACCCCGTGTACCTCCACGACTCTATGACTGCCCTCCTCAGCCGCCAAGACGGCGCCTGGTATGCAGTCGCCGCCCTGGGTCTTGGCCCCCCGGTGTACAAAGGCGGTGCGCCCGTTAGCTGGGATTTCTACCTCCACCTCTACAGATCCACCTCCAGTTCCAAAGGTTGGACCTCCAAGCGGTTATCGGTGACCGAGTTCATCAGAGACAAGTTTATCCCTATACCTGCCTCTGTCGACAGGCTGTACCACGAGACAGGGAAGACCATCACGGTCGGCGGCGAGGGTGGCACCGTCGCCTGGGTGGACCTCTGGCGTGGCATCTTCCTCTGCGACGTGCTCGATGAGTTCCCTGCGCTCCGGGACATCCCTCTGCCGTGCCCAGCGAGGAGCAACAGGGATCTCTTCCTGATACAATATGACCCCAGCTATTTCCGGGATGTGACCATCAGCCGAAACAGAGACTCTATCAAGTATATTGAGATGGAAATGTGGTCACCAAAAGAGCCGATGAATACCACCAGCACTCCTGTTTCTTATGTGGATTGCGTGCTCAATAACACAAGGAAATCCCAGGTAATCCGTGACGACTGGAAGGCCACAACATGGAGCATGCCAATGCCGGTGATTGGTTCTTCGTGCGAGCACTGGCACCGTGACTGTGAGGTTGGTGTTAAAGACATCACCTTGGGTGCCAGCAACCCATGTCGTTCTAACTTGAGCTTCAGCGAGATCGTGGAAATGTTCAAGGAACTTCCAATGGTAAACCCCACCATAAGCATGGATGATGATGTTGTTTTCTTGCTTTCTAGAACCAGTCCCAGTCCCATGGACAAGTTGCATTTGGTGTTTGCTATTGATGTGAGGAAGAGGACGCTGCAAGGATTAACCAAGCTTGATGTCCAGCCGCAGAACTCCGTTTGCATGGTCACCTTATGCACCAGTGAGATTTGCAGGTATCTGAGGAATATTACAGGTAACTTCTCTACACTGGCAATTCATCACCTTGTGTTTTTACATGTGACCATATGTATGAATGCAATGCTTGCCATTTTTAAGATCTAGGGAATTATTGTTTTTGTACCTTTCTTGTTTCGGTAGGGTCTAGAGCTAAATTCAGGAGGCATGCCTTGTCGCCTTGATGACAGTGTGATGCATGGAAGACTATTGATATCAGTTGTTTTGTACATTGTTGTCAAAGTTATATATCAGTTAATTAAACAAATCATGGCAATTCAATAGAAATAAGTTTGTGAATTGTGTTGAGCTGAATCTGTGTTTGTGCGCAACCCATCCTTTAAAATGACAGCAAAACTATTATGGTACTATTAGATAATTCCACAGCTTAGTTTTCTTTTATTGTGGTGGAATTCTGTCAAGTTGGTAGTGAACAGTACTTTCAAAACAAATGCTCGTTGATTGAGTGAATTGCAAGCTTGGCTCAACATTTTAGTGGCAGAAGATACGCAGCCAAGAAATTGTGTTCAGCGTGTTCTTGCCATAAGCGGCATTTTATGGTACATGATATTGGGGTTTTGCGTTTATGATAGAAAAAGTCCGTCTGGATTTTAACTTCAATAATAATATATTCGACGAAAGCAACCTGGATACTAGTAATTGTTTCTTGCTTTAAACGCCTGTCTTTCTTTGTGCTAGTTACTGACAATCATGACTTGTTCTTGTTGATTGAAAAATGCAATTATTGCTGTTTCTTGTTGATTTTCTTTGGTGCAGTCACAGGCGAAGCACTTAATGAACTGGAAATTAGCTCTTAAATTGGCCAGGACAAAGAAGCGTGTCAGATGATGCAACTTGAGCTTGTTGATTTATGAAAATTGGCCGTGTTTAGTTTCACGCCCAATTTTTTTTATACGGACACACATTTGAAATATTAAACGTAGTCTAATAATAAAACAAATTACATAATCATCCGCCTATAAAATGCGAGACGAATCTATTAAGTCTAATTAATCCGTCATTAGCAAATGTTTACTGTAGCACCACATTGTCAAATCATGGCATAATTAGGCTCAAAAGATTCGTCTCGCAATTTACATGTAAACTGTGCAATTGTTTTTTTTTTCGTCCACATTTAATGCTCTGTGCATGTGTCCAAATATTTGATGTGACGGAATTTTTGAAAGTTTAAAAGTAAGTAAGTGTTTGGTTGCAAGGATGGGATGGGATGGGATGAACCCACTTTTAGAGGTGTTTTGTTGAGAGGTGAGTGGGATGGGATGGTCCCTGGAGAGGAATATTCCTCTTAGATCCGTGACGAGATGGTCCGCCGAAATCGGCCGGACCAATCCATCCCACTTCGACGGACAGAACGGCGTCAACTCCCGCAGCCTCCCGCTCGGCTCTGCCGCGGCGCCGCCACGGCCGCTCGTCCCTCATCCGCCTGCTCCCTCCCCCAGCGCCGCTCCGTCCTCCTCCGCGCGACTGCCGCCGCTCATCCGCGACCGCCGCCGCCTCGTTCGTGTCCGACCTCCGCCTCCGCGACCGGCCGCCGCCGCTCCTTTGCACCTCGCCTCGCCTCCGGGACCGGCCGCCGCTCGTCCGCGCCTCGCCTCGCCTCCGAGACCGGCCTCCGCTCGCCCACGCCTCGCCTCGCCGCCTCGTCCGTGTCCGACCTCCGCCTCCGCAACCAACCGCCGCCGCTCGTCCGCGTTCGCCTCGTCTCCGCGACCGCCGCCGCTCGTCCACGCCCGCCGCCACCTTCGCGACCGTCGCCGCTCGTCCGCGACCCGCCTCCGCCTCTCCTCCGCTCGCGCCAACGAGCTCCTCAACTTGCGCCGACGAGCTCCTTCGTCCCCAATCTCACCAGCAGCCTGGAAGCTAGCCGCTGGGAGCAGACGGCCCTAACGTCCGTGAAAAATTGTCCATCCCATCCCACCTCAATCCCTTCTACCAAACAAAAAACTATAACCATCCCATACCACAAACCAAACACACAATTGGAACCATCCCATCCCAAAAAACTGGGATGGGTCTAGCCCATCCCACTTGGTCCCAAACCAAACACACCCTAACTAAACACGGCCATTGTGTAAAACAATTATCTGGAGGGTGTAGCTTGCAACATGCGGACATACGTACTTTATTTATGATTGAACTTGTGTGCCTATATCTCAGCTAGTAGAGCTGTTGAGTGGTCAAAGTGTTGAGGCTGCTTGTATTTGATCTGAAAGGGGAAATATGGGTTTTACTAGTACTAGTTGTCAATTCCCGCAGAAAAGTTAAGATAGGGTGTGTTTAGATCTAGGGTAAAATTTTTTGCCGTGTCACATCAGATATATGGACACACATTTGAAATATTAAACGTAGTCTAATAAAAAAACTAATTACATAATCCATCAGTAAACCAGAAGACGAATTTATTAAGCCTAATTAATCCGTCATTAGCAAATGTTTATTGTAGCACCACATTGTCAAATCATGAAACAATTAGGCTTAAAAAATTTGTCTCGCAAATTAGTCACAAACCGTGCAATTAGTTATTTTTTATCCTATATTTAATACTTCATACAGGTGTTCAAACGTTCAATGTGATGAGGTGTAAAATTTTAGGATGGGATCTAAACACCCCCATAGGCCTTGTTTAAATCAGTGTTGTGGAAAACGGTGTTAATGGCCGTTAATACGTCCGATAATACGAATACGGAGATCAGACCGTCACATCACGTCGATGCGGTCATAATTAGTCGGTAACGAACGCATAAATCCGATCATTACCGATTAAATCGTCCATCTCCGTCTAATCAACCGTATAATCGTCGGCGTGATGATGGTTGTTAGCTGTGCCCTTTACTACTACTGACTACAAGCTCTTCCGAAATTTTCACAAGGCAACAAGATGTAAAATGACAAGGAACTGACTTCCTCTAAAGTTTGAACATGGGTTCCTTGATTTTGATGATAATCACGTTATTGGAGTTTGTATTTGATGAAGCTCTTCGAGGTAACCGATACATATGTTATTTGGGACCTTGATTACGGTCATCTATGCTATGTAACATTCTCTTGATTATCATTTCAAGCATTATGAACAAAACCCATTACTACGTGAGAATTGAGATATACAGTAACAGCTATCCATTATGAACTTATTTAAATGTCATACATGGTTATTCTATTTAAGGATATATAGAAGGAATATATTTAGTTATATGCATTTGTTTATCAAAAAGGGAAAACTATTATCAACTATGTACATATATTTTCAAAACGTTATATTTCCGCCAAATTCCGATTAATCGTTTGGCGGTACCCTCTCCGTCCGATATCCGTATACCGTCTTCCACAACACTGGTTTAAATCCCACCCCAAATTTTTTCACCCTGTCATATGGAACGTTTGAACACCTGCATGAAGTATTAAATATAGGCTAAAAAATAACTAATTGCACATATTACGACTAATTTGCGAGACAAATCTTCTAAGCTTAATTGCTCCATGATTTGACAAATATGGTGCTACAGCAAACATTCGCTAATGACGGATTAATTAGGCTTAATAAATTCGTCTCATAGTTTACATGCGGATTCTATAATTTGTTTTGTTATTAGACAACGTTTGATACTTCAAATGTGTATCCGTATATCTAATGTGACATGCCAAAACTTTATACCCTGGATCTAAGCACCCCATAGTAGGGTTGAAACTGGTTCGGATAGTTTCCGTCCGCCCGGACCTTTTTTCGGATTCGGACAGTTTCGGTCGGAACTATCCGGAAATTCTCGGATTCGGAAACGAATTCGGATTTTTTTTCTCGGAAACGAAAACGAATACGGTAAGGGTACTATCCGTCGGAATCGGAAAACGGTCGGAAACTATCCGTATTTTTTTTCGGATATCCGCACACATTGAGCAAATTTTAGAAAAAATAAGTGTATATATATATATATAAATAACTTTTTCATACGAAATCAGATGAAGACAAACTTTATATCAACATTGTAGAGCTCGATGAGATCTACAACTTTCTTATTGACTATTTTATTATTTGAGGTCATTTAAGGGTCTAAATATTCATTATAATATACCATATTAATTTTTACAAAATCTCAGATCTACAATTCAAACGACATCTGATGGAGATGTGTTCCATATCAAAGTTATAGAGCTCAACGGGATCTACTACTTTGTAGTTTATAACATTTGTATTTGAAAGCATTTAAAGTATAAAACAAATATTACAAGTTTCGAAGATGTGAAGTAAAATAAATAACATCTCCAATTTATAAAGGGTAAATAAGTTATATATCTAGTAAAAGGTCTTGGGGAATAGAAAATGATAATCATATTTGCATATGGATCTCTTAGAGGAATAGCCATGAAAATCGATTTTCACATACGGGTGTGAGACCGTCTACAAAATTGACGATATAAATGTTGGAGATGTTGAACTAAAATAATAAGAGATATCTCTTCCTTGATCAAGAAACTCAATTTGAGGGGTTTTTTATATACCGGTAAATATTCGTTACCGTATTCGTTCCGTCTCATATTCGCTCCGTATCTATATTCGATAATATTCGATTTCATTTCCGTATCCGAGTTTTCGATTCCGATTCTGATTCCGAAAAAAAATATGAAAACGAATATGATAAAGCTAGTTTCCGTCCGTTTCCGATCCGTTTTCATGCCTACCCCATAGTCACTTGTTTATCTCTATTTTACAAGCTCAGACATTCCCTTTTTAGCATTTTATTATACTATGATTTGATTTGCTTGATTTCATGATTCATCGTACTATTGTCTTATTTAATTAAAAATCATGTACTCCCTTTGTCCATGAAAAACCAACCTAATACTGGATGTGACATATCCTAATACAATGAATCTAGACATACCTCTGTCCAGATTCGTTGTACTAGAATATGTCATATCCAGTACTAGATTCGTTTTTTTCGAGACGAAGGGAGTAGACAGATTCTATACTGCTTTGGGATATGTATGCGTGAAAAAGAATGAGGTGAGTTAGGAACCTCAAGGAAAGAACTCAGCCTAAAGGACCAATGATATTTGACCTACCAAGCATTTCCTATCCTATGCATACCAACTGCTATATGGGTGTGTTCGGTGGTGGGTGTTGGGAACCCATCACACACACGGAAAACGGAGCGATCTATTAGTGCCTAATTATTTAAATATTAGCTTTTTTAAAAAAAATTGTATATATATGATTTTTTTAAGCAACTTTCGTATATAATATTTTTGAAAAAAAACACACCGTTTACTAATTTGAAAAGCGTGCGTGCGGAAAACGAAAGGGAGGAGTTGGGAACTCCTGTATCAAACACAGCATATAAACTTTTCTAAAAAAAAAAAGAACTACTGTATAGACAATAGACGATATAACGGCAATTGATCTTTATTTTGTCTGACCAGGAGTAATATTCGTTCAATGCAAGGTTACAGACTTGCAATCATACTATGCGGCAAACATTGCCATGCAAACTATTGGACTTGTTTAGTTAACATTGCCATATACGGGTCTTGTTTAGTTGTTTGGTGGGCCATGTTTGAAACAATTTTTTGCGCAGATTATTCAGATGGATTGTCCACTTCATTAACACGAAACATTTATATTTTATTTAGAAATGAAACTCACAAATAGATTAGAATAAGTGGTCTAAACAAATACACTATATAAAATATTTTTAATAAAGCATATTTTTATTAGAAGTATAAAGCAAATAACCTGTGATAATAAAAAAAAGTAAATAAGACACATGGCCATTTCATATTTTATCCCCACTTGACAAGGCCGGCATCGTTTGGTTGATTAGACCTCAGACTGGGCCCAATAAGAGTTTTGACCTGGGCTTAGTCAGAAGTGAATCAGGCTTTTTTCTGGTTAGGACATGCTTTGTCTATTTGTCACCCCCCATGCATGAGTCAAGGCTGTCAAGCACAACTGCCTAATGCAAGTATTGCATGGATACCATGTACTACTACTTCTTCTACCACTGAGTATGTAGATAATGATCATGCAGAGGTATCACTTAACAATGAAGGTGCTTAAGTCTTAAGTTGTCAACCAAAGTGACTTAAACTATCAACATTACAAGAATATTTCAAATAGACCTATGGACTACTATGCATCAAGCATTCACAACAGTCTAACTATGTACCTCCATCCTAAAAAATAAACAAATATAATATGGGACGTGATACATCTTGTTCTAGATTTGTTTAATTTAAGCCAAGAAAATATGGACATTTAGCAACTTTGCTAACGCCGTGTTTAGTTCCAAAATATTTCTTCAAACTTCAAACTTCTTCATCACATAAAAACTTTCATACATACATAAACTTTTAACTTTTCCGTTACATCGTTCTAATTTCAATCAAACTTCCAATTTTAACGTTAAGGGGGTGTTTGGTTGATTGCTTCACTTTGCCATGCCACACTTCAGTCATGCCACAGTTTCTAGGCGTGTGTTTGTTTTAATGCCACAATTGTGTCATGCCACACTTTCCTACCCTTAGGTCCCACATGTCATATTCAGATAACTAGAGCTAACATTGCCACACTTGTGATTAACTATTTCTTGGCCATACTTTTGCCACATGCCACAACTTACCTAAGCTTAGTTATGATAAGCTTACGCATCAACCAAACAACCCCTAAATACAACCTAAACCCACGGGCCACAACTCGCAACAATTATCTCACAAGATCACTCCCAGAACCCGGTGTACTGTTTGTCGGGTCTCTGACTTACTGGGCCCACCCTCTGACGACCCCTCGGTCCACCTGCACCCACCGCTCTCAGTCACCTCCTCTACCCAACTCAAACGAACGTGCATCTCCTAGTACACACAGTCTCCTCCCTACCTCCTCCTCAATCCCGATCGCTTCCTTCCTGGATCTCGCCGCGAGCTCCAAGGTCTAGGCGGCGATGCCTGCCGCGGCAGTCTCCGGCGGCGGCGCGGCCGACGCCGAGGAGCTGTTCCGCACGAGACGCATCCCGGAGATCCGCGCGGCGGAGGGCGCCACGCGCCGCGAGATCTCCGCCAAGGAGGAGGAGCTCCGCCAGCTCGTCGGCCGCAGCTACCGCGACCTCCTCGACTCCGCGGACTCGATACTCCTCATCAAGCAGTCCTCCGACGCCGTCTCCGGCAACCTCTCCCGCATCTCCGACTCCCTCGCGTCGCTCGCGCCGCCCCCCGAGGCTCCCCCCGCCGCATCGCCCTCCCCGTCCGGCGGGCGGGTCCGGCTCTACGCGTCGGCGGCGCGCGCCAAGTACCTCGTCGACACCCCCGAGCACATCTGGGGGCGGCTCGACGAGGGCCTGCTCCTGGAGGCCGCGGGGCGGTACGTGCGGGCGCAGGTGGTGCACGGCGTGCTCTCCCGCGACGCCGCGGCGGCCGCGCGGTTCCCGCTGCTCGCGCACCAGGCGCAGCTGGTGGAGGCGTTCCGGCCCCAGATCGCGCAGCGCGCTCGCGAGCGCCTCGCCGACCGCCGCCTCTCCGTCGCCGCCCACGCCGACGCGCTCGCGGCCGCTGCCTCAATCGACGCACCGTCGCTCACCCCGACCCAGGCACTCCAACTCTTCCTCTCCTCCCGCCGCGCCTGGATCTCCCAAGCCCTAACCACCCTTGCCTCCGATCTGACCTCCTACTCCTCCGTGCTGTGCGATGTCGCCAAGATCGTGCGTGTCACGCTGGGCCATGTCGGGCAGTTGTTTGTGCTTGCGCTCAATGATTTGCCACTGTTTTTCAAGACGGTGCTCGATTTGCCGCCCCCTTCACAGCTGTTCGGTGGCATTCCAGACCCTGTGGAAGAGACACGGTTGTGGAAAGAACACTGGGATCAACTTGAGGCCACCATGGTGCTACTTGAGCCAGATGCTGTTGCAAGGACTTGTACAGATTGGCTGAAGGGATGCTGTGATGAGATTTTTGGTGTGATTGCTGGAGGGCAAAGACTAGTTGATGCCATTGAGAGTGGGGAAGGGCTTGGATCAGTGCAAAGACTTGTGCGGGAGGCATTAGATGGGAGGGAAGGACTGGAAGGGACTCTGGAGCAATGGCTGAAGAGTGTGTTTGGATCAGAGATTGAATCACCATGGGATCAGATCCGTGGCCTCATCTTGAAGGAAGGGAAGGACATTTTTGAGGATTGGATGGAAGAAGCCTTTGTGCAACGGATGAAAGACATTGTGCACTTGGAATTCGGCAGCTTGGATGATAGTGTAAATATTAAGAAATCAATTGATGGTATTGGTGCCAATGCTGATCCAAAGGATGCCGGTGATTTCATGGTGTATTTGCGGAAAGTTTCAACTGGAGGTGGTGTCTGGTTCTCTGAGTCTAAGATCAAGAAAGGTGGAATTTTGGCACATTTGAAACCGATTGCTGATGAAAATGATTTCCACAGCTGCCTTACCTCATATTTTGGGCCAGAAGTTAGTCGCATCAGGAATGCAATTGACAGCAAATGCAAGACTATCCTTGAGGATCTGTTAAGTTTTGTGGACTCGCACAATTCTGCTCCCAGATTGAAGGAGCTGGTGCCATACCTCCAAGAGAAATGCTATAAGACCATCTCTGGGATACTGAATGGATTGGAAGCTGAGCTTGGAAAATTGTCTGCTTCCTTGAGAACCAAAAAAGGGGAGAGCAATATGCTTGCAGCATCTGTTATCGTGGAGAGATCTCTCTTCATTGGCCGCCTCATGTTTGCATTGAGATACCACTCGAGTCATGTACCCTTGATCCTAGGATCCCCAAGGCAGTGGGTAAAGGAGGCTGGTGGTGCAGCATTTATGAGATTATCGTCGCCCTCACCAAGACATTCAAGAGCATCGTTTGATACAGCGATGCCTTTTACCCCCAGGAGGCACACACAGTCAAGCCCAAGGAGTCCTGGAAGGCAATTTTCTGACAACCCCAGAAGACAAACTATTGCTGCTGCTGCTTCCCTATTTGGTGCTGATGATAGCTCCAATCCCAGACTTGATGAACTAAACAAGACCTTACAGGCACTCTGCATTGCAGCCCATGGATTGTGGATAGCATGGTTGTCCACTGAATTATCACAGCTTCTCTCATATGACCTCAACAAAGATGATTCATTGTCCTTATCAACCCCTTTACGGGTACGCTCCATGTCCCTCTTATCTTTCCAATTGTTATCTTTCCAACCCCTTTACGGGTAAAAGGCATTCTAAGTATATTTCTTACTGCTGTTTCTGATTCTGTCCATGTTATTCATACTATCAATCGGGGATGCTTTTGTTTGCTAGGTAACAAAGACATCTGCTATATACAGCAATATTAGTAACATAATGATGAAATCTGTAATAATTTTGGATCATGTTGGACATGACTGAGCAGCTAGAAGACATTTCTCTTTTATTAAGTGCCCTTATGATTTACAAAGAACTTGTTGAATAAAATCGTGGGCCTGTAGAGTTTGTTTTTGCCTATTGGAATGCCAATTTTGAAGTTATCTATTATAGGATATTCGATAGAGCTATACTTACTGGCTCACCTTTTCTAGGGTTGACCAAGCAGCTAACCCCAAGTTTTGATTCTAGTTTTTGTGCTTCGATTTTTGTCTATATTCAAATATTAAATTCTGACTATGTGTTTCAACGTTGATTTCTAGTCCTATCATGCTATTTTAATGCCAAAATAAACATGGCATGCTGATTGTCATAGACATGATATATGTGCCTTGTCAGGGATGGGAAGTCACAGTCATCAAACAAGAGGAATCCACTGAGGGCCCCTTGGAGATGCAAATAGCACTTCCATCAATGCCTTCACTGTACATTATATCCTTTCTTTATCAAGCATGTTTGGAGATTCATAAAATTGGAGGGCACATCCTGGACAAATCTATATTGCAAAACTTTGCATGGGACTTGTTACAGAAGGTAATGTTCTTTCATGACAACCTTTTCTTCTTTGAGGGGGTGACGAGAAGTAATTGTGGTGCATGTTATAGGCTAAAACATTGGCCTGGAACTTCTAGCAAAGAATGGAAGAACCAAAGAATGTTTTATCATGCTATCTGCATGAAACACAACTAGCTATAGTTCACTTTCATGTGTTTTTGCCTTTGTATAAATTTGACCATACCGTAATGATGATCAACAATAGATACTACGAGGGAACCATTTGTTTATGTTATATGTGCAATAGTTGCTATTGGCAAAATGTAATGACTGTTCTACAATTCATTACTACTATGATTGATAGTAATTATAGAGTTATAAGTTAATCAAGCTTTTCAGCTTTTGTTGTTTTTCTTATAATCAAGCATTGATTAAGCTGGGCACTATAGTCTTCAGTTTACCTGCACACGCCTACAAAAATTAATACCGTGCCCTAATAATATAATGTCATGGACCTTATTAACCTGAATGCCTCGCCCTTCCAACTGTCATCAATATTTCAATTTTGAGAACCTCCGAGGAACTAGCTGTTGTATGTGTTGCTTTATTAACAATTATCTGTTTTGTCTACCTGCATTGATGAAGATTAGGAGAAAATGTTCAGTGTATGATTTAAAAGCCAATATAATCACTGAACCTAACAGCTACTTAAATTCGTGCAGGTTATTGATATCTATGAAAGCTTTTTGGTATCAATCGAGTCTGGTAAATCTCTGGTTTCAGAAAAGGGGGTTCTGCAAATACTGCTCGATTTGCGCTTCATTGGCGATGTTCTGTCAGGAGGCAAAAGTTCTTCCACCAAAACTACTGAAACACAGAGAACACATGACTCTTCGCCAAGCGCCATTGCTAAGACTTCCTTCAGGAGAAAACAGTCACAATTGCAGGCAGATTCAGCTACCATAGAGCCTATAAACAAGCTGATCAATAAGTTCTCACAGAGATTGGATCCGATAGACTGGGCTACGTAAGCACTATCCTCTGTTTTACTTTGTTATACATATCACCACATAATTCAATAGCTGAATGCATGATCAATAGTCTTTATAGACAAAAACCCATGCTCCATATTTGTCCATGATGAAGCATTTGCTTATTTTGAAACAGGTACGAACCTTATCTGTGGGAGAATGAGAAGCAATCTTACAAGCGCTATGTTGTTCTTTTCGGCTTCTTGGTTCAACTGAATCACATGTATACTGGAACTGTGCAAAAGTTACTGACTAAATCAAATACAGATTCAAACATTATGAGGTGCTCCCAAGTCCCAAGATTCAAATACCTACCGATCAGGTAAATAATTCTTCAGACTGAGTACACATACATTTTATCGTCGTATAATGCATATTTCTGTAATTAATCCATTAAGGTCATTAGTTTTAGACAGCTATAGTGTTTAAATTCATGCTTAAAATACTTGATGAGATGATATTATTGGACAGCCATATGTGATGTTTTTTAGCCTGGTGTGAAAGTTGATTTTCAAAGAAACCTTTGTAAGTAGCGTTGGCTGGTTCTGATGAAAAATTACACTAGTTTGTAGATCTAATAGGTCTCATGTTCATATGTTTCACTTGTAGTGCCCCAGCTCTATCATCAAGAGCACACAAATCATCATTACAGTCAACATCCGATGATTCCACATCTAGAAGCCCTTGGAAATCATATTCAAATGGAGAAAGATCTACGGCATCAGAATTTGATGATAATGTTAGCCTTGGAGGTGCTGCTCCATTGCTCAAGTCATTTGTTACCCAGGTGAGTAACCTACTGCATATTTTTAGTTTACTAGTAATAGTGCACGTGCAAGGCACATTCTTGCAAGGGCATGTTCATACATACACTGAGTTCAGAAACATGGCAAGGGTATGTCCAACACTAAATTCAGATGCATTCCATATCCACGTTCAGACAATAATATGGATCTTACCTGGCAATCCAAGCCGGTTAAGTATGAACTTATATAATATGAATTCAGTATGAACTTGCAGATATCCAATCCTAACCATGAATGGTAATAGGAGTATATTGTTTACACAAATTGCAATGACCATGGTCAGACACTAAACTCAGGAAAACCTCTGCATCCTTTGGTGAATTTGTGAAGTTATAATACTTGAGCTACAAGAATCCATAACATTAATCAGCTCACAGCATTATTAAAACATTGAACATCATTTAGATGCTTGTCCAAGTTCAGATTCTGAATTCAGATACTCCTACACCACAAGGGCAAGCCAGAAACTAATGTGCCAAATGCTCAGACAATAATATAGGAAATGTTCAAACACTAATCTGGCAAATGTTCAGACATCTATGGTTCACACATATTGCAAGGACAAGTTAAGACACCATACATAACATGTATACCAGGTTTGAGATCTCCTTTGTATAAAAAAAATAGTACTTGTCATCAGCACGGCAGAAAAGCATAACATAATTTCTTTTGATTTTTGGACCACACAACATGAGATATGTTTGGCTATTTTTTGCTCCCAGGAAATTTGTACAGAAATTATAAACATTTGGCAGTCAACCAGCAACAAAACCAAAATAAAAAAATTACAATTCTAAAGGCTGTCAGGAATTATTAACTCGGTACCTTACCAATAACTCACAAGGAAAATATGCATGTTTATGTTCTGAATAGAAACAGTACATTACATTACACAGGTTTGCACATAATGCAAGACCAAATTCTATTTTCAGTAAGTTGTCAACCAAGTTCTTACGCAATGCGAGCCCAAGTTCAAGCCATGTAAAACTAAATTCAAATCAAATACAAAAGTTGTATGCCACACAACAACCGTAGAGCCTCATTTTGGTTAGAGCAACAGCAAACATGGCTAGGTAGATCTTCAGATAGCAGGCAAGATGAACTTGATACAGTAATTGGTTCAGTGGCAGACATGGTCTTTTGTTGGAGCAACAGCATAGTTGGGTATGACAGTAGTAAATTATAACAATAATTATTTTTTTAAAAAAGACATGTATTTCTGATAAGTATGATCTAGCAGAGGGAACGATCAATGTACTTATTTAGAATGCAAAGTTCATATGGTTCAGATATGGTCATTGTCACTTTTTATTACATGTAGCATATATTGCAAATCTAAATATGGTTATGTACTTGTCAGTGGAAAAATAGAACAGAGAGTTCACGCAATCTGTAAATATGTAGACATTACCAATTTACCATTACATTATTTCCAGACTGTAGTTGAAGTCTCTAAGACCATGCAAAAATCTGAGATACAATCCAATGGGCAAATCTTAGATTTTTAAAAAGGAAATTGAACAAAGCACATTATCCATGTTCAAACTATTGAATAAATCATGTGTGTGAAATCTGTACAGCAACAATTTAGACTTTTTTTATACATATAAAGGCAAATATTCTGTAGGAACTTAGCAGTAGATTATAAGGAAAATGACTTATAACCCTTTGAATTGAGATTGGGCAGAGGGAACCATCAGCATACACAAGTAAAATGTGAATTTCAGATAATTCATAAATAGTCAATAGTACTGTGGTGTGCATGTGGCAAACCAGAACATTCAGGTAGATAATTTTGGGATGTTATAGGTGTACAAACATATGGATGCCAAATATTATTATGACAGAAAAATATGCTTAAGTAATGGCGTCCTCCAAACCTGCAATTGTGATTAACTTGCTCCACTTACGTCATGTGCATCACCTTACCAATGCCATATCCAAACCTGCAATCACGATTAACTTGTTCCACTGTAGTCATGTGTGTCACATTGCCTAATTCCATCCTCCAAACCTGTGGTCGGTGCAAAGAAGGAAAAGGAACGCCTATTAGCAGCTTGTAAGAATGGCTAGGATAATCCCAGATCAATTCCAACATAAAAAAAACATGTGCTGAAATTCTAGAACATCATGGAATGCATTTTGGTCGTGTGCCCCTGGGCAGAGGTTGGGGATCTAGCACATCTTGTGCTTCAGAATAAAATACCTTCTGTATCTAAAAAAAGTTCATCTCTTTGGAGAATATATTTGTCCTTGGATCAACCCATACCAAAATTCGAAGATTTTAATTTAGACAGTTACACTGTGAGGCAAGTGAGGAGAAAATCACCAAAATACTATCAATTCACCAGTGGCTCTGCAGCTACCAGCTGGGAGCATTTAACCCTTGGTAATTAAAAGGTAAACACTCAAATTCCTAGACAAGAAAAATGGATATCCTATTCATAATCAGATCTGTTCCATTCCTTTACCCTTGCATACACTAAGTTGAGTATATCTAATAGGTTTATACTATGCAAATATATGCCTTTACCCTTGTTTGACCAGTGACCAGTAATCATAGTAAAAAATAGTAAAAACTAAAAGTAAAGAAATAATCCCGCATATATGGATGTCCTTTTTTGTTGTGCCTATGGAGTACATGAAATTAGGATATATATCAACCAAAGGTCGATCAATGTTAAATAAAAGAACAAAATCTCCTTGACCCTCCTCATAGAGAATCTTAAAGCCAAAAGCCATCTGATAAGGCCCTTGCCTATTTCTCTTCCAATATATTCATTCCATCTCCAGCATATCTGCATAAGCTTGTATAGGCAATGTACTGTCAATTATGGCAGGTTTTTAGCATGCCTAGTACCAAAATCAAATGGTGGATTGCAGTATCACATTAAATCAGAAATTCACATTTACTTTTTTTAGATTACTGAAACAAAATATAGACCTTTCATGTGGATATTTCTAAATATGGATTCTATATATTAATTCTTGATTGGCTGAACATCTTTTTTTTTTTGGCATAAGCATGGTATTGGTAGGAAGTACTCAAAAGTTTACTTCAATTTAACACAGAAAAAATAAGACTTTACTTCATTTTAACACAGAAAAAATAACTATGGACTGAATATAGGTGGTTCCATGTCTTGATTAGTATCACTTATCACTACTGCATAACATTTGTTTCAAGTCAACCAAATCCTTATCGGTTATCTAGAAGTTTGATTTTTGTTATAGTCTTTCATTGAGCAGGTGGCACTGAAAACATATATACTCTATTTGTTTCTTTATAGTCCTTCATTGAGCAGCTTTGTGATGCGTTTTTTTCCCTAATTCAGTAGCAATGCTCAGCTCCATGTTGCATCATTTATCAGGTTGGGAGCAAATTTGGGGAGAACACTTCAAGATGGGGGTCCATAATCTCTGATGGGCAGGTTGGCAAACTCAGCGACATTCTTCCTGGACCAGCAGCTGGGTTCTTCTCATCTTTCACATCTGGGGCTCGATATGATCCATAGTCACTGTTTAATCCTTGATCTTCACCCCATCCTATATGTTAATACAAATTGACATGCGTGAATGGCTAAACTGTCGAGGGACAACATGATCTGCGCCATTGGATATCTGTTGCTTACAGAAGTATGCCACAGCTGGGAACCTGGGACTGCATAACTTGGCTCGACCTACAGCGCCCCTTAACATTTTACGTGATTGATCTTCAATGGTGAAGCTCAATTGGCGACTCGCTAGTTCTGCCTATGTACACTACAGATATGGAAGTTGTCGCGATTTGGAGATTAAGGTGCAGTTTTGGTGTGCTTCATGATTGCAGTTTTACAGGGTATATAGGGGAAGCAAGTGCAACTTACTACTGATGTTAGTACGCTCTTTGTGGGGGCTCGATCAAGTTGTGGATAGGCCACATGTATTCGTGCAAAAGAATTTTGGAGTCCATTCATTCTTTTTCTTAATTTCTCTTTTTTTTTTTTGGCTCGGAGGTTTGGAAGATGTTTTAGATTTGAACAGTCCTGAACCGCAGCGATCATGGCTTTCAAAGCTTGAGGGTAAATTCACACATCTGTACACTTGAAAATATCAATAAAGCGTGTATCTTTTCCCTTAAACCACAGATGTTTAGCGTTCCATTTTCTGTGCCTGTCTACATGGTAACCCCAAACTTCTTTCTGTACATCACACGGTTACTGATTCTGTGTACTGTACCTAATTGAACTAAAAGGCAGAAGGATCATGCTAATACGGTACGTAGGACCATGAAGAAAAATGCAGTGCAGCCAGCGTCAGAAATGAAGTGTGCTCAGCATCATTGCGTTGATATGGTGGCTGAGATGTTCATGTTACAAAACCTTTTTTGAGGAGGATGAGATGTTACTCGTAATAATAAGTGCGCGATGGTCTCGCCTGACATGGGCCGTTGTCAAGGACGGCGAAGTCTTTGGATCGGAAAGAGTTTGCCCTTTACCTGGTGTGTGCGGTGATCCATGGACCATGGCACACAATGATAGCGAACCGCGAACCACTCGCCCCAACTGTTTCGAAAACGAGCGAATACCCACGTTTGAGTCACTACCGGTTAGTCGAATGTATATCGATTAATCTCCTGTTAGAATTCTCCCCAAAATTTACACCACCAAGATGCCTCTAGAGTCTAGACAGGAGCTCAGTCGATTGTTTTTTTTAACCATTTTCAATCAAGATTCAAGAAGATCCATTATTTTACTCCCTGATCACCTCATCAAGCATCACGTCGTACCAAACCCGAAATGATATATTCCCATCCAGCGAACGGAGCCCCCGGGTCTCGTCCTCACGTTGTTGATTCTCTTGCGTGGGCTACCATGACTTTCAGCTGCTTCTGCTTCTAGACGAACCTTTTACGTGCCGTGCCTCGCCTCGACTACATCGCCCCGCCGCCATCTCCCCCGCCAGGACGCACGCACGCGAACGCAACCGCGCCCACGCCACGCACGCTCCCAAACTCGTATCGCGGCATTCCGCGGGAGCCGGGGGGAGAGAGAGAGAGAGAGAGTGTGTGTACTGCAACCGCGTGGACGGAAGAATCGCGGACGTCCGCGGCGTTCCACCCACGACCCACCCGTGCGTTTACCGGGCTGCGGCTGCGGCTGCGGCTGCCGATGCGGATGCGAATGCGGCTGCGTACGCGACCCCGACCCGGCTGCTGCGTTCACCATGTGCGACGGCCGTTGAAAGGAGGGGGAAAGCGGGGAAAGCGCGGGCGCCGTTTCCGCAGACTCGGAGGGCTCTTCTGTTTCTCCACTGGTGGAAACAGAAAAAAATGTTCGGTAGGAGTGTTATTTAATTGACTTGACTACGCGATGACCCTGTCATATATGAAGTTGGAACTATCACGATTACCGGGCGGTACCGATAGTGATAGGATACGGTAATGGTAAGAACTTGATGACCGACAAAATTCGGAAGAATATTTGAATCGGGCGCCCGATCTTTTTTTTAAAAAAATTCGGTCGGTCAAATATTATAATTGACCACCAATAAAACATTGAGTTATATATGATAAAAAAATCAATCGTTGAAACATTTAGTAACATTTTTGTGAAATACGGTAAAGACATACATTGAAACATGTCATTATCACGTATAAAACATTGCGTGTTAACGGACTGAAACTTATGTTTTTCTTTTATCAGAATATAATCATATGTTATCTTATTGTAAAAATTTAATTGCAACGAATATAATGGTGTGATCGGATCACGTATTAGATAAATAGTTTTAGCGAAAAAACGTTTTGAAGGTCATTAAATGTATGCATGCATGCATGAATAAAGGTGGAGAGAGAGTGGTGGCAGGTAGTTTGAAATTTTATGAAATACACTCAAGACATGCATTGAAACATATTACTATCACATATAAAACATTGAGTTTTAACAACTTGAAACACATGTTTTTCTCTTGACATAATATAATCATATGATATCTTGTCATAAAGATTTAATTACAACGGATATAATGGTTTGGTCAGATAAGTAGTTTAGTAGAAAAAATATTTAAGGAGAAGAAACAATATTTTCGGAGAGGGTTCGTCTGAAACGTCGGCATCCCGATTCGTAGCATTCCCAACAAAATTCAAAAGAATATTTCCAAAATAAATTTTGTTTGTTTTTTTTTTACTATTTACTGAGATGAATGTGCTTATTGTCGGAGAGTGGCAACCTCTTGTTCTGGTAAAATAAATCTTTGGGTTGGGTCGGTGGTCGGTTGCCTGCCTCACGAGTGGATGCAGTGAGTTCGGGCCTCCTGGCTATTCGGTTTGAGAGCTAGTGGAGGGAGGGAGTGCAAGTTGCTGTCCAAACAAAACTTCAAAAAGGGAAGCGCACGAATGAACTCTTTTTGAAGAGCCAAAAGAGGGTGAAGAGGGTGCAAGTAGAGTGTGGAGTAGCTAGGACCTAGGAGAGCTGCTACTAGGCTGGGGATCTTAACCTATGGGCTATTGGGTGAGTGTTATGCCACTCGCGTATGGCATGTACCTTTGTTTATCTCCTGTTGCTATCGTTTTATGCACCATAACAGTGTCGTGGATAATCATCGAAGTTATTCTAATTATCATGAGAATTGAACTTTCCTACATTTGAAACATCACTGGTCCAGTTCTAAAGTGCTCACTGATGATGGATGAAATTGAGGGTATAATAATTTTCTGAGGGCACAAACAAATAAGTTAGATATTAGAAAGCCAAAAAAATGATGAAAAAAATCTAAAAAAATGTTGATTATTTTTTTTTTAGAAAAAACATTGGGTTTGTTCAGCAATCGTGGTTGCGGTTGCGGCGCAACCAACATCAATAGTGCCACAAGTAGTAGAGGAACTATGGTTATTGCCGCCGCAGCCACAAACTCGTCTTTCCGAACACACTCATTGTTTAGGAGCTTGAGCAAGCCACGATAATCCATCATATTTAGCATGAGTCTTAATATACTATATCTATGCCATCGAGGAGATACCACGGTTAAACTATTTTTAAATATAAATTTGGTATCTCCTAATACCTCTATAGGGTTAAGATCTAAAATTACGATATATCAAATTATGACACCTTACCAATGATACTCTATTTTTAAGTGTGAATTTGAGAACTAACACCTCTCTAATGTTAATTAATATCCCCTAAAGCTATCATATCCCAGCATCTTCTCACAAGGACATAGAATCTCTCTCCAAGTATACATCATGATACATATTCATGCCACCACACGTGATGCATTTTATAGTACACGATACACACATCTCTCCTCCTTCTACACCACAAGATCTAGCATTGAACATGTGCTGCCGATCCTTGCCGGTCTCCGAATTCGTAACACATCTTTGCAACACACAGCCGTACCAAAGTACCGCTGCTATACCTCTCCGTACCTTTTGATTTTTACCTCTTTTTTTTTCTTCCCCTCTCCCTGTGGGGTATGCAGCGTGAGAGTGTGAGGGGACACCTTTTGTTGGGTGATTGGCTGCAGGCGCTCTGATGGGTTCTTGTTTGTGTTAAAAGGCGGTAGTGATAGGTCTACATCTCTGGCCAGGTTTTAGTTTTTTTTTTCTCTTGTGGGTGCTCCCTTTCTGGGATCTTTCCTTTTTCCAAACCATTGTCCCCCCTCAGGTTACTTAAGGGCAAAGCTAATTGTTTAACTTGAGGTTAGTCTTATCTACTGAAATACTCCATCCATTCTAAAAATATATAGCACAACTACTTTTTAAAGGTGTTTCATAATATAAGGCATGCATGCATGCATGGCAATTAATTAGCATCTCTTCTCTCCTAAATTATTATTTTTTAAATCATACACTCACTAGATGTTTAATTCTATTGGGTGCATGTATTGTATTAATTGGATTGATTCAAACAAAGAGATGATAATAATTGTTTCTTGATCTTTGGGTTAAAGGTGGTTATGCCTTATATTTTGGAATTGAGGGAGTATAGTCTTATAGTGTGTGTGTTTTTTTTCCTTATAATACGCTTTATATTAGATGACGATATGGTTTGAGGAAAAGCAGCGCAGACAAAATAGTTGTAAAAGAAAGAGCAGCTATCTATTCTAGGTACCAAATTATACAATACTTCCTCTGTCAAAAAAACTCATACAATGAATCTGGACAAAGGATAGTCCAGATTTGTCGAGGAATGACCCTCTCTAGCGGGAGATCGTGAGATCCCCCTTTTGTGAGTTCGGCCGGGGGAAAAGGCTCGCGTGTCGAGATCGTGTATCCGCCCTGAGTGCTTCTAGATCGCACGTGGAAGCTGGGATTATACAGGTTCGGGCCACTATCGAGCGTAATACCATACTCCTGTGTGTGGGATTTAAGATTGAGGGTTACAAAGGTTCCTAAGCTCTAGGAGGAATTCCCTCTTCTTCCCCTGGGGCTTAGGCTAACTGAGAGTCGTCCCTTTTCTCGGTGGGCAAGGTCCTCCTTTTATAGTTCAAGGGGATACCACATGCACCGCTTCTACCTACTCTTTCACGGGAGGGGGACCCACTTTACCTTGACCGGACCACGATCCTTGCCTTCGCCCGGAAGTCAAGCAGCAGTCCGTCCTTGAGTGGGACCCAACGCCGCCCCCCACTCAACATGGGGGACAGCCCTGTCATTCCCTCTTAAATGAGTAGAGGCTTTCGGCGGTTCATCTCGCATGGAGGGAGCTGCAGATGATGGTTTGATGGGACGGGGCATACCTGCCTCCACTCCGCTGGGTACAGGGGCGAACGTGGGGGCACGGTCGCCCGTCCGATCAGACGTGACCGGCAACAGGCCGGTCACAGTCTGGTTACGCCCGATTGACGTGGGTCAATCGGACCGCACCACACGTCCGCCCCTACCGCATTTAGACGGTTAGGGTGTTGCGCATTGATGGCGGCTCAGCCTGGGCCTCCTCCCCGCTCGCTCCCCTCGCCACATGGCGGCTGCCCGAGGGCCTCGGGGCGAGGCAGCGCGAGGGCCCGAGGGGTGTGACTTGGCACCCCGAGGCCTCCTAGCTGCTTCCGCAACTTCCGAGGTGTGGGAGGAGGACCAGGCTGTAGGGCCACGTGGCTAAATGGGAAGGTAACTCCCCCACGCTTCACATACCCCGGGCCCATATCACAGACAAGATTCATTGTACTAGGAACTAGGTTAAGTTTTCTTTGGGACGAATGCAGTACTTATATAACACCCATACCTCCTTAAGGATCAAGGCAGTAAAATCACTCTTTAAGAGTGTGTGTGTGTGTGTTTGTGTACTAAAAATGTTGTTTATTGTGCGTGGTACAACATGATACATTCCCTTCAGATAAAGATTGATTGTTTGATCTATAGCTCGTTAAAATAAATTAAGCAACCAAAAATATATTCGTAGATATAATTTATTTCATGTTTAAAAACTAATGCTGGAAAGTAAATTTTGATGAACGAAATCCTCTAAACTAACTCCAAAACTAAATATTAAAATTCGAACTTTTTTGACTGTGGGTGATAGGACAACAAGTAGATAAAATGAGAGGCATCAAGAAAAAAACAAAACAAATTTACAGCATATTGGACCAGAACAAGTTGCCTTACATTTGAGGGAGATAATAGTATTTTAAACCTGCCTTGAAAATATGTTCATGGAAAAAAATTAAGTGGAGAACGACAGATTGAGCAAGCAACACACTTTTTTGTTTACATAAAAAGTTCAACAAGCAACATTAGTGGGCACAACTATTCTAGGGGCTGCTGGACAGTGATACTCTGTTGTCTGTTCCAAGTTTTGAGTTGAATGGCTTAAGATTCATTTCATTATTACCAGTTAGATTCCTCGCGACAAGATGGTCCTAGTAAACAGCTGAACTGAACAGACATTCATGTTGATTAACTAGTCAAGCTCGTTGTTGCTAGACACCTTAGCTTGTTCAAGCACGGTATCTGAATGCGTCAAAACTCAAAACCAATTGGTAGACCAAGCAATATAAATAGTACAGTATACAGTTCAACCGAACAGTAATGACATTGAACCAGTACTTTACTTGATCATCATAATCATTATATCATTATAAAACAAACAGTACAATACTAGTAAAGGCCTAAAGGGAATCTCTGAAGGGAATTTGTCATGCTGTACCACACACAATAAACAACATCTGTGCTAAAGGCAGAGAGAGATCAAAAGATTGGATCTTTTTGTCAACTCTTTATCCTAACCAATCTAATCAACTACCCCAATGAACCAGAGGCTTTGTGCTATCACAATATTAAAGATTTTAATAGGATGTCGCATTGGCATTAGGCAATTGCAGGAGAGATCTGTGTTGGCGACGACGCAAGGCAACAGGCACTAGCTAGGTGCCGTGTAGGCAGCAAAGCTGGATTAGCTGATTGCTTGACCTACTTATCTGGCCAATCTTCTGATGAGGTTGTTGTTCTTTGCTCCGATTAGTAAGGCACATGACACAAGAAATGTGAACCTTGGGGGGAGTCATTTGGCATCTTTTGATAAGGGAATTCTTGACATTGATACCACCATTATCTGCTTGTTTTTTGCTAATCACATGTGGCCGTGCCAGAAAGCAGACAGACAGGCTTCTCCAAAAGTAGTACTCGTATTTTGGATGCATTGAATTATGCTCCCAAGAAAATTCCTGTTGAATTTCATAAATACACTATGAAAATCATTGCATTTGTGCTACCAAGGACAGTGACGCCAAATACCTCACGCAAAACTGAACTTAAGCAAAAAAAAAAGTTTACAACTATAGAGAAACCAGTGATATATGAAACGCCAAATCTATGTACCTGAGCCAGGACTGGGCCACATAATTAATTTCCCTTTATTCATATCAAAATCAATGGCGTACCTACACATTTGGTGCAGGAAATATTTTTGGACAAGATCATACCAATGCGCGTGCAATATCAAGGATGACACTGACACTCCCTTTGCAAAGCACCAATTACATCAGTAGCATGGGAAAAGCATTTTCCCAAATTTATTCAGCCTGAACCACTTGATCATCCAGCAAGGGGGAGTAGCTTCCCAACAAAGGCATGCCACCTAACTGGATGAAGATTTCTACCTGCCCCATCAATGGAGAAGGAAAAGATGCCCTTGATCGAGTCATTGTTCAGACATGAAGGTTTTCTTTCTGATATGTTATGATCATTGGGTAGGAACATTCGTAGCTCAGGGGAGAAGTTTCTCTCCCACTCACTCATGCACGTTTTTCTATTATTGCTGCTGTATAGTTCCTGCTGATGAGCACACGTTGAAAGATTCAGAAATTGTTTTCAAGATATGGCTTGTCAAACGGTCTAGAGAAAATGATTGGTCCCATCCAGATTGTTAGGTAGGAGTACTCTACATTACATTAGAGGTTGCATACTTGCAACTGGAGTATAATTTAGCGAGATGCAGGGCATATACTGTATCCATGAAGCTTACTGTAGTTGTTAGGTACAGTATAGATAGATTAGCATGTTCAGAATTCACAAAATGAATGTCCCATGTCAGGTGGCAGTGCTCTACTGTTTTCTGATGTTCTTCTTACTGTGATTGTCCACGATAGAGGCCGAGTTTAGGGTGTGTTTATTTCACACTAAAATTGAAAGTTTGGTTGAAATTGGAACAATGTGATGGAAAAGTTGGAAGTTTATGTGTGTAGAAAAATTTTTATGTGATAGAAAAGCTGGAAGTTTGAAGAAAAAGTTTGGAACTAAACAAGGCCTTAGGTTGTGTTTAGTTCCTGAAATTGGTGGGAAGTTTGGGGAAAGTTGGTAGTTTGGAAAAAAAGTTAGGAGTTTATGTGTGTAGGAAAGTTTTGGATGTGATGTGATGTGATGAAAAGTTGAAAGTTTGGGGGAAGTTTGGTGTGAACTAAACAGGGCCTTAGTTCTAAACTTTTTTTTTTCAAACTTCCAACTTTTCCATCACATCAAAACTTTCTTACACACATAAACTTTAAACTTTTCCGTGACATCGTTCCAATTTAACCAAATTTCTAATTTTAGCGTGAACTAAATACACCCATTAAATTACATCAAATTTGGCTGCGTAAATCCGCTTTGGATGCATAGAATGGGTTTTACTCCATTTTCTAAGAAAAAAGAAATTATTATCAAAATATTGTATTTATAGAAGTCCATTGTTGATTTGTTTCTTTCTTTGTAGATCGTTGTTGAAACTTGACAAATTGAATGGCAGATTTGGCTGCTAGTATTTTTTTTTGAACGCCAATTTAGCTGCTACTATTGGACGCAGGAGAAATGCTAAAGGCAAAGATGCAAGAGAATACTTTTATAAACTAGGTGGAGTATCTAGTAATCTTATTCCCCTCTTTGGCTCTTTCCCCAAATGCAATTTTTGCACAATTGTACTAATGAAAAGCATCATTAGACTAGCAGTGGGACCCATAGTATGTGCAACAAGAATTTTCTTAGATATCTCAATATATCATCATCCATCATATCCAATCAAGAAAATGGAACACACAAGGAAGAACAAAAGAGCTCTCACTACTGACATCATCATCAAATTAGGGGACAATTGGAATTCTATTTTTCTTTTGCCATGGTTTATGCAGGAGTTGAACTTATTTCCCCAAAATTCATGTGGAATTTGGCATGGCAGCCTCTGTTTGAATAAACTAAGCCAAACCAAACCCATCACTTTGGGTCAAAGGCAGCAAAGAAGCAAAGGAAAACCAAGAAAGGAAAACCCCAAGAGGAGGAGAGAAAAGGAGGAAAAAATGCTGGACACGCTATAAAGCGGCGGAGCAGAAGAGTGGCAACCGCAGAGCCCACACGTAATCCTTTGCCCGTCCCCCCGCGTTTTCACCTCTCACCCCTGAAACTTTCTTTATTTACAATCCAGGACAAGTTGGAGGGGGGTATATATGCTGGCAAGCTAAATCCTGGTTATTTCGAGTCCCTAAACGCAAAAAAAAAGTTGCTGCTACGCGCACACGCGCAGCGGCGCAGCCTCCGCGCCACCCCTCCGCCTCGCCGCGTCGGCGACTGCGAGGCGGCGTGCCGGATGAGGAGGCCGCCGGAGTTCGCGGCGGTGGCGGCGGTGGCGGTCGTCGCCGCGCTGGTGCTGGCGGCTGGGGCGGGCGCGGCGCCGTTGCCGGCGGCGCTGAGGCTGGAGCGCGCGCTGCCGCACAAGGGGGTGGCGGTGGAGCACCTGAGGGAGCGGGACAGGGCGCGGCACGGGAGGAGGGGGCTGCTCGGGGGAGGAGGAGGAGGGGTCGCCGGCGTGGTGGACTTCCCCGTGGAGGGCTCCGCCAACCCGTTCATGGTCGGGTGGGTGAGCTGCCTCTCGCTTTCTTTTCCCTGTGTTTTGTATGGGTGTGGTTGTGTGTGATCGAGAAATTTGGGAGTTCTTTTCTTCTTCTGGGTTTGTTCGTCTCGGCGTTGATCTGAGGTTGTTGCTTCTGCTAAGGTAGATTGGTCTCACGTATCGACAATGGTAGTTCGTTTTCAGGGTGGTGGATGGCTGGGTTGTTCGTGGGCTTTTGTTGCTTCAGTTCTTTCTGTTTCTCGGATGAAGGTTCAACCCTGATGAAGTGTTTATGCCCTTACTCGACGGTTTCTTGCTGATGTTTTTTTGTGTGCATTCTGAAAAGTATCTTCTCGTTCTGTTTTGTTCGAAGTTTTGGCTTTCTTTTTTTTTTTTTTGGCCGAATTGTTCGTCGTAGATGGCGGCGGCTTGTTTTCTTTCGGATTCTTAGATTCGTTTTTGTCCCTTTTTCGATGCGACGATTCTGACTTCGCTCTTTCTTTATATGCATTCAATTGCTTCTCTTGTTTCAATGTCGATGCTCAATTGCTTGTTCATTCGGGAGCCCAATTCTGATGCAGTGATGCGTTTGCTTGCTCCAATTAAAATAAAATAAATGCATTCATATGTAAAGAAAGAGTTCATTTTTCCTTTCTGAAAGAAGAAAGAATTCATTTATTAGCCCGTACCTTGCTTCTACTGGATCGAGTGTTTACAGAGATTTGGTTGCCCGTCACAGTTTCACTTGGCCGCAATACCTGCTTTCTTTCATTTTCCTCGATTGCTTTTACTTAAGGTCAATTCCTCTTAGGAAAAAAAAGATATTTATTTGTCTTAGCTGCGGTTAGGAATTTGTCACCCTCAGCTATGATTTAACTTTTGTTTGTGTAATCAATTCAAATTTGTGCAACACCAGTTGTAAGCTTAGTGACAGGGTTATTTAGAGATATCTTAGCAATAGGGAGCGATATATTATGGACTGCTAGACGGAACTTTTTAATTGCCCCTTGCGAGCCTTAAAAGGGGAGCAATTATGTTTCACCAATACCTGTAGGCTTTATATGCTATCACACCTTCCATCATGCTGAATTCCACTTCATGGTTTTGTGCCATAGGCTATAGTTAGTTAGTTACCATCTGCAATCTGTGGTGTTGATGAACTCCCTTGAGGTATTGGAGTATCATGTGTTTAAACCTTTACTGATGGGCGGCAATTTGTAAACATGCTCATCTTTAAGTGAATCCTTGAATTTGTTAGGATGAACGTTTCAGTTTGTTTCCAAATTTAGAAATGTTATGTGATTGCCCAACCTCCGTTTTGGAACTATCCTTCAACTAGTAGTGGATACTACTTTGTAGAGGGAATTTGAGGGATGCAATTTTTCCATAATTATGGATATAATATAACATCTATACATGTATTAACAATGGTTTTGTTAAAAATGACAAACATGACTATAACTAGTTACTACTGATGGGCAGGGTGGATTAGTGTCATGCTAATGTAAAGATGATATCATATCATGATTAGGGAAGCATGCTCGCCAATGCAGATAGCAAAAAGGGGACGTTCAGCAGGGATGGAAGGACTGAAAGGATACATGTCCTTTTGTTGGGTTGGGGGATTGTCAGCTGATGGATATAATTTTGAAGATGACGTGACTCAACCTTGGATAATACATAGAGTTATCAATTGCAGTTAGTGGGTTCCAATCAGAAGAATTGTAGGACTGATGCCATTTTTCATTTTGCAATTTGGCTTGTTATTTGAAATTAGGAGACCTTTTTGCAACTACTTTATCCTAATTCCTAGTGTTTGAATTTGCAGGCTCTATTTTACGCGTGTGAAATTGGGAAGCCCACCAAAAGAATATTTTGTCCAGATTGACACTGGCAGTGACATCTTATGGGTAGCGTGCAGCCCTTGCACCGGTTGCCCATCTTCAAGTGGGCTCAATGTGAGACATCTCATTCTTTGCGCTCTTATCCTTATCTCTATGACATGCATACAACAGCATTGTTATCCCTTGAGATGGACTTACCTATCAGTTGAGATTCATTCTGATTGGATTATTACTTTATATGTTTTTCAGATCCAGTTGGAGTTCTTCAATCCTGACACTTCATCAACATCATCCAAAATACCATGCTCAGATGATAGGTGTACAGCTGCCCTTCAAACAAGCGAAGCAGTCTGCCAGACTTCAGACAACAGCCCATGTGGTTACACTTTCACGTATGGTGATGGAAGTGGCACATCAGGTTATTACGTGTCTGACACAATGTATTTTGACACTGTCATGGGAAATGAGCAAACTGCCAATTCTTCAGCCTCTATTGTTTTTGGGTACAGTTCCCTTGAAGCCCTGTATCTTTCTAAATTTTACATTAGTTAATTTTAAACTGCAATCGACAACTAAACTGTGCTTTAAGGATAGTAAGATACCATTAGAAACCTTGTTAGTGATGTGGTCCATTTACATGTTGACAGTTTGTTGCACATGTGTGACAAAGTTGGCTCTTTTTGCTGATTGAGTTGGTACAAATGATGGACCTAATGGCAACAAACTCCCAATGTCCTTAAACCAACAGTCTTCTTGTTACTTTTGCAAGCAAACTTCCTTTCAATATCCTTAATAGTCAATCTGAATAAAGTTCTTGTCATCCCTGAAAACAGTTGCCACCAGAAAAAGTTGTCAATATCCTTAATGGTCAACCTGAATAAAATTATATTTATATTTTGCTTTCCATGCCATTCTGGAGCAAAAGAAATTCAGCATGCTTCTAGACTACTATCCTCTGGCATGCATGCTTCATCCTGTTAATGGCCTTGTTGTTATGTTAACAAAAGCTTAGCCTTATGTGGATCTTTTAGCAGTAGAAGCCTGGTGACACTTTGCTGTAAAGTTTAACTGTGCATTTTTTTATTTTCATTACCCTAACAGTGAACTTTGTTGCTTCGCATGATCAGTATTATTCATTGTCTGATGAATATGTTAATTCTTTTGAAACAGATGTAGCAACTCACAGTCAGGAGACTTGACAAAGACAGACAGGGCAGTTGATGGGATTTTTGGGTTTGGACAGCATCAGCTGTCTGTTGTCTCACAACTGAATTCTCTTGGGGTATCCCCAAAGGTGTTCTCTCATTGCCTGAAAGGTTCAGATAATGGTGGTGGTATTCTCGTTCTTGGTGAAATTGTCGAGCCAGGATTAGTCTATACTCCACTCGTCCCATCACAGTGAGTCTCTTACTAGAATTACTTATTGTATAACTTCAGAATTCTGCTGATTTTTTGTTTGTAGAAAAGTTTTCAACCAATAAGTGTATGCACATTCATTAACCTTGCGTGAGAGGCTAACAATATTGCTGCATGAGTAACTTGATATTCTTCCTCCTAATTTCTTTCTATGGACGTCAGTTTATGATTTATTTTTCAATGAAATATAGGCCTCATTACAATTTGAATCTGGAAAGTATCGTTGTCAATGGACAGAAGCTGCCAATTGATTCCTCCTTGTTTACGACATCAAATACACAAGGAACAATTGTGGACTCAGGAACAACTTTAGCATATCTTGCAGATGGGGCATATGATCCATTTGTTAATGCGGTGAGCTTCATAGGGCCCACTTATAGTTCTATTTTCTGGAATTCCCCATATATGATAAGCCTACGATAGTAATTAATCTTGTTACATGATTGTTAGTCCTCATATTTTGTTTTTGCAGATAACTGCTGCAGTCTCTCCATCTGTGCGCTCTCTTGTCAGCAAGGGGAACCAATGCTTTGTAACTTCCAGCAGGTTAGCTTCTTGTTTCAGTGAAGGAAATTAGCAGCTCATGTTCTTCAGTATGTCAAATTACTTACAGATATTTTCGCTTTTCAACCAGCGTTGACTCGTCGTTTCCTACCGTGTCACTATATTTTATGGGTGGTGTTGCAATGACGGTGAAGCCAGAGAACTATCTTTTGCAGCAGGCTTCTATTGTAAGCCTGCATTTTTTTTAATATATTTGGTTTCTGGCCTTGGTAACAGTTGTATATCTGCCTAACCGTTTCTGAAAAGACTTGTTCCTGCCCATATTAATACCATATCATGCTTTTCAGGACAACAATGTATTGTGGTGTATTGGTTGGCAAAGGAACCAGGGTCAACAAATAACCATACTCGGAGGTTAGTTAACTAGCTCTGATTGAATTAGCTAATTATGGTTGCACGTCTAAGTCTAACCCGCAACTACTATTAAGACTTGAGACAACCATCACATCACACCACTGATGTCTGAAAAATTTCAATGATTAACAACATTCTCAATAATCACATCGATGCACATTAATCTGCAAGTTCTTTCAAGGGTATTGAGGCCTTGACAGATTAATCCTACGTTTTGACCCCATATGTTTTTCCTTGACCCTGAACACTTCAATTTCCATAAAAAAAAAACAGTCGATCTATTAGTCCTATGCTGATGATTGAAGCACACATTTCTCCATGTTGATGCTTTGTTGCTAACTATTTGGTCCCACTTTGACGCAGATCTAGTTTTGAAGGACAAGATTTTTGTGTATGACTTGGCGAACATGCGCATGGGCTGGACTGACTACGACTGTAAGCTCACCCGAATTTTCAGATTTTGTCCATGGATTCATCACGTTTTCCGATTCTTCTTCTTCGTCGTCGTTGTGACAAACAAGTGAACAACTAACGAATGCCTGTTTTTCTTTCTTTTGGTAGGTTCGACGTCGGTGAACGTGACGACGTCGTCGGGGAAGAACCAGTACGTGAACACGGGCCAGTTCGACGTGAACGGAGCGTCGCCGCGGCCGCCGTACAGCGGCCTGGTACCTGCCGTAGCGGTCGCCGTCGCGCTCATTTTTGGCGGCTTCTCACGTAGATAGCAGACGGGCTAACCGATATCGATCTCCCGACATGTGACATTGTGATTCCATTCTTTGTTGGTGCATTCAGGCGTCCGGTTCCCCCCCACGAGCGAATGAGCATGACCCATTCTTACTGTACATACAGATAGGGAAAAGGAGAAAAAAAAATGAAATGTCAAGAGTTCATTGCTCATGGAGCAGCCTCTTTTTTGTCGCTCTCACTGTCTCACACCTACACGTTGGAAGGGAAAAATGTCGTGCAATCTCCATATATCGTAGCATATACAAATTGATTTTTGAGATTTGTTCACGTTAGCATTAGTAAAAAGTTATAAATCTTATATGTCCATTCTTTTGTACTACCGGTAGTTTCTGGATTTACACCACACGTGGAATTTTCACGGTATATTTTTCCGTATTGGGATGACGATGTAACTGTCTGGTTTTGGTGGGCGCCGTCTCTGGCGGTCAGAGTGGCGGGGCAGGCGGCTGTCAGGATCTTTGCAGTCGACTGCACCCCACCTTTATCACTTATAGGTGGGTCTGAAAATTATAAATTATCGCTAAAATTTATGTCGGGAAGTTTTTGAAATTTGATTTGAAAATTTGAAATTTGATATGAAAGTATTCAATTTTTAGATGAAAAGTTTGAAATTTGAGTTAAAGGTATTAAAATTCAAATGAAAAATTAATTTTCTCGAATTAGTCCGCCCCCACCCCCCTCCCCCACACGTTGGCGGAAATCCCGTTACGGCCCAAAACCAACGGCCCGCACGTTGGCGGAAATCCTGTTACGGCCCAACTTAAATGGGCTGCAAGCCCATGGGAATTCCGTTCCGGCCTAACACGGACAGGCCGCACGTAGCTGTAAGGAACCCCGTTAGGGCCCAACTAATGTTGGACACTCACAATCGCGGATCTGGAACCCACTCAGGCTGTGGCCTACTCGCACGGAGCAAAACACTGTAGCACAGCCGTTGGATGGCGAGACCGACGGTTCGGATAGATTTATGGTGGGGACCGCCGGAAGAGAAAAAACGAGAGGCCGTCCGCCAATTTCACTCGGCTCCCTCCCTCCAACCCCTCGCTTCCCGCCCTTCACTTCTCCCCTTCCAAGAAAAAACCTACAAGTAGAGAGAGAGAGCGAGAGAGAGAGGAGAGAGAGAGAGAGAGAGAGAGAGAGAGAGAGAGGCGGCAATGGGGATCCAGGGATTGCTGCCGCAGCTGAAGTCGATCATGGCGCCCATCGGGGTGGAGGCGCTCAAGGGCCAGACGGTGGCCGTCGACACCTACTCCTGGCTCCACAAGGGCGCCCTCTCCTGCGGCGACCGCCTCTGCAAGGGCCTACCCACCACCAGGTTCGGCTCCGGTGACCTCCCCCCTTTTCTTGGAACCCAGGGTTTCTTAATCCATTTCGCCGATTGGTGAGACCTAAATCGACGGATCCGGGAAATCTACTTCTTCCCCACGAGCGTATTGACAGCTGCTGGTCCTACCAGGGGTTTCTTCCGATTTTGTTTTCTTGGTCCCGACTGGTGAAATCCATTTCGGAGGAGGGGTAAAAGGCACGTCTTGCTTCGGATGAGAGATTTCCGCATTTTTTAGGTGGGTGTAGGAAGGGGGGGGGGATTTCTTGTTTGTTCAGTCTCTCTCAGGATTAAGGTAATAAATGTGCGGCATTTGTTTTCGCCCCCTTCCAGGGGCAGTACATTTACTGAAATTTGTTATCCGCCTCAGTGCCCAGATTCTTGTATGTCTAGGTTGCATTGAATAAAATACACACTTGGGAGAGATCCGCTGCTTGGCATCTGGTGCCGCTTTAGTTCAGAGAATTCACCATTTTAGTTTGTGGAATTTTTATTGGAAATAGCTTAGACATGAATAGTTCAATAAACGTTAACAATAGCTTAGCATTGTTAGTAGTATCTTTTTACTGTATGGGATATCTTCTAACATTGCTGCATTTTTGATGTCGTGAACTCATAATGCGGAGGGCCATAGATTTGCAACTCCAGTTTTTATCATCATTTATCACCGTTGTAGTTGAGCACCATAACTTACACCTTGTGTTTCCCCTCCTGAATCTGAACCAGGCATATTGAGTATTGCATGCATAGGGTTAACATGTTGCGGCACCATGGCGTGAAACCAATCCTTGTATTTGACGGAGGTCATCTGCCGATGAAGGGTGATCAAGAGACTAAACGTGAAAGGTATGTTCTTTCTTAGGGCTCCAGAAAGAGCCTAACATGTTTCAGTTGCCAAGGAACATCTACATTACCCTTACAGAACATTAAAAAAAATTGTGATTTGACATTTTACATACGGCTATAGTTATGGACAACTGTGGCTTTAGGCTGATATAGAGCAGTCGCATTATTAGTACAGACTAGTGGATAAGCTAAAGGCCTCCAGCCATTCTTTGCTATGTGATGTTTCTTGAGTCATTGGATGCTAAGCAAGTAAGCATGACATCCTGTAGGTCACGAAAGGAAAATCTTGAGCGTGCCAAGGAGCATGAATCTGCTGGGAATTCACGTGCTGCTTTTGAGTGTTATCAGAAAGCTGTTGACATTACACCTAGGATTGCTTTTGAACTGATCCAGGTAAAGGAGCAAATTCCATGTATTTTTACCAAATATTTACCACCTATTTGAAGCAGTTCTAGTCAGGAGTAGGAACATTTGGCTTGTCTTAACTGATTATTGTTCCAAAACTTGCAATGCAGGTATTGAAGCAAGAAAAGGTTGATTATATTGTTGCGCCTTATGAAGCAGATGCACAAATGACATTCTTGTCTGTGAACAAACTTGTTGATGCCGTTATCACAGAGGATTCTGATCTGATACCATTTGGCTGTTCTAGAGTAAGCACAGTGTTAAAACGCTTTATCTTTGTCCTCCACGTACCCCATAGTATTTTGCTGCTCAGCTAGATTAGTGTTCATAGTTTGTTGTAACTTCTCTAATTAAAATGCATCTTATTCCATTGTGCAGATTATTTTCAAGATGGACAAGTTTGGACAAGGTGTTGAATTTCATATTACACGATTGCAGCGATGCAGGGAGCTTGATCTTAATGGATTCACTATGCAAATGCTACTAGAGATGTGTATTTTAAGTGGCTGTGATTATCTTCCATCATTGCCTGGAATGGGTGTGAAACGAGCTCATGCACTTATCCAAAAGCTCAAGGGTCATGAAAAGGTAAACCCTGTATCTGTTGTATCAAATACTAACTTTAGGCCTAGTTGGAATTGGAAAGAACTGATTCATGAACTAACATGAACGATGCCTGAGATAGTGTTCAAGACCTACAAAGCATGGTAAGAAAAGGCTGGATAGTAGAACCAGAATGCAGTTCTACTTAGACATAACTACAGAAGGCAAGGCCTCAACACAAAATTGATTGCTTCAACTTTTATGAGGCCACCGTCTTGTACTTAGGTCATTAGCCAATCCATAGCCTGTCATACATGCAGGACATGATTTGAGTTACTACTGAGCTTGTAGGGCAACGATGTGCAATCACTTTCTTGCTTAGCAAATTAGAAAAAAAAATAATGAGCAAATGATGCGTATAATTTCAGGTAATCAAGCACCTGAGGTACAGTGCTGTTTCTGTTCCACCTCAATATGAAGAAAACTTCAGAAAGGCGATCTGGGCATTTCAGTTCCAAAGAGTTTATGACCCTGTGACGGAAGATATTGTTCATTTGTCAGGCATTCCCCATGGCAGTAGTGAAGACTTGGACTTTTTGGGCCCATATCCTTGCCAAACTTATATTTGTACAATAGATGCTAAAGCTCATTCATATGATAACCTGTTGTTTTATCCACCATAAGTCCATAAGGATGAATTTCCACTTTTGTTTGGTCATGTCTAATGGCCATTATACAAGTTGCGTTAGAAAGTAAGCTAACGGCCTTTCAATGCCACCATTTCTCAGTAATACCGAATTGTGTTACTTGAAGAAAATCTCAACTTGCATGCATTGGATCTTTTCCTTAATTGGTTTATACATGGCTACCACAGACTGTTGCTAAAGGCATTGCCCAAGGGAATATCGATCCGATTACCAAGGAACCATTTGAGGTACTACCGATCTTCCCTCGGTTGTTTTGGTTTCTTGGTGCTTTGTTTCCTTGAATGTAATTTCATCCTACTCTGATTCTGTGCACTGCATATGTATAAACATACCCAAGCATCAATATGCAAATACAAACGAGGGGCTCTTGAAAATGGTTGTAAGCTCACTGAAATATCCAATCAGAGGCTACAGAGCATTACAGAAGCTCATTAGAGAAAAACAGATAAAAATCCATAAAATATTTTGTAAGAAAAAAATGTAGGGTCCTCACTGAAATAAGAAAGTACATTGTAAGTGATCATGGTTTTACTGATGTACTCTGTTTTATTAAAGATCACCAGTATGCAAGCATTTGCTTTGCTGACATGCGAATACCAACATTCAATTTTATCTTTTGTGGATTGTCTTACTAAGAAGTTATATATGTTTTATTTGTATATGTGACTTGCAGGGCAAAACAGAGAGTAGCGCACTCGCTTTTGATAAAGTGCATCTGAACAGAGAGTCCAGTGCTCCTTCAAATGGAAAGAAAAAGCTTGATCTACCTGTCCAAAGAAACGTATTGACAAATTACTTCTGTATCCTCTCAACACATTTTAATTTAATTGAGAGAACAATATATATACCAATCAACTTTATTATATGAACTACTTGTTGCAGCTTATATTATGGGAATGCCTTGGATAAGATAGTTCAGTTATTGTGCTTTCTCGTTCCCAAACATGTTTAGGATCAAATGAAGAACTAATAATTTCCCCATAAACTTATTTACGAAGTCTAAGGTGATGTGCGATTCTTAGCATGGTATTTTGCTTGTTTTGTAAACAATACTTCAACTGTCCATTGGATGAATCCTTGACTTTTAGAAGGCTTAGCATCGCTTGAGGCAAAACGGAAGTTCAGAGCACCTAAGGTTACACCTAAGCAACAAGTACTTAATGGGTCTTTGCCCAGTCCCAGAATTGAAGACTCTGGTACCCCTGATTTAATTGAAGATACTAGCTTGCCATCAAATAACATTCAAGTTTATCAGTGTAGTTCTGAGCATTTTAGCTCAGGAACCCCTCTAGATGATTCAATCAATACCGCCTCTCAATGTAGTTCTGAGCGTGTCCGCTGTGACATCCCTCGGGATGATTCAGCCAGTGTTTCACCCCAGTGTTCTCATGATATTGGTAGTGATCCTGCTGAGGACCCAGACATTGAAGGCAACAAGGTATTTCACGTTTCTTTATTGCCTTATTTTCAGTGTTCTCGTAGTCCTACCTTTCTACAACAATATCGTATTTCCGTCATTCTTATAGTTTTACTTCTGCTATACAGGTGAAAGTCAACTTCTGCAACAGAAGTACAATACCGACAGGCTCTTTCTTAGAGGGTAAGAGCTCTACCTTTTTGTAGTTGATGCATGACTTGATCTGCAAATCATGTACTGGTATATCTAATTAAAATGAAAATAATCTTGGTTTCTGTTTTGTATGCATTTATTTTCGTTTTCTAGGGACTTTGCCTGGGATATCAGATCCATTTTTAGATTCACACAACACAGAGCCATCCAGAGCTGCACCACGTTATGCTGAAAAAAGCAATGTGGTCTCTGCCAATAGAAATATTACTGTGAGGAGTTCATATTTCAAAACAGTAAATAAAAGAGTTTGCACAAATCAAGGAGAAGATGAGTGCCATGATGAAGATAACTGCGAGACTGGTAATTACACTCTTCCTGGAGATCAACAAAGAAGCTCTGGAGGTATATTGAAGAGAAGAAAATTTAGTGATCCCCAAAATTTTGAAGATGTAAGCAATTTTTTTTTGAGTTGTTATTCTATCATCATATCGCAGTGAACTGTCTGTATCATTCTACTATCTGGTCTTGAATGTACTATTTGTGCAGGGAATGTTTCAACCCACTAGTCCTCATGAAAGTCCACCGGTTGCTGATAAAGGTAATAGTTCCACCTAGTTGTCTGTTCTTATTCTCTGTGAGAATGTGCACCTTTCCTTGTTCCATTTCTCTATAGATAAACTTGTGACGATTACAAGAAATTCAGTTTTTCCAAAAACAACAGAAGGTTCTGCCAATGTTTGAGTGTGCGTAGTTCCCTTTTTTTTTGTTGCTGAGGGAAATCTTCTGAATGTCTGATACTAATGCAGGCTGTGACTCTGATTCCCACGACGGTATCAACACAAATTCTGAAGGAAAATTTGGATGCAATGTCGCCCATGTAAATAAATACAGTGGCATTGCAGAGAAATCAATGGATAAGTTTGCTGCGCTGATATCATCTTTCAGATACGCAGGCTCTCGTGCCAGTGGTCTTCGCGCTCCTTTAAAGGATGTGAAGAACACTCTTCCTGTCAGGTCTGCAGCTTCAGAAAATTTCAATTGCACCAAGTTCACACAATTTACTTATCAGAACTTAAGAGGGGGACACAGTTGTCCCAATGAGTTGATATATTTTATAACATTAATTGCAGATCTGTTCTCAGACCTCCAGAACAGAGATTCGGTTGTACGGCTAAGAAGACTACTAGAGTGCCTCTACAAAGCAGATTCTCAAGTGATGCTACAAACAGCACTGACGTTCCTGATCTGAGCACATTTGCATACAGGCCTACAACTGCTTCTGCTCATTCTGATCAGGGGAAGATCACAAGCAAAGCTACAGATGCTGCTGCTGGACCTCCTGACCTGAGAACATTTGCTTATGCACCAACAAGATCTACCACCAGCCGTTTTGATCAGAGTGAAAACACGCGCAAAGCTATGTGCACTGCGGACAGCCCTCCTGATATTAGCACATTCGAATATAAACCCATGAAAAGCGCCGTCAGACGTTCAGATGGGAGCAAGTTTTCAGGTGCAGCACTAAAAGCAGCTAGACGAACCTCTCGGAGCTGATTCTCACAAAATTGTGGATGCACCTGCCAGCTTCCTTATCTGAGCATGTTTGGATTTGCGTATGCCTTCTGTCTGCGTTCATGATCTGAGTTCAACAGAATCATCCAGCAACAAATGCTCTCAATAAAAGTGCATTCCATTTTGCCCAAAGTGCAAGCACGGCTGAGGTAGCTGCCATTCACTACTACTAGCTGCAGGGCTTATCAGTTCAGACTTCAGAGCTCATCCGTATCTGCGCAATCAGAAGCACACATGTTCTGAAGGGAAGTGCTTTATCTTCTCGGTTTCCAGAGCCAATTATGTGGCATTTTGCGAGCCAAATGTATGTGCTCGTTTTTGCCTTGTCCAATGAGGTTCTTGTATGAACAGCAGTCGAATTTGCGATGCTATTTAAGCCGCAAATGAGGATACTGTTGTATTGTTCCTTTTTGAGAAGATACTGCTGTATGTTCATTCTTATACAAGTGTGAGCATTCCTTCAGAATTCAGATAGCATTACTCTTGTCAACTATTGATCAAGATGTTGGAAAGACTTTGAAACCGGCTGTTTAAGCACTTGCCAGCATTCTACCAGTCTTTCTGAAAGATTATAATAAGAGTAAATTGCATATTGGGAACAAATTTTTATCTAGTTTGCAGATTTTCACTTTAAACCGGCAAACTTCACAATAGTTGCAAAATGGACCGGTGTTCTTTTCCAATCTAAAATTCCAGTGGCTAGTCTTAAAATAACGGTGGCCAAACTCTGGGATTACAACCGAAATGAAGCTAATGCAAACATGGAATGAAAAAAAAAACGATACTATATAGTTTTCAAAGTATTCCCTCCGTCCCATAATATAAGGGATTTTGAGTTTTTGTTTGCTTTGATGACTCGTCTTATTTAAAAATGTTTGGAATTATTATTTATTTTTTTTGACTTACTTTATTATTCAAAGTATTTTAAACACGAATTTTTTTGGAAATAATACGATTTTAATGAAAAATTGTAAAAATATAGGTCGATTAGGCGAAATCGCATGTTTAGCACCCTGTCGAACAACCGTGGTTCGACAGCCATCTGTCGAACTGGGTAGTTGGTCTAAAAAAATATAAAAAAGTACGGCTACAGGAATCAGCAGGAACATGTCGAACTGACAAAGTTAGATAGGGTCACGTGAACAGTCAGGAATCAGCAGGAACATGTCGAACTGACAAAGTTAGATAGGGTCACGTGAACAGTGCCGCTACAGGACATATCGAACTTTCAAAGTTCGACAGGTTGCGGCTACAGGTGGCTGTCGAACTACGGTTGTTCGACAGATACCTCTGTCGAACCACGGTTGTTCGACAGGGTGCTAAACATGCGATTTCGCCTAACCGATCTATATTTTTGCGATTTTTCATTAAAATCGTATTATTTTCAAAAAAAATTTCCTTTAAGCACAACTTTTCGTTTTTTATATTTGCATAAATTTTTTTAATAAGACAGGTGGTCGTAAGCAAAAGCTCAAAATCCCTTATATTATGGGACGGAGGGAGTAATTAATATTCAATTTCTTACTTATCCATTGAAATATACTCCATATAACAATTGAAGATACTGCACGAATCTCCGCGCAATCAGCCGTGCAGATTCCCCTACTATCCCGGCCAGGGAGTACACTTCGGTGGACATCATCATGACCCGTCACCGCAGAGGCAAGCGCGGGCGCGCGAGCCCCGACCCTCCGGCGAAGCGCCGCCGCCGCGGCCGCGGCCACGGCCACGGCCCTGGCCCGCCGGAGTTAGAGGCCGACGAGCTGGAGGCTCCTCCGGCGCCGGTACAGGCTCCATCGGCGGCGGCGGCGGCGGCTTCGGAGCCGTTGCTAGTGATGGTCGCGGGGCTGCCGCCCGGGTGCGGCGTGATGGAGCTCAAGTCGCGGCTCGGGGCGTACGGCCCCATCGCGCGCACCCGCATAGACGCCGCCTCGGCCACCGGGTACGTCACCTTCCGCTCCGCCGCGGCCGCCATGGCCGCCATTGCTGCCTCCCTCGACCCCGACGGTGGCGTCACCGTCGGATCCAAGAAGGTAAGGAGATCTGCGTGCTGCAGTTGGATGAGCTCGATTTCAACTTGCTGTGCGTGTAGAGGAATGCAGTACAGCCTGTACAGGGTCAAGCTTTGCTGAGAATTGTTTGAAGGCGCTGCTAGATTTGAGAATTTTATAGATTGGCATCACATCCGGCCTTTTATCTCGACTTTAAAGTTCTGATGGATGATGGATTATGGATCAAACAGAGTTTATGAAAATTATTTGAGGGCACAGACGAGAGAATTTAGTATTAGAAAGTTGAAAGGTTGACTTTAAAAAGTTCTCTAAGAAATGCCGATGAAGAAAGTTTATGCAAAAATCATACCGTTTGGGAGTTTGGGAAGTGCGCCCGCAATAATCAAAAATCCGTGAGAGGAAAAGAATGCTTTTTTTAATTATTTTTCATCTCATTTTATACTCTGCATTTGCTGTTTCATTCTAGCATTTTGGATTTAATTAATGTGCTAGTTATTCAATTAACTTACACATTTGCTGGGCTCTACAAAACCTACTCAATTCCGTGATGAACTGGCTACCTTAAATTCAGTCCAAGGTTACAGTCAACCATTTTATCTGGTACAAGTCTATAAGATAGTAAATTATATTCAATATTGATCTTGTTTACATCCAGACTGTGCTGGTATCTTCGCTGTCACAATTTGTTCATGTTAACGGTCGTTTAAAACCAAGTAGAATACAGATTTAGTTTAGAAAAAATAAACAATAAACTTATTTTGCACTTTATTTTAGTCGAAATGCATCTGCACTTTGGTTGTGCAGCAGGCACAAAATAAACAGAACAAAATTTCTAACAGATTCAGGGGAAGCTATAGCATGCTACACATGTTTTGAGCCATTTGGTACTCTTGCTCTTCGATACTCAGATTGCTGGTTCTTTCATGGGTTGCAGGTTTTAGTTGTACAGGCAAGCGAGGCGCCGAATGACTTGAGAAGTACAGCTCAAGCCAACCCAGTGGGGGAGAATACGCATGATGCGACGAAGAGGAATGCAAGCGAATCTTCAGCGTTCTCGAGCACGAAAGCGGCTCCAGAAGGAACCTACAAAGCTAGAGAAATAGTCGCCTACGATGATCTGTTCTGAACTTCTAATAACCAGCCTTCTTTAGGGAGGAGGTGAGACAACCATTCAGGTTTGTTCTTGTACACTGCTAGGGTCTTTAGGTGAGTAAGCTATGGGTATTTTTTAGTGTGTGAAGGTACCTTCAGATGGGTAGGTGTTTCTTGTATTCAGCATGTATTGTGGAAGTTATCATCAAAACATGAGAATTTATGTATGTTAGATTGTTAATATTGACAGTGCCTTACCATCTTCTCAAAATTTCTATTCAAGTGCATTCGACTATTATTCGTGGCTACTTTGAAAACATTTGAAAAAGATTTAGCAAAAAAAAAAAGATCAAAAGTGTTTTGATCGATTCAATATTTGACACCGTTTCATAAAAGGCAGAAGAACCGTCTGATCAAAGAGGTGAAAAAAAAGGAATCTGGGAGTTGTGCTTCGTATCACATCAGTCTATACCAGTAAAAATAGAGCAAAAGTAAATCGAATATATCACACTGGCATGTCACAAATATACAAGGTATTATTCCGGGAATGTTCAGCGAGTACTTTTTGTTAAACATGTTCGATTAAAACGCTCCAACCTGTAAAGCTCTAAAAATAACGCTCTTAGCAAACGCCTAAAGTAGCAGAATTTTCTAGTGAAATTATTCTGAAGACGGAAACACTATAATTTTAAAGGCACATAATATGACCACCTTGTATATATACGGAAAATTTTATCCAGATACACGTGTAACCTATTATTTACGCAATTACACTGTCTGCAAAACAGCTCTATCAGGTTACATTCTCAGAACTGACAAAATTGTTCCAGCTGCATGATCTTCAGTGCTTGGCACTCATGCAGCATTTTGCAGACTCACTATTAACCTCTCTTCAAGGCAAGTGCTTTATCAACATTCTATTGGTAAACCATTTACCTGAGACTTTTGTTAACAGAAATATCAAACCATGTCTGACTTATCTTGCTGGCCTGCGTGTTGAACATGCTATTCTTGAAGCTTTTTTGTCTTCCTTTTTGGCATACCACTCACCATGTCTGACTTATCTTGCTGTCAAATTTCAAAAAGGAAAATATGTAGTTAATATAACAGGAGGAGGTAATAAAATAAGAAATTTTAGGTCATTATCGCCAAAGGTTAAAAAGATATAGCCAAATCAATCATGTATACAAAGAGGAAAAGGCTGTACAGTGACATCTGACTGGTTTGTTGATGATTATTCATAGCATTGTGTCAATATGACTAGTTAAGCTGATTGTTCCCAGACGTAAGCAGTCTTCTAATGATTTCTGATTGATTGCAGAAGCAGACAGCCTCATAACGCTATCTGATTAATGGAGTATCCATTGGCACTAGTCAATTTTTAATTCATTAGCGTTATATACTCGTGCAGTGACGATAGTTCCAGCATTGATCCCCTCTCTTAGCTGGTTCATACAATGTTGTGACATTTCTTAAACCTTCAGGCTCACTCTGTGGTATAAGATTGGAGAAGAATGTTTTGGTGGTATTTTTTGGCACTGACAAAACATTGGAAGTATTAGATGCTATTTTCTCTAAAATAGAAGGGCAGAATCATTCTATGATAAAGAACAGGATAGGGTACCAATCTTGCGCCTTGCAATCCATTATCCTTGCAGAAACGGACTGCCAAAGATTGAGAAGGGGCAGCTGGGGGGAAATCTTCAGCTGGCATTGCAAATGGACGAACCATTTTATCAAATTTGTCCAAGGTGAGATATGATCCAACTTCCTGCAATCTTTCTGGCTCCATAATTTTCATAGTGTGATCATCAGGTAGCAATGAATCTTTTCCATGTTCGCTCTGTATGGATACATTTTTCAAGAACTGTTGAGTTAATAACCAGAAATGTTGAAAACAAACATCTTACATTTCATTTGAAGGGGACCAAACTCACCTGTAAGGAACTTATATCTGCACCACGACTATATGTCATTTCTATGCGAAACCTTTTTGGGTCTTCCAAAGAAACCTGCAATAGTTGTCCAATGACAAGATCAATATCACTTCTCACCGGTAGTATTAGTAAAGTAAAAGCTTATGATTACACTATAATTTTTTAATACCTCTGTATTCTCGAACATACGCAATACAATGTAACTCATGTAGTCAAGTTCCCTTGTTTTAAACAGATTATCTAGAGCATTTTTGCAAACAAGACTTTCTTCTCCATCCATAGATTCATCAAAATTGCAGTATCGAAGTACATTCATTAGAGAATGTATATGTGATTCCTGACAACAAAATAATCCTTAGTCATTCTTATCAGGGAGAAGAAAACAAAAACAAAGAATTTCAGTTAAAAAAAAACTCCAAAGAAATGTCATATAGGAAATTGTCGTTTCCATGATGATGTATGCTTTTTAGAGCCTTAGTTTTTAGGGTTTTTTTTTTTTGAAATTTCTGTATACTTCTATAGTTATATTGATATATTACCATAAATCAAGAAAGCATAAACTTAACAATTTGCAAGGGGAATATGAAAACTCAATGTAATTTGTCTTACTGATGTAAAATAGAGCCTTGTTCGAACACGTCGTTCAGGTTCCATCACATTGGCATATCTACAACAAAATTATTTGAATATCAATTGTATTCTTCATAGTCAAGATTCCTAACTGGAATTTCGTACTTACTTTGGATCCAAGCAGTATTTGGTTTCTTTGTGCGAATCATCAAGATCAATTGACTTCTTGTTTGAGTTAGGTCTATCAAAACCCTCATTCTTAACATCCCCATAGTAACCCCTATCCTTCCGTTTTGAAGAAGGCACTATTGTTGGATCATGGCATGCATTAGATTCACCACCAGCAGCAGCAACCTCTCGTCTGGTGTTATGCAGGTCAATCAGAATCTTGCCCAACAAACGGCGTGCAATCTGAAGAAAAGGACATGAGAAACATCATAAGTTGCTTCTGCTCATTCTGATCAGGGGAAGATCACAAGCAAAGCTACAGATGCTGCTGCTGGACCTCCTGACCTGAGAACATTTGCTTATGCACCAACAAGATCTACCACCAGCCGTTTTGATCAGAGTGAAAACACGCGCAAAGCTATGTGCACTGCGGACAGCCCTCCTGATATTAGCACATTCGAATATAAACCCATGAAAAGCGCCGTCAGACGTTCAGATGGGAGCAAGTTTTCAGGTGCAGCACTAAAAGCAGCTAGACGAACCTCTCGGAGCTGATTCTCACAAAATTGTGGATGCACCTGCCAGCTTCCTTATCTGAGCATGTTTGGATTTGCGTATGCCTTCTGTCTGCGTTCATGATCTGAGTTCAACAGAATCATCCAGCAACAAATGCTCTCAATAAAAGTGCATTCCATTTTGCCCAAAGTGCAAGCACGGCTGAGGTAGCTGCCATTCACTACTACTAGCTGCAGGGCTTATCAGTTCAGACTTCAGAGCTCATCCGTATCTGCGCAATCAGAAGCACACATGTTCTGAAGGGAAGTGCTTTATCTTCTCGGTTTCCAGAGCCAATTATGTGGCATTTTGCGAGCCAAATGTATGTGCTCGTTTTTGCCTTGTCCAATGAGGTTCTTGTATGAACAGCAGTCGAATTTGCGATGCTATTTAAGCCGCAAATGAGGATACTGTTGTATTGTTCCTTTTTGAGAAGATACTGCTGTATGTTCATTCTTATACAAGTGTGAGCATTCCTTCAGAATTCAGATAGCATTACTCTTGTCAACTATTGATCAAGATGTTGGAAAGACTTTGAAACCGGCTGTTTAAGCACTTGCCAGCATTCTACCAGTCTTTCTGAAAGATTATAATAAGAGTAAATTGCATATTGGGAACAAATTTTTATCTAGTTTGCAGATTTTCACTTTAAACCGGCAAACTTCACAATAGTTGCAAAATGGACCGGTGTTCTTTTCCAATCTAAAATTCCAGTGGCTAGTCTTAAAATAACGGTGGCCAAACTCTGGGATTACAACCGAAATGAAGCTAATGCAAACATGGAATGAAAAAAAAAACGATACTATATAGTTTTCAAAGTATTCCCTCCGTCCCATAATATAAGGGATTTTGAGTTTTTGTTTGCTTTGATGACTCGTCTTATTTAAAAATGTTTGGAATTATTATTTATTTTTTTTGACTTACTTTATTATTCAAAGTATTTTAAACACGAATTTTTTTGGAAATAATACGATTTTAATGAAAAATTGTAAAAATATAGGTCGATTAGGCGAAATCGCATGTTTAGCACCCTGTCGAACAACCGTGGTTCGACAGCCATCTGTCGAACTGGGTAGTTGGTCTAAAAAAATATAAAAAAGTACGGCTACAGGAATCAGCAGGAACATGTCGAACTGACAAAGTTAGATAGGGTCACGTGAACAGTCAGAAATCAGCAGGAACATGTCGAACTGACAAAGTTAGATAGGGTCACGTGAACAGTGCCGCTACAGGACATATCGAACTTTCAAAGTTCGACAGGTTGCGGCTACAGGTGGCTGTCGAACTACGGTTGTTCGACAGATACCTCTGTCGAACCACGGTTGTTCGACAGGGTGCTAAACATGCGATTTCGCCTAACCGATCTATATTTTTGCGATTTTTCATTAAAATCGTATTATTTTCAAAAAAAATTTCCTTTAAGCACAACTTTTCGTTTTTTATATTTGCATAAATTTTTTTAATAAGACAGGTGGTCGTAAGCAAAAGCTCAAAATCCCTTATATTATGGGACGGAGGGAGTAATTAATATTCAATTTCTTACTTATCCATTGAAATATACTCCATATAACAATTGAAGATACTGCACGAATCTCCGCGCAATCAGCCGTGCAGATTCCCCTACTATCCCGGCCAGGGAGTACACTTCGGTGGACATCATCATGACCCGTCACCGCAGAGGCAAGCGCGGGCGCGCGAGCCCCGACCCTCCGGCGAAGCGCCGCCGCCGCGGCCGCGGCCACGGCCACGGCCCTGGCCCGCCGGAGTTAGAGGCCGACGAGCTGGAGGCTCCTCCGGCGCCGGTACAGGCTCCATCGGCGGCGGCGGCGGCGGCTTCGGAGCCGTTGCTAGTGATGGTCGCGGGGCTGCCGCCCGGGTGCGGCGTGATGGAGCTCAAGTCGCGGCTCGGGGCGTACGGCCCCATCGCGCGCACCCGCATAGACGCCGCCTCGGCCACCGGGTACGTCACCTTCCGCTCCGCCGCGGCCGCCATGGCCGCCATTGCTGCCTCCCTCGACCCCGACGGTGGCGTCACCGTCGGATCCAAGAAGGTAAGGAGATCTGCGTGCTGCAGTTGGATGAGCTCGATTTCAACTTGCTGTGCGTGTAGAGGAATGCAGTACAGCCTGTACAGGGTCAAGCTTTGCTGAGAATTGTTTGAAGGCGCTGCTAGATTTGAGAATTTTATAGATTGGCATCACATCCGGCCTTTTATCTCGACTTTAAAGTTCTGATGGATGATGGATTATGGATCAAACAGAGTTTATGAAAATTATTTGAGGGCACAGACGAGAGAATTTAGTATTAGAAAGTTGAAAGGTTGACTTTAAAAAGTTCTCTAAGAAATGCCGATGAAGAAAGTTTATGCAAAAATCATACCGTTTGGGAGTTTGGGAAGTGCGCCCGCAATAATCAAAAATCCGTGAGAGGAAAAGAATGCTTTTTTTAATTATTTTTCATCTCATTTTATACTCTGCATTTGCTGTTTCATTCTAGCATTTTGGATTTAATTAATGTGCTAGTTATTCAATTAACTTACACATTTGCTGGGCTCTACAAAACCTACTCAATTCCGTGATGAACTGGCTACCTTAAATTCAGTCCAAGGTTACAGTCAACCATTTTATCTGGTACAAGTCTATAAGATAGTAAATTATATTCAATATTGATCTTGTTTACATCCAGACTGTGCTGGTATCTTCGCTGTCACAATTTGTTCATGTTAACGGTCGTTTAAAACCAAGTAGAATACAGATTTAGTTTAGAAAAAATAAACAATAAACTTATTTTGCACTTTATTTTAGTCGAAATGCATCTGCACTTTGGTTGTGCAGCAGGCACAAAATAAACAGAACAAAATTTCTAACAGATTCAGGGGAAGCTATAGCATGCTACACATGTTTTGAGCCATTTGGTACTCTTGCTCTTCGATACTCAGATTGCTGGTTCTTTCATGGGTTGCAGGTTTTAGTTGTACAGGCAAGCGAGGCGCCGAATGACTTGAGAAGTACAGCTCAAGCCAACCCAGTGGGGGAGAATACGCATGATGCGACGAAGAGGAATGCAAGCGAATCTTCAGCGTTCTCGAGCACGAAAGCGGCTCCAGAAGGAACCTACAAAGCTAGAGAAATAGTCGCCTACGATGATCTGTTCTGAACTTCTAATAACCAGCCTTCTTTAGGGAGGAGGTGAGACAACCATTCAGGTTTGTTCTTGTACACTGCTAGGGTCTTTAGGTGAGTAAGCTATGGGTATTTTTTAGTGTGTGAAGGTACCTTCAGATGGGTAGGTGTTTCTTGTATTCAGCATGTATTGTGGAAGTTATCATCAAAACATGAGAATTTATGTATGTTAGATTGTTAATATTGACAGTGCCTTACCATCTTCTCAAAATTTCTATTCAAGTGCATTCGACTATTATTCGTGGCTACTTTGAAAACATTTGAAAAAGATTTAGCAAAAAAAAAAAGATCAAAAGTGTTTTGATCGATTCAATATTTGACACCGTTTCATAAAAGGCAGAAGAACCGTCTGATCAAAGAGGTGAAAAAAAAGGAATCTGGGAGTTGTGCTTCGTATCACATCAGTCTATACCAGTAAAAATAGAGCAAAAGTAAATCGAATATATCACACTGGCATGTCACAAATATACAAGGTATTATTCCGGGAATGTTCAGCGAGTACTTTTTGTTAAACATGTTCGATTAAAACGCTCCAACCTGTAAAGCTCTAAAAATAACGCTCTTAGCAAACGCCTAAAGTAGCAGAATTTTCTAGTGAAATTATTCTGAAGACGGAAACACTATAATTTTAAAGGCACATAATATGACCACCTTGTATATATACGGAAAATTTTATCCAGATACACGTGTAACCTATTATTTACGCAATTACACTGTCTGCAAAACAGCTCTATCAGGTTACATTCTCAGAACTGACAAAATTGTTCCAGCTGCATGATCTTCAGTGCTTGGCACTCATGCAGCATTTTGCAGACTCACTATTAACCTCTCTTCAAGGCAAGTGCTTTATCAACATTCTATTGGTAAACCATTTACCTGAGACTTTTGTTAACAGAAATATCAAACCATGTCTGACTTATCTTGCTGGCCTGCGTGTTGAACATGCTATTCTTGAAGCTTTTTTGTCTTCCTTTTTGGCATACCACTCACCATGTCTGACTTATCTTGCTGTCAAATTTCAAAAAGGAAAATATGTAGTTAATATAACAGGAGGAGGTAATAAAATAAGAAATTTTAGGTCATTATCGCCAAAGGTTAAAAAGATATAGCCAAATCAATCATGTATACAAAGAGGAAAAGGCTGTACAGTGACATCTGACTGGTTTGTTGATGATTATTCATAGCATTGTGTCAATATGACTAGTTAAGCTGATTGTTCCCAGACGTAAGCAGTCTTCTAATGATTTCTGATTGATTGCAGAAGCAGACAGCCTCATAACGCTATCTGATTAATGGAGTATCCATTGGCACTAGTCAATTTTTAATTCATTAGCGTTATATACTCGTGCAGTGACGATAGTTCCAGCATTGATCCCCTCTCTTAGCTGGTTCATACAATGTTGTGACATTTCTTAAACCTTCAGGCTCACTCTGTGGTATAAGATTGGAGAAGAATGTTTTGGTGGTATTTTTTGGCACTGACAAAACATTGGAAGTATTAGATGCTATTTTCTCTAAAATAGAAGGGCAGAATCATTCTATGATAAAGAACAGGATAGGGTACCAATCTTGCGCCTTGCAATCCATTATCCTTGCAGAAACGGACTGCCAAAGATTGAGAAGGGGCAGCTGGGGGGAAATCTTCAGCTGGCATTGCAAATGGACGAACCATTTTATCAAATTTGTCCAAGGTGAGATATGATCCAACTTCCTGCAATCTTTCTGGCTCCATAATTTTCATAGTGTGATCATCAGGTAGCAATGAATCTTTTCCATGTTCGCTCTGTATGGATACATTTTTCAAGAACTGTTGAGTTAATAACCAGAAATGTTGAAAACAAACATCTTACATTTCATTTGAAGGGGACCAAACTCACCTGTAAGGAACTTATATCTGCACCACGACTATATGTCATTTCTATGCGAAACCTTTTTGGGTCTTCCAAAGAAACCTGCAATAGTTGTCCAATGACAAGATCAATATCACTTCTCACCGGTAGTATTAGTAAAGTAAAAGCTTATGATTACACTATAATTTTTTAATACCTCTGTATTCTCGAACATACGCAATACAATGTAACTCATGTAGTCAAGTTCCCTTGTTTTAAACAGATTATCTAGAGCATTTTTGCAAACAAGACTTTCTTCTCCATCCATAGATTCATCAAAATTGCAGTATCGAAGTACATTCATTAGAGAATGTATATGTGATTCCTGACAACAAAATAATCCTTAGTCATTCTTATCAGGGAGAAGAAAACAAAAACAAAGAATTTCAGTTAAAAAAAAACTCCAAAGAAATGTCATATAGGAAATTGTCGTTTCCATGATGATGTATGCTTTTTAGAGCCTTAGTTTTTAGGGTTTTTTTTTTTTGAAATTTCTGTATACTTCTATAGTTATATTGATATATTACCATAAATCAAGAAAGCATAAACTTAACAATTTGCAAGGGGAATATGAAAACTCAATGTAATTTGTCTTACTGATGTAAAATAGAGCCTTGTTCGAACACGTCGTTCAGGTTCCATCACATTGGCATATCTACAACAAAATTATTTGAATATCAATTGTATTCTTCATAGTCAAGATTCCTAACTGGAATTTCGTACTTACTTTGGATCCAAGCAGTATTTGGTTTCTTTGTGCGAATCATCAAGATCAATTGACTTCTTGTTTGAGTTAGGTCTATCAAAACCCTCATTCTTAACATCCCCATAGTAACCCCTATCCTTCCGTTTTGAAGAAGGCACTATTGTTGGATCATGGCATGCATTAGATTCACCACCAGCAGCAGCAACCTCTCGTCTGGTGTTATGCAGGTCAATCAGAATCTTGCCCAACAAACGGCGTGCAATCTGAAGAAAAGGACATGAGAAACATCATAAGTTGCTTGTGACTAAAAAACAAAACAGTGCCAAATAAAAGGGCTAGCCTCTAGGAGAAAATTGGGTACTACATATTTTCTGCAACAAATTCCTTTAGCATCCTTCATTTCTAGAAACAAAATCTCATTTATGTTAGTTTTTCGGATAAACACTACATAATGAAAACAATGAATATACAGGACGCAACTCATAACAGTTTCTTTTCCAGTTTTCAAATATATTTACACACCAGTACCTTTGAACCAATTTTGAGTTTCTGCTTCGCATTTATTCCATACTCATTTGGAATTACACCATCAGCTAGTGACTGAATGAAAAAGAAACATTATAAATAGTTAGATAGCAGGCAGAAAATGGATAGAAAAAGAGCATTAGAATGACCAATCATAAAATTCAGAATTCAACATAAGCACGCCACTCTTACTAGTAACGTACTCCCTCCATCCCATAATATAAGGGATTTTATCCCTCTCACTAGACCCACAATATAAGAGATTTTGCTATACTACTTGTCACATCCATCATCTCTAATTCAAATTTCTACCTATTTTAGCCTCCAACTACCCACTCACCACAACCAAAATCACATTTAATAGGGGTATTGTAGTCTTTTCTTTTCATCCTTAACCTTTCCCAAAAGGGAATAATCCCTTATATTATGGGATGGAGGGAGTAATAGGTAGTATAGCAGTACATGTTTCTAATAGTGCATAGCATATTGAGTTCTCTCAGTGTTAATTTAGTAACAGTAAAGCAATAATCATTCACCACTCTACTAGTTGTATTCATAATGTAAAACAGGGATCAAAGGATTTCATTTAGGACCTGAGTGCTATGAAATGATGTCTTCATGTGCAAATATTTCACAAATACACAGGAGCAGCTGTATATCCGTGGTTCTACACACATTTAAGTGCAAGGTACATTTTAAGAGTGCGATACATATTTAATTTACCTGAGAAACTCTGAAGAGATCACTCAAACCATTAAGTTTGAGATGTGAGTTATGAAGGAGGTCATACCTGTCAAGTATACTGTTAGAAATAGATGAGGTGAAGAGATATGCTGGAACAAAGAAATGTTTTTGAAACTTGAGAAAATGCTTTTGTTTCGAACAAAAGCATCACGTGATTTTTAAAATAATTGCAAGAAGCCTTGAATTGCAAAAAAGAGAGAGCAGATGAACACTTGCAAAAAAAGCAAAATGAAGTTATTTTGGGCAAATTTTATCTGTCTTTGAGATCGTCAACATTGTGAACTTTCCAGTGATCCACTAGCAAACTTTCAGGTAAGCTTTAGGAAATATTTGAGACTTTGATAGTCATGTTTTTTTTTTTTTGAAACCAATAGTCATGGTTTTCTTATGAAAATAAGAAATTTATTTTCCTACGGCTGGGCTGTTTCGCTGAACATTCTTGTTGATTCCCTAGGTCACAGCCCCTAAGGCCTAAACAGCATGGAAAGCAGCTGGGCAAATCAAGGTCAGGCCCTCTCATGGCCAAGTTTCGAGGCACAATTTGGTATGCTAATTTGCATGTTCATTCAGAAAAGCAAATTCGAATGAAGTTGACAATTGACAAAGATCTTATGGAAGAGCATGATACAATCATATAATAGGCATCCAGGGCCCAGCTATTTTGTGAAGAGAAATAGAAGCATCTGGAGATGGTAACATGGTTACCCACTTGCAAGAGTCATATATATCAGGTATTTGCGTAGTGTCAAAACGTCTGCATCATAATGAGAGTTTTAGCAATGGTTACACAAGCTGCAACTCCTTCTGAGAATTTAATCAACAAGAATATTAAAAGCTTGGAAACATACTTTTTTCTTTCGTTGTAGAGATCCCTCTCTAGTTTCTTCCAACGGGCAAACATCAAAAGGAAGCTCTCGCTGCCACAAGGCAATCCAGAAGCAATGCGGTCCATATCAATTGCTGTTTTCCCTAGTGCCTTTGCTTGATCATAAGGATGACTTGGTGAGTCACTATCTGTCACAGCCTCTTCATCTTCATTGTCAGAAAGCAGCTTCACTTGTGCAGTTATTTCCTTGGTCAATTGAGCCTGATTGGACAGTTGAGATAAGGGCAACTTATTTGTCACCATTATAGATGTAATTATCTTAACGTTTGGTTGTTTTAGATGTGCAAGTTTCTGCAGAAACAACTCACAAGTATACGGTATAGAAAGCAAAGGGGAAAGGAAATAAATACATCTAATGCATATACCAAATTTGTGAGAAGGTTAGCAGCATTTGGAGGCACTCCAGCTCCATCAACCATCCATGGGAACTCCATAGTCTCACCATTTGCAATTTTTGAAGAAAGGATAATATTGTGCAAACGAGCCTGCAGAGATCTGACATTTTATGACAGAAACTTTTGAAGTTTCAAACAAATATTTTTTTTCATAAGTATGAGTTATGGCATTGGTATCTGAAGGCGACCTTCGCTTCATCTATCTCAATAGAGCCATCCTGAAGTCCATCAAGCATAGAAGAGTCCTTACTGACAAGTGAAACCTGGAGACAGTAAATCCAATGAATTGCAGCTCTGTCAAGTCTTCAACTGGATATATTTCCGTAATAGGAACAAACCAGAATTGGAGTTAACTCCCCCTCCAAATCAAGAAGACCTTTCGCAAAAGCTGCTGCAGACATCTATTAGGTAACAACAAGAAAAAAAATGTAAGCAACCATCCGTTAGGACCGTTACCCAGTACAAGAAAAATGACATAGGATAGTAAGGTCAGGAAACCCCAGCAATCATTACTTTTTTTACATATTAAATGCAAAATTATTTGATGGCATGTCATTATGTTCATGTTGTCTTTGGATTTTCTCCTTTATTTTCTCTGTTGTCTGTGTGCATCCCTGCCTGATGTAATTCCATTACTTAATGAAATATCCCTTGCCTAAAAAATTTAATGGCATGTCACAGAAGGCATAAATGTACAAAAAACATAAACATTTCAGTGAATCCAGAATGGAACTAAATAGTTTCTGGTAGTTAGAGAATTACTACGAAGAAGAATAAGTTATTACATTACGTTACTATTGATTATATGGACCAGGGTCCAGAAATCTGCTACCAGTTCTGCTTAATACTGGGTTTTTGCCCACTTGAAGGTGTGATGCATCAAATCATGTGTAATCATGTGAAAAGACCAGTTTTTCAGATAGCTGCCAAAAAATGGCTGGTTTTCAGAGGAACAGAGCAGGCGGTTCAATCCTGAGTCCCGACTCTAAAATCCTAACCCTGATATGGACATGATGTACCCAAAAAATGGCTGGTTTTCATTTTCTTTTACATTCAATAACCCAAGCCTGTAAGAAGAAATACTGCCATTTACCTGGACACGACCTTCATCTGAACTGTATATTTTCAGATCATGCCTATATGTACTGTGCAGACGAAGCAATCCTGGTCCTTCACCTAAATAAACCGAAGTCACACCAAAATAGTACATGAGACACAAAAGCCAAATAAATGGTGCTGTTTTCAGACAGTTAGAGAAAAGAATGGGAGGCTATCTAAAGAATGGGAGGCTATCTAACTGACATCTAGACAGAAATGGCAGCCAAATTAACAAAGGGAAAGGAAAGAAAGGACATAAGTAGGGCACAAAATATCAACGTGAAGGATAATAAACCATTTTGTGAAATGATTGCTGGAGTAATTTCACTAAAAGTAAAGATTGAGATACCATTTCAGTAAACCAACTGAACTGAAATAGCTGAACCTGACCAAGTTACATTTTATTGAAAAATTCACTACGATTATTTTGTTTAGTTAAGTTTTTTATTTCAAATTGGTACCCAAAGTGGCACAGTGAAACTGAATATAAACATTTAGTGAAGACTTCACCGAAGGTCTGAAATGGATTAGACTATTGTGGTGTTTAGTGATGCAGTTCATACAATAATTTAGTTAAAACCAGAGTTTCAGCAAAATATCACGTTGGAGACCCACAGCTTGATGCCACACATAGAAAGTTCTAAACGGGAAGCGGAAAAGTTTAGGATAAGGCATACTTGGATACATATTATTTCTGAAGTATCTTCCCAACTCTTCTGCCTGCATGATCAAACAAAAGCATCTGAGAGACACAAAGGGGGGACACGATAAGAACTTAAATGAAATGAACAGACTGATCATTAATCATGTTTACTTAGATTATGTCCATAGTACTAATAAGTTGAATATTTGGACATTGAAATTGGAGATTGTTGAATTAACATAAAATATCCATAAACCCCAAAAAATCATACCGACATCAAACTAAATGAGCTTCATTGGCAACGCAGTGCTCATTATAATAATGACAGATAATAAAATCTTCAATAGGTGAAATGAAAGCAACCTGCTTTCTCCCAGCATGAGTTAGAACTCCACCGTACTTGAGAACCATCAGTGCTTCAATTGGATACTCCTCCTTCCCGTTGCCGTTACTTTTAGGAATATGGACCCAATTGGATGGCTTTAACTGCACTTTCCTATAAATACCTGAAAAATGTCCACCCTACAGGCCATAGGGAAACTAATACTTAATGCCTAAGAATCTATTGTATTTGCAACTAAAATTGACAATGAGGACAAATGCAGATTATATATGGCAGTAAACAAAAGGAAATGTCTAGACAGCGCCTTTGTATCGCATTTCTATTCATGCAACACAATTGTCTCAGCAAGAACAAGTACATAAATAAACAATCTTATATGTAGTATTTAATTAAACAGAAAACATTTTGTAAATAGTGATGTGGTATTTGATTATACTTCACGAAAATCTACAAGAACTCTGCAATGGAGGCATGGAGCTCCATAGATATGTAAACAGTAACTGCTGAACCACATAAGCTATTTATGTATATACAAACTGTTAACAATTTTATGTTTTTTTTAACATTTATAGATGGAAAAATGATTTTTGAAGAACAGGTAGAACAACAATAAGCATGATGGAGATCCACGGGAAATATACAGTTATCAACATGAAGGGAATGCTTTCATTATGCACTGACAAGATCACAAGAAGCATGCTGCTATCGTTGTAGTAGAAATTAGCTGACCTAAATACCAGGCACCAGTGAACACCTTTTCGTGCCACTCCAAAGTACGTCCAACCAAAACCAACACTTTAGGCTTTAATCCTCACTTCATTTTACAGGGTTAACCCAGTTGGTGTGCATGGCTCTTCAAGGTTTATGTACAACTACCATTCTTATGCTTGTATATTCATCCTAGGTGCCATGCCAAACATATAGCCCTATTAATACTTGAACACTATTTTACCTCTTCTAGAACTGCTCTAACTTGGCGTAGCTTCTCTGCATGCTCAATTTCAGCATCACTATCACTTTCACGGCCAGACCTGAAGTTAGAAATTTTTTTCCTCTTTGTTAGCAACAAATCAACAATGCAACATACAAGGGAGAGAACATGCTCACAATTAAGATCCGTGTGGATGTCTACTATGTATTGTTAGAAGTCAGAACTCTAACCAAGATACACATATTACATAAAAACATAATTTCTGACATCAAAAGGTAAAATATTATATGGGGATATTAAACATGATCTCATAGATTTTTAGCATTTTGTAAACTAGCAAAAATGCACATATTTTGAAACCCTTGAGAACAAACAATAAATTGGAAGACATATTTGATACGGATTAATATTTTGTTTTGTTGTATGTTACTAGTGACATCCAGCTGCACATACACAAACCATAAACCATAAAACCATAGAAAATTTGAGGCTCCAGAAATTACCTAGCACGTGGAACAAGGATTCTTGTTGCATCTAATAGATCTTGCAGCTGCAAGGCACTTTTAAGTTTTGCCTGCACAATTTGACAACATGATCAGTTTTCAGGAAGCAAAAATATAAAGCTCATGAATAAATCTAAATCGAAATTGAGTTAGTTTTCGTACCTCTGCATGGGCCTTTCCTCCATTGTATTTCAACATTAATTTTAAAAGCTTTTCTTCAGTTACCTTCAGCTTCACCTTTTGCTTTGGCGTGCGATCCCCACTTGCATATCATTTTTTGTAGTGTCAAAAACAAGTTTGATGATGATACAATTTAGAGATCATAAGATTATCCTTACTGGCGTATAACAGCTATGACACAGCGCAGCTCTTCTGATTGCCTAGATATGCCAACAGTTCCCCTTTCTCGATCTCTTACAGCATCAAATGGTTGGACTGGCTCACTGACTTTCCATGGAAGATTAGCAGGAATGGTGGATGAAATATGTGGAGCTTTATCATCGAGAAACATTTTCCTCAGAATGCATGCAGCATCATCGTAGTACCTGGAGTTATGAAGGCATTCACCAAATAAACAAGATATAACGAGGAATTTGACCATAGAAAACTACAAATGCATTAAACTGTTACAGTAATTGTTCCAACAGAGTGAGAAAGATTTACTTGTGTGAGCTTTTCACAAAACTCCAGCCATTGACATCACATACATAAGACCTTGCCTCCCCCAAATCACACCTTAGAAGATCAAAACCACACACCTACACAAAGAAGGAACAACTACTGAGCTAATACAACTACCTGTATGGTCTTTTGGTTTTGGAATCCTGACATATATCAAATTGTTATCCGCAGTCTTATGTGCTTCGTTCTTTGTAATAATTGGCTGTAGATTCTGTTGAAGCAAATGCCGGAATTAATCTAATTCCATTATATAATAAAAATATAACTAAGCACATATAAATTAGCTCTCTGTATATTTGTTTTCTGCATGTATGGCTTCTGGTCATGGAATAGAGGTGTGTCCAATTCATCTCCAATCTATCTAATTGATCCATTTTGCTCAATGGCAGGAAAGAGCATTGCATGCCATTTCATTAAGCTAGAGGATCGAAAGTATTTTAGTTAAAAAAAGTCAAACTCAGTAATCACAAGATATTCAGCCAGAGATCAGGTCCCTAAAGGAAAAAACAAAACAAAAAAAGAAAATCAAGGAACTCATTTAGTACAGATGCGCCAGCAGAATAAGGTCAAGAATGACCAACAAAGGAAAATTTAAGCTACATATATAAGCTCTTAAAAGCATTTTGCTCCAGCAAGGTGCCATTTCATGCACTCCTTGATCAACCAAACTTGAACCACTGCAGCATTGATCCTATTGAAAATTCTCGTTCCACAGAATCCAAGCAACAGAGATCACTATGGAGTTGGATGCTCAATACCTTCTTGATCTTCCACACTACTTGACCTTGTGCTAATTAATCTTGAAGGAAACAAATTCTACTTATATGCTGTAGATGACTTAACACGATGATGGTTTCACTAACTGTATCCATTATGTCTAGTGGTATTGACAGGTGACAGCCCATAAATACACAATATAAGATACATCCTAAGTTCTGAAATAGTGTAAGCTTCCGACATAGTAGGAATTAAATAATAACTAAAAGAATTCTGTACCGCTTGTCCGAAGGCTTGGCAAATATTCCTTGCAATTTGTTTCTCAGTAGGGGTTAGTAAAACAGGATAGCGCACCTTCAAGAAAGATACAAATTATACAACAAGTGTTAGATACAAATTATACAACAAGTGTTACTATATATCTACACAGAATGGTAACTAAAGAACATAAACGGGTTAAATATCCATCAAAGTGTCAAATACTGAGGCATATTGATAGCACTGGTGAATCCTATGGCAAATAGGCAACAAAGGTTACCTCTTTTCCATCAGAATTCCTCATAACAACCCCATCTACAACTGGAGATTTGCGGGCTTCAGCATGTGCATATCCTGGCCCAACTGTATAAACCTACAACATGATGGTTAGTCTTTTATAGGACAAAGCAACCCTGGACCAATTGGGAAACTGTCCTGATGAAGATAATTTTCCCTCAAACCCAGATTTCCAAGAGAATGTGATTCCCTTTTGGTATCCCTAGAGATTCAAGTCCTTACCATGGTGCATTTCTTAATGCCCAAATAAAAAAAAGGGAAGCTTGTGGCATATGTTGCATGTTATGGCAACAATGCATGTAGGCATCAACTGTATAAAATATAATTATTTTATGTTTACTCATTACCAAGAAGAAAGCTGTAAAAAGTTCCTTTTTAACATATCTGGAGAGTATAAGTTGGGAGGAAAAAAAAATAGCACTAGGCGCAAGTTCTGTCACCTTGACATCTGTTCCTCCTGTTGGCATGAATTCTTCATAAATGTAAGATCCATCTCGCCTCACCTTCCTAATGTCTGGATAAAATTCACTAGATCGATTGCCAACCTATGCATAAATATTTTGAAGAATACATCTGGTGAGTGAATTTGGGGAGTTTTGAACAGATGAAAGTCGACTGGAAGAACATGATATGACAAGCAGATTCAGAAATCAGAATGCACATTAACTCATTCATTTATATCAAAGAAGTTTAACCTCAGCAAGAAAATACCAACTAGAGCAAAGATAGCCAGTTATTTTTTAAGGAGGCCGGCCTGAATATATTAACCTTCAAAGGTAAAAAAAAAAAGTAATACAAAGGCGGACACAGCGCAAGCACGTCAGAGAGGACACAAAATAGATAAAACAGCATGTTAGAACATAAAGCAGATGATCATCTGCTAGGTTACTGAGTTATACTGTGACAGTGTTTATTATCAAGTAATTTTTCTTAGCAACAAGAAAGACATCACACATAATTGTGTGTGTAAAAGAAAAATAGATAGGATTATAGACACTCTGTGCTAAACAAGGAACAAGCTTGGAAGAAGAAAATGAAAAGGAAAGCAGATTAGAACTGAAGCAGCTCCCTATCGACAGCGCTAACACCATCTACTCTAGATGCTAAGTACTTCCTCAGTTAAGAAATGATTAGTATTTTCTTAACAAGAAAGAGACTAATTACAATTTTTCTACCAAGAAATGTGTGTGAATTGAAGGTAACAAGTGCCCACCTTGCGGAACAGTTCTTTCATTCCTCCACCAGCGGAGCTAGGATAATATATCATTATGTTATGGTCATCTCCTATGTACAACAGAATTAGTCAGCAGCAGCAAAGATTTGTTCTAACACTTCTTTACAATGCGGCAAAGTTAATGTTTAAAATAGACAATCTGACAAATTAAATTTGCAGTACCGCACAAATTGGAATATGCATGGATGCATTGATAAGACTGATTCATGATTTGCATATAAAAAAATGTAGAACTTATTGCAGAACAATTGGCAGTTATTAAGGATAGGTTTTCCACAATAAATGAAAGTACAAGGCACAGACCACAGGGGAACAAAATGCATACTTTAGCTAAAATAAATTGTCTACTACTAAACCAATAATAAGAATGAATGAACAATTTTAAGTTTCTTACCCATCAGTACTAATATGTAAATTTGTTTCATACCATGCCATGAAGAATATCTCATTTATGTATTTTAGGAGCAAGATAAGCAATGTTTAGTGTTTGACATTATTTAGACTGCCAAGGCTTCGGCTTGTTGATGCTTCGACAGTCAACATATGTTTCCAAAGCACTCATGCATTCTATTGAAATTAGATCCATATCACAGCAAGGTCAGGCCCAAATATCAATTGACTCATGATATTTTGCCAAATACATAGTTTTTCCTAATCCTAGAGAGTGGATGCAAGGTGGGCTCTAATGAGTTAGCTTTGCATGGTTTGTTTTAATTATGTCCATTAAAGATGTATTATCACCACCCAATCGTACCATTAATTTGTGTTTTGAGTTGTACCCTACAATACGGAATGGATTTTGCCAGTTTTTGGAAGGCTCGCAATTTTCTTTTGTAACCTGCCACTTCTCATAGTTGATACTAGGAAGCAGCCTTCCATGAGAAGCTTAATCAATCAGACCTAGTGCAGGTTTTCTTTTTCTTTCTTTTTTTTTGTTTTGGCGTACATGTATTCCGCAGATATAAAATGATAGTTGGTATTCTAGTGGGAGACAGAAGAACAGGCATGAACTAGTAGAAGGAAAAACCATTAAGAAAATATTTTTTCTATCAAGAGCTGATACTAACATACCATCGATTGGTTTCTCCACAAAAGGCTTGTAAAATCGCTTTCCATGGATCTCAATAAAATCATCTTGCTCAACAAAGTACTTTAACTCTTGGTTAGGGTATTCTCTTCTGACAACAGCATAAGTTGGAACAGGAACTCCGAACAATTTAAGGTGCTAAACAGGCAAAAGGGAAGTATCAACATTTGCGAAAAGAGAATAAGCTATTATGTAAAAGGTTGCAAACTGGAGTGGAGGGTTGTGTTTCTCTATAAGTATAGTTGGATAAAACCATCTGTTGACTATCTTATCCATCCTATAAATTTTGTTGACGGTAATAGTTGCTGTGTCAGGAAAACAAAACAAGAATACTTATAGGCCAAGCATTTTGTTGGATATACATAATGATATAACAAATAAAACAAACTATACTGTTCTTGCAGACTAGGACCACATCAGTCACATAATATAAGGAACAGACATAACATCTAGTTTTTTTTACAGTACTTATCTTTCCATCCAAAATTATGCATATCCTTTTGCAGGTTCCATAGGACACATTTACACAGAGGAACATATTGTAGGCATATGAACTTAAAAGAAATTTCTTTTCAAACTGGAAATGCTATATCTAAGAAGAACATTTGCTCACAGGAGATTATCTCATTGGTATCAGTTTCCAGAGAGAGAGAGAGAGAGAGAGAGATCAGTACCAACTTCTGCATTTATTAGGATAAAAAGGCCTGTTTGTATTGGCAGTTTCAAAAGAGAATGTAACAGATATTACAGTAGAGTCTTGAGATTAACATGGTCAACAATAGACTGCAGAAGCAAAAACTAGATATTTCAAACGAACTAAACAAAGGTTCATTACCAGATATTCATAGATGATCTTGCTGCCATCTTTTGGTTTATATACTGTTGAGTACTACTACCTTCTTCAAGAGAAGTTATTTCTTCTAGTTTAAAGGAGGTTAATTTGCATCCCATGATAACTAGCAAGAAATAACACATCTTTAAAGAATCTATTACAGAACAAGCAACTCAGTCAAAACATGAAAAAAGGATATCTCAAATGTACGAAGCATCATTTTTTATTATACCGATATTAATACCTCATATACTTTGCTGCGATCATGGAGGAGGTATTGGGGATCCAACTCATTGACCAAAAATGGCCTGCATAAAGATATTTACATAATGTTATTGCATCAAGTTGATGAACTTATATAGGTATCTAGCTAATAATAAACATGTGAATTTCTTAGGCCCATAATCAACACTGCCTGTGTATTTCCCAAGAAAAATAATATACACATTAATAATATGTTCAAATTGCAGCTGACCAGTGTTAAAAAAAGGCTAGCTCAAATGATAACCTATACTTATGATTTCTAAAGTTCTCTTCATTTTCTTCAGCTACAGAAAAAAGGCATAGGCAAACTCATATATACATACATGAATGAAACAGTGATATCAATAAGAGCTTAGGTGATGCTATTATGAATAGAGTTGCTTTAGATACATTAATTAGCCATGGGCACATTCAGTAGCAACTATATCAAAGTAACTTTAAAAGTGGTGCAAATGTTGAAGCCAAAAAGGGCAACTATACAGAAACAACACATGGGTCATCAATGTCCACAATTTTATTGTTGATAATTATCTTAGTCCAGCTGCTAGTAGTACTAGAAATGTTCTATATGTCAGGGAAGCCTGTTGTGAAACTAAAGATACTTGCAGATCCAGCACAAAGATGTGCTCTGAAAATTTCATGTGTCAGGAAAAGCATTTAACCTGCGTAAAGCAGCATATTTCTCTGCCTTTTCTAGTGGATACCCAGCCGAGTAAAAGGCAATCAGACAGTCACATAGAGGCCAGCTGTCAACAAAAAAACAGAACAAAGATGATTTCATAGTAAACACAATATATGAAGAAAAATAAATCACTGAATTAACCTCATTATACTCCATCCAATCACGAAAACATATGTGCAGATAATTAGATGTTTTGGACATGTTTCAAGTCAAACTTTAAAAAGTTGAACATCAATGTATTACTAGATTGAATGTATGAAAATCATATGCGTAGATTTGCCTCAAAAAGTATTGTTGTAATACATCAGGTATTCAAAGATTTTACAATAGAAATTAGTGGTCAATACTGCATTTTGAAGACCGTGTAACTGTCCAAAAAGGCATTTTTTTGTGACCAGAGGTAATATCATGTAAAGTCTGATATCATCAGATAGAAGGAAATCTTTAGTATTCTAGGAATATTAAGTTGACATCTGCTAAGAGGTGCATCATCACATATGGACAATGGATTTATTTAGCAGCACAAAATTTTAAAACATATCAGTTATATTTCCTAGACAGATATTCATAATCACTCTATCAAGGATTAAATATGGTTATGCTACAGCAATCATTTGTGAACTGACTATATTTATCCTAGGTCTTATCCTTCAAGTAAGACAGCATGATCCATCATTCATGTCTGTACATCTGTACAGATATTTTGACCTGCATAATTTGCTTTTCTATTTTGCCAATAACAACAAATTGAGAACTAAAGAATTCAAGCTCATAGAAGGCTCTCCCTTCACAGCTATCAGGCATACCTTTCAATAGGATCTTCAAGAATGATTTTGTCACCAAAAATTATAATCTGCATCCATAAAGCATGCATGTAGTTATTAACATTCAGCACAATGTAGTTGCTTTACTAAAGAGCCAGAGATGCTCATATGTTGTATTGATCAGAAGCAAAACACTTTACTATGCCAATACACCATGGTGGCATATACGTATCTTCTGCAGGATTCATAGCTACAACTGACTGTATTTGGCAACTGATAACAGAAGAGAGAGTATAATTACAAGGTTCTTCTTCCATAACATTTTATAGATATTTATCTAGTTTTTATGACTACCAAACTTGAAGTTGTGCAGGCCACACATAGACTTTTGTAGGAAATAATACAAGAATGGCGTTTTGCATGGTTGTTGTTTGTTCCTCCTACATATTCTTGTTTTCCGGGTACCCGGCCAAATAATGAAGGATTGATTGAGCCGTGGAACCCGGGCAATATGTAATCGCCACGCCTTAACTTGTACAGCAGTCAGAAAATAGGGTGCTAATGGGTTCAGTTACACAGTTTACTCCTGCATATGGAAACAGAGACACAAGGATCATATGCTTTTTTCAGTTGATGTTGTCATAGACCTCTAGCATGTTTCTTCAGACAGTTCGCGGGCATCAATAATCCTAATTGAATCTCTGAATGCTTCTCATCCTACAAAAAGACTCCATTTTTCCTCTCCATTTGATATCAAAATTTGCTCTTAAGGAGAAACGTCAAACTAATTAACAAAAGAAACACGGGCTGGAATCTGCCTGAAGACCAGAATGACCTTTTCCGAACCATACCTCGAACTCCCCGAACGCCCGCAGCCTCTCAAGAATCTGCTCCATGGGGGAACACCACACCTGCAACCAACATGGGAGAAAAAGAATAACAAAAAGTAATCAACATGGCCACCTCCGCATTGGAGCCAACCCAAGAACACAACTGAAAAAAATGGATAAAAAATCACACCTTCTTCTCCATGACGCAGACACCAATCTTGATCTTGCCTCCACCGTCACAGCCATCATTCCGCCGCTCCATCCCCTCGCTACCCCTTTCTGTTCTCCGGGAAAGAAGAGATTACAACGGGAAAGGGAGGGTCTGTTTCTTAGGACATTTCGCACCCCCCACAAGGATTCCAAGATTGAAGCTTTTTATGGAGGAGGGCAGGGAGGGACGAAGAGGGTATGTGAGGAGAGTGCACTGTGCAAGGATAAACTTTTCTTCCTTTTTCCCCCTTTATTTTTCAAGGACTACAAGTCTACAATGAGCAGCTCTCTGCGTCTCTCCCCATGCTAGTTATTCTGAATCTCTTCCCATGCTAGTTTATCTCGGATTTGCTCGGAAAGAACCTCCTTTTCATTGCTTTTACTTTTGTTTATGTGCTCAGCAGTCAACATGACTCTTCTCTTTTTCAGTTTCTCCACTTCTGTTCAGCAAGAAATTAGGAGATACGGTAGTTAGTTGGCTTATTGCTACGGGCACACGGCAAGTTTTGGTTTACTTGCAAGCACGACCACACATTCGAGGTTTCTGACAATACATGATGAGTCTAGTAGCAACACAAGCACAATTTAGGACAATTTAGGGTGTGTTTAGTTGGGGAAAAGGAAATTTTTAAGTGTCACATTGAATATTTGACCGGATGTCGGAAGGGGTTTTCGGACACGAATAAAAAAACTAATTTCAGAACTCGCCTGGAAACCGCGAGACGAATCTTTTGAGACTAATTAAGCCGTCATTAGCACATGTGGGTTACTGTAGCACTTATAGCTAATCACGGACTAATTAGGCTTAAAAGATTCGTCTCGCGATTTCCCCCATAACTGCGTAATTAGTTTTTTATCTATATTTAATGCTTTATGTATGTGTCCAAAGATTCGATGTGATGTTTTTGAGAAAAAATTTTGGGGAACTAAACGGGCCCCAAAGGACTACGTTTTTTGGCTGTCAAAGTTTCTTAGAGCATCGATAGTACTGCAACTTGGCGAATGCTTTTGGATTAGGTGTTTTTTCTTTTCTTTTTGTCATATGGAAGAAAATAAATAGAAAAACAAAATCGATACTGCTTTTGAGCAACGCATGGTATGAACTCATGTTTGCTTTAGTTGTAGTCAATCCACAACGGAATGTCTAGAGTGATTTCATAATTAATTAAAATATGTCGGTCCAGTTTTTTTTAATGTGCTTATAAGATATAGAGATATAATGTACGTGAATATGCATGTGTATATTAGCCGTAGTACGTTTAGAAAATAAAATACAACTACATGTGCATGGGAATGGGTGCACCTAGTATTTCATTAGTTTGTTCGGTTTCATTTTCTCAGTCAGATACTCCCAACACTTTGTAAGGTAGCAATTGGTTCCTCCTATGTTTTTTTTTCTTCTTATGACCAGTTGTGATAGTCAAAGTTTTAAAACTTTAATTGAATGTCAAAGTTTTAAAACTTTAATTGAATTTTATCTACTTCCTCCATCCTAGAATTTAAATATTTTTTAAGTAGACACGGATATTAAGAAACTAAGTAGAGATGATTAAAAGAGGATTGTGATTGGTAAACAGAAAGTAGGTGAAGAAATTACTTTATTTTGGACAAGTTACTATGCTACAAATAGATATATTTTGGGACAGAGATAGTAGATATTAAATATGTATGACTTACGGTGTACTTATATGTCACTATATTTGCATATTTTCTTTTCAATTACAATAGTAATAAAAAATACTTCATACTTCGTCACACTGGAGTGTGGTGAAGGCGCCCATGGATTACGTCGCTCAGGAAGGAAATTTAAGATTGAATGGTCTTTCGAAAGATGCATACTGTATCTCATTTTATATATATAGTCTTATAAAATATTATTGCTACTTTAAAAAGAAAGGCTAGATTTATTTAGGAGACTGACCAAGAAATGTATAGGCAAATTTTTATATGAGCAAGCAAATGTTTCTTGCAAGACCCAGCAAAATGTTCCATCAGCTTATGGAGGCACTTGACGTTAGTCAGCCATGTCATGCAAAAAGGAAAAAGAAAAAAAAATCTTCTAGGCATCCACTCATGCTGGCCTTCTTCTACAGTGGGCCTTGACAAATAAACACATGTATTTTTATCACAAATTTTGATAATTTGACCTTTTCCGAAAATTAATTTTACAAATAAACTGCGGCCAAAACTTATTTCAGAAATGACTCTTTTGTTCAGCGCAAATCGTATGGCGCTAAACTTAGACACCTCAGCGTCATGTCAGCTGGCGCTGAATGTCGTGCCACCGCGGATGAGAGGCTGAGTCGGCGTGCCAACATGCATTCAACACCGTGCTATTTGATACTGAGGTGTCTAAATTCAGCGCCATACGATTTGGCGCTGAACAAAAGGATCATTTTTTAAATAAGTTTTGGCCGCGGTTCATTTGTAAAATTAGTTTTCGAAAAGGGTCAAATTGTCCAAATTTGTGTACTTTTATAATTGATGTTCTCTAACCACAGGCACTTAATCGCAAAATAGAAAATAATAGAAGTAGGTGACAAAATGTTGTACTACCTCCGTTTCAGGTTACAAGATTTTCTAGCATTACCCATATTTATATAGATGTTAATGAATCTAGACATACATGTGTATTTAAATTCATTAACATATATATATATATATATATGAATATGAGCAATGGTAGAAAGTTTTATAATATGAAACGGAGGAAATACATTTTACAGAACCAGATCTTGGACGAATTCCTGTCAGTGACGCGCGCGCGCGCGAGATCACATCCCACAAAAGGTGAGGTACACCTATCAGATGTCCTTTGGGTCTGAAAGTGCTAATCAGAAATGTTTAGGGAATCAATCACCAAATTTTCAGCTGTCAAATATTTGCCCCAAAAATCAGTATTACATCTCCAAATCCTCCCTTTCAGATGATTCAGAAATAAAAAAAAAACCAAAAATGGAAGACCCAAGCAGGAATATTTTGAAGAACATTCAGTCATACCATGGAATATCCAGGCAAATGCTCCCATCAGAAGAGCACCCTGAGATTAGGCGAAATTGACCCGTGATCTAATCCAATTGGTGTTCCCGTCGGCGTCGACGTCGAGATCGTAGCACGTAGCAGGAACATCCAACTGGAATATCCCAAAAAATGATTTTGGAGGCTCATGCGAGATTATCTGACCAAATCTTTGTGCTACGCGCCACATAATCCAAGAATTATGGGAACCTTTGCTTCCACGTTCAAACTCCAGAAATGATTGTTTTCGGCTATGGACAAATACAATTACGTCTGATCCTTTATATATATATATATATATATATATATATATATATATATATATATATATATATATATATATATATATAAGGCAAGGATAGAATTTTTGTATTTAACACAACTGATAGAATATTTGATTGTGTAAGTTTTGATCGAACTGGAGCACTGAAGACCATTTGATTTACTGGAGAGTCATCTACTGCGTGTAACTAGCCGACACTTATTATAGTAGTGTCTGCTTTGTGTGTCTCTACTCTCTAGAGTCTGCTTTCAAAAGGTCAGCAGTTTGATCTTTAGGAAGACAGCATCTGAGAATATTGTTCTTTGAAGAACCAGATGCGTCACTACAGTATTATATATATTCAATCCAGAATATGGTTCTACGCTACGACGAATAGCCTCCGATGGTATATTGGTATGGCATACTGATTACTGAATTTATTTTAAATTCATCTATAATGGAGAGGTCGAATGTGGAGTCCAAATAAGGTAAATATAGCCCGGGATTGGTAAAGTTATCACAAAAGAAATTGACCAAATCATGTTGCACACTTAATTTTTACTCCAATGACAACACAAGAATGGATCTGATGTTTTGCTTCTGTACTAGCCATAAAGGGGAATCCAGCATGATACTAACTAATCAGACTCTAAGCCAGAATTCACCGCAATGGTAAATCCACTCCCACAATAGACGTTAACTGAAGCAGAAGAACATGGCCTCTTATCACCTATATTAACTCTCTGTGGAGTCACTTGATCACAAGTATCTCCCAAACCAAGCTGTCCATGCTCTCCCCAACCCCAGGTGAAGACTGTTCCTTTATCTGACAAAAAGATGCAAGAGCAATTAGTTTGTACCACCCAGGGATTATGTGCTCATTTTCAGCCTTTGAGTAACTTACCTGTTACCGAAGCAGAATGTTCAGTGCCAGCAGCTATGTGCACCACCTGTTCTCCATCAACACAGGGAACCTTCACCAGTGTTGATGATGAGGATGATTCTGCAAATCACAAAGACAAATTTTATATGGTGATAGGGAAAAAAAATGCAGCATGCAGATCAAATGGCAAAGAAAAGAATGCCAACCTCTTATTGAAGAAAAAAATTGTTCGACGTCCGATTTACCCTATGCTATGAGTTTATTTCAACTAATCTTGTATGAACTAAGCAGATTGTTATTACAAAAGAAATTAACAGAAAGCACAACGGTTGGGCAATAATTACTAGGCTAACACATAGAATGAGTATTCATCTATATGTAAAGATATTTTCCAGTCCAGCTACTGGTTCCTAATAAAAACTTAATACAACTACGTGACATAATATAACCAAAATTGAAAAGGGGCTACCATCATGACTATGGCTTGTTGTGGCGGGATTTAGTCTCTGCACTGGCTCTGCACTTGGCAACACATGGGGATCAAGCTTACGATGACGGTAAGCGCCAATTGTGTACAATTCACCTGCTGTAACTGCGGAATGCTTACTCATTTGACAGCAGTTCCAGAAAACATATTTCAATTGAAAAGGAACAACGCACCACATACCAGATAAAACTAATGCATGATGCCATCCTAATGCCACTTGAGAAATACCCAAAGAAGGAAAGACTGGCCGAGGTTGATCATCATCATGTTCACCAATTAATGCTCTTCCCCAGATGTACAACTGACCAGATTCTGTTCCATGCAATGAAAGTACAATCATGTCCAAGTACCAAAGAGAAGAAGAGTGTTTGCACAACAAATTTACAAGGCTTACCATCCAATGCAGCACTGTGATCTCCATTGGCATATATATTCCCTATCTTACAGTCTGGAAAACCATCAATTATTCTTGGAACATCATAGAACTTTTGGTTCCTAGTGCATCTACCAATTTGTCCCCGTCTTGTTGAGCCAAATCCATAGACAGAATTATCTGCAAGAACAAGGACTAGCAGTGTCATCCGTTTGTAACATATATAACAATTAGTTTGTCAATACATCAAGTAGAAGAGGTGTCCATATAATTCTCAGGACGTCCAATAGGAAAGATATATGACTGATGAGCTAAAACCTGCAACATCTCATGCATATTCATCATTAGAACACAATGATGGTGCAGCATCCCTCTGAAAAGAATGCTAAAGGATGGCTCAAAGGTACACCTTCATAGATTCCACATCATCAGAGAAAGCAGTGGCCTTAAAATTCTCAGATGACTGATAGGAAATATTATATGGTTGTGGATTGATGACCCTCCCACGTCTCCCGAATCACTAGTGCAGAAGGGATGGTTCTGCATCCACATGAATGCTTTGTATGCCATATTGCCATAGTTGGAAAAAAATCAAAGAATGCTCACTCAGCCCTTCTTCAAGGAATCAACAACCCTAAGTTGCCGGTATGTTTGGCTTCAAAGAAGTGTATAACTGTGTATAGGTCATCTTGTTCTTGATTTTCGCTTTCAATAAAAATTATCAGTATGGTCTTGCCCTGCTATAGCGATGCCTATCCTCAATTGAAAAGAAAAAATATTGATTAATTGTTTCTTTCAAAGGCTGTTTAACTTTAGAAAATGCATTACGGAATATGATTGGGTCATTTAAAAGTTGGGTATTGCCCAGACAATGGAAGATTTCTGAGCAAGTGGTTTCAGAAGAGGTAACAGAGTAAATCTGGGTAGGTTCATGTACTATGCAATTTCTTAAAAATTAAGCTAACATCGCAACACATGATGTTGCATACCTTTCAAAAGGACAAGAGAATGACGCATCCCAAGTGCAAGCCTCACAACATGCTTTGTGGTAAAGTATGCCACTTCAAAAGGTAAGTTTCTTGGGTGGTTATCACCAGCACCGAGCTGTCCAAATGAACCATCTCCACACATGAAAAGCTGTCCAGAATCTGAAAATAAGAACTAGAAACATCACAGCTAAGCTCATCAGTAATGGTTTTATTTTTGAAACAAAATAAACACCTGAAATGCACAGACTATATGTGATATAGAGTATAAAGTAGATTTTTTGAACATAAAGCATAAAGGATCAAAAGAAAGTACAAGGAAATAAGGTGGTTTCAGAATTGGACACCTGTAGCAAATCCAGAATGGTTCCATCCAGCAGACACACAGGTTATCATGTAGTTCTCAAAGAACTTTACAAGCTTTGGATGAGGGATGTTCTCCACGTCCCCATGACCAAGCTGACCATGTGTACCTCTTCCCCAAGTAAATACTTCACCATCACCTGAAATGTTGAGTAGCTGTTCAAAGAACTGATGCATATTGCTCACGTGAAGGCATCTGATGCAGAGACTAAATTCTTGAGGACTGACGGAAATGGGACAAGGTTGCCAATTTAGGGCACATACAAAATTTCTGCGTGCCATTGCACTAATATAGGCACAAAAAGATTCAGATTTACAAGCCCATCTCAAAACACCCAAGAGGAAAGAAGGCAAAAATGCTTAGGTTGCCAATGAGAGAATTTTCTTCCTGGTAAATGATCAAGCTTCAGCGAGCAATATATCTTGATAATGGAACAAGAATGCTTTGAAAAAATGGCCAAGGATAGAACAAATCTGTGAAACATATCCAATCACTAATTACTGGAAAGCGGAATTTGAACTGAAAAGGAAAACACTCAGCCCCTTGTTAGAATACAAGTATACAACAGAGAGATGTCTCTCCACTTAATGGCACTAAGTTCAAATATTCAGAACAAAGGAACTAGCGAAAACCGAAAAGTTTTAAATTTGTGAAATAGAAAACTGTTCTGATTAATCATCAAGCCCAACACAGCAACACTTCAGTGGTGTTTGGATGGAAGTGATTATTCTAGACACTAGAACTGGTGCAAACTGAAGTCTCTGAACATCTGTTGCTATGGTGAGCAAAACTACATCGCCGTGCACAAATCCATTGTCAATCTAGGTATCTAACTGAGTTCAAGTTCCGGCAAATGCGAGAACCAATCATTACTACAACGATCGTTTACTAGAAAAAAAAATGTGGCGGCTTTGAACGGGACCGGGGCTTACTTGTGAGGGCGATAGCGTGGGCGCCACCGCCGGCGACGAAGGAAACCAGACCGCGGCAGCGAGGTGGCAGGAGGAGCGGCTGCGGGAGATGGTGGTCCTGGAAGCCGCCGTTCCCGAGCTGCCCGTCCGTTCCCGCGCCCCAACTCCACGCCCACACCGCCTCCTCCTCCTCCTCCTCCGCCGCCGCCGCCGCCTCCATGCCCCCGAACCGGTGCGAAGAAAGTTCCACGGGACTCCGGTCCTTCGGTTATCCGAAGGACTTCACTTCCCTGCGTGACACGTGTCCCGGCACGAATCTCAGAGCACTATTCCTCTCTTTCTCCGACCAGGATGGCCTTTGCCCACAAGACCGTATTTGGAATTTTTCTTGCAGGGGAATCCGTTCAACTTATGTGTGCAATACTGTGACTTTTCCTCAAGACAAGAATCCTTCTGGATTTTGCAACAAGTGAGACAGCGTGTGGTCTTCTAGTTCTAGCAAGTAGTACTGATTCTCGAATTTGATTCCCTTTTAAAACGTGTTTGATCTTCGTTCTCTCTCTCAAAAATTCTGCTAATTAACCGGGTTAGTAGACGGAAAGTCAGACGCTTGAGCTCGAGCGAGTTCTTTACGTTCTCTCCTTAACCGGATCGCCAAATTAAAGCAGCACATCGCCTTCTGCAATCTGCACCTCCGGATCATTTCCATTTGCCCAAAAGGAGGGCAAATTGGCCTAGCTAGCAAGGCCACCGAAAGCTCACGACAATGGCGGTCGATCAATCTGGTCTGTACTTTTTTCGACGGTGTGAAAGAAACAAGAACCCGACCAGCATCTGCTGATCTCCGATCGATGCTTAGTGTCCGCGAGAACCAGCGAGCTACCTTGGTTTGTAGTGCTTCGATTCGAGATCTTGGAACGAGCTCGCAATCAGCTTCCTTCGCCGGCCTGCCGGACGATTCTCGGCGTCACGTCGCGGTCGAATCTCTCATCGCCTCATCTTTGATGAAGAATTCAAGATAAAAGTGCTTAACTAGGATCGCCGTTCACATTGCATTTAGAGGTGGGAAAATATTTAACTCGAGAGGACATCCTTTCCTTTTATACATATTATTTAAATGGTTATTTTTTTACAAGATATATTAATATGTGATAAGTCACTCTACAAACATGTAAGATGAATATACGTAAGTCATACTCCCAATGAATGACATGCAAACAACGAGGGGTGATCCCTCGAGAATTTAGAATCCACTCCCTACGACCATCGGTTTCTGACTTTCACCAGCTTCAACGTTGGCATCAACATTGTTCTCTCTTTTACGGCCTTTTTTTTTTCTGAATTCTGAACACTTCTACTATTGAACTTTTGTTACGGTTGTATTAGGCATTGCGTGCCTTGAAGTTAAGGGCAGGAACAATCCGAAAAGGTAAAAAGGTGACGAATATATATCGAGCTTTATTCGTTTCCCTCCGATCCATCACACGCACTCGCCGATGGATCAGCTGCTGACAGCGGCGCACGCAGGATGGTGGCCGGGTTGGAACTTGGAAGCTCCAAACACCGCGAGAAGCATCATCACTCAGCTGCAACCTGAAGCACCGTGGTCTATAAATATAGCTCCAGGACAGGCTCTCTTCTTACTCTCACCCAGTATAGTTCTCCATTGAGCAAACTACCAAAGGGTACTCATCTGAAACAGAATCCAGTGATCGACCAGCATGGATGATCGTAGGTACGGCTACTCGTATCCACCACCCCAAGGTAATAAGCATTATGATCACTTGCAGAGTTACATTCATGATCTATCTCCTCGTTGATTTTACTTGCTTGATTAATTTGGGCTTGCAATGCGTGCGTGCAGGGTACTACAATGGGCCGCCGGTGATGGCGCCGCCGCAGTACGCGGCTCCGCCGCCGAGGCGGCCGGAGCCGAGCTTCCTCGAAGGATGGTAAGAACGACAAAGCCATATGCGAGCATACGATCGTCAGAATACTGTCTCTGTCCTTTGCATTCTCTCTGCTAATCATGGTGCTAATTTGTCTGAATAATACAGCCTTGCTGCTCTCTGCTGCTGCTGCCTCATCGACGAGTGCTGCTGCGACCCATCGGTCATATTTGTGACCTAATTACGGTCACAGTGGCGTCTCGACTGGTTGACGAGGACGAACAGTCTGAGTTGAGATATACACTGTACACGTGCTTGCCTTTTGTTAAATGTTGATAATTGTATCGGTCTATAGCTAGATTACAGTACAAGTCCTCCGTTAAGTTCAGGTTCTTCAAGTATCAGATGCATGCGTGATCCACCTGCAGTGGAAATATTTATATTGCATGCACTGGTTGCTCGATTAACCAAAGGACGTATACGTTTCTATGTGTATGTCTGCATGATCGACTATAAAGAATAAACGAAGGTAAAGTGAAGTTATACTGTGCATGGTCCTCAAATCTGCAATATATATTTTGCGCCCCCCTGAATTTCTTCTGCAATGGCATTGCACATTCCTAATCGAACGGTTGGCAGAGATTCCGATGGGGTTCGGAGTTTTCAACTCCGAATCCCATCAATGGGCCTTCACGAGCCCGTTCAGCGCCATAGGCCGAGAGCCCGAGGCGGAGCCTCCCATCAGGCCCAAGGATCACGGAGCGTCGCGAATAATTCCACTCATCTAGGCCGCACGGGCTTGATCGAACGGTCGTCGGGTATTCCAGGGAGCTCGGAGTTGGAAACAACGAACCCCCGTGGCCCTGTATTCGGGTGGCAAGAATGAGGCGCCAGGCCTCGCCGGAGCGCCGCCGCGTAATACCCGTCCCCAGAGGCAAAGAGGACGCACCCGAGTGCCCAAGTTCCAGACTTCCAGTACGCCGATGGCGTCTGGGTCAATGTGCCATTTGTCCCCGTGGCAGCTAGCCTCAGAGAAAAGAACGAGCTAAAACCATAGAAGGTCTCACTCTTCTTCATCTGCATTGATGAACTTACTGGAGCAGAATTTCATGCATGGCCATAATGTTGCAAAGGGCAAGTTCGATGCAGCATAAAAGGTTCCAGCTGTTGTTGTTGCAACACTGCCGCGCAGAGTACATAGTCCTAATCACCGCAACACGACACGTTAACCGCTAGCTGAAATCCCAGAGGGGGTCGGAGTACTCCGACCCCATGCACCAGTGCATCCTCCTCCTGGGCTCACTGCGGCTGTGCGGCACCTGCTGCTCATCTGAGCCGCACATATCTAATCAGACGGCGGGAAAAGATTCCAAAGGGGTTTGGAGTTTTGAACTCCAACCCCACCAACGGGCCTGGGGGGGGGGGGGGGGGGGCGCTTCAGCGCGATAGGCCGAGATGGAGCCTCCCAACAGGCCCAAGGACTAAGGTTCACGCGGCGAATAGGCCCAATAGGACGTCGGGGTTTGAAACGACGACGCACGGCAATGGCGCATCCTGCCCGTGCCCCGCTAGGCGGAATGGCGGATGCAGATGCAAAAGACGACGCACCCGAGTTCGCAGTACGTGCCAATGGTGTCTGGGACTCTAGGTCGATGTGCCGTTCGTCCCCCGGCGGCAGCTAGCAGCTAGTCTGTCAGATATCCCATATTCCCATTGCTGTGGACGATCTCACCGGCGCCAGCGCACGGATGCACACGCACGCATCTTCGATCCTTGGAATCAAGAAGAAGGTAGAGACGGTATAGGTTGTGTTTAGTTCCACGCCAAATATAGAAGTTTGAAGAAATTGGAACGATATGATGAAAAAGTTGGAAGTTTATGTGTGTAGAAAAGTTTGATGTGACGAAAAAGTTAAAAGTTTAAAGAAAAAAGTTGGAATCTAAACATGCCTATAGAGAATATACCAATAAGCTGAATAGCAAACACTCCGATTCTAAAGTCCAATTCAAAGAAGAGTTCAATCAATGCCATGTGACGTGATGTCAGAGAGACAGGAAAGAACTACGAATGTGACCCCATTCACCTCCGACATGAAAAACAGAGCAATGAATTAGTACGTGATTAATTAATTATTAGCTTAAAAAACTTCAAAAATAGATTAATATAACTTATCTATAGAATTTTTTCAAACCACGCACCATTTAGTAGTTTGGGAAGCGTACGTGCGGTAAATAAGAGAGTGAGGTTGGAAGCTTAACTGAAGAATGCAGCCTAAAAACCATAGCATTGTATACAACAATCAAATATGGTAGTAGTAATTTGTATTGCGAAGCAATCAAAGTACCATGGAGAGGTAGGTAGTCTCGTGCCTCGGTGGCACCGGTTAGCCTAGCTAGAGTTCCGGCAGCATGGCGGCAAGCAGGGCAGAGGATTGAAGAAGGGGTCGGACAGGGGCAAGCGCCCGTCGTCGACGCCGAAGCGACTGGGAGGGAGTCTCCATCCATCGTTGCGAGCAGCTGCTCATCTAGACCGCATATGCATAATCGAACGGACAACAGAGATTCCAATGGGGCTTGGAGTTTTAAACTCTGGACCCTTCCAATGGGCCTCTGTGGGCCAATTCAGCGCAATAGGCTGACACAGAGAGGCCTCTCGTCAAGTCGAAAGACTACGCAGCCACAAATTATTCCACTCATCTTAGTCGTGCAAGCTTGATCGAATAGTCATAAGATATTCCACGGGGTTCGGAGTTCAAAACGATGACTCCCACTCCCACTATTTTGTACTCCTACTCAGCAAAGAACACCACCTTGGCCCTCGTGCCAAGCCTCGCCGGACCGCCGCCGCGTCCTGTCCACCCTTCGCTAGCCAGATCCACATGAGAAGAGGATGCACCCAAGCTCTAAGCAGGTTTCCCTTACCGTCGGTGTCGAGTTTATCGCACCTTAGCGATAAACACGATTACCGCGTGGTAACTGCAGTAAACTGTATAAAATTTATTAAAAAATTAAATTATTTTTAAAATTTGTTTAAATTTAATGAGATTACCGTGGTTTTATTTTTATGGTACCCTAACGGTAAGTAAGTACAGCAATTTGACGGTTACTGTCGGTTTTGTCAACCTTGGCTGTTGGCTCCATTCATCCCTGACGGTATGCAGCTAGCTAGCCTGTCAGATATTCCAATGTTGTGGACGATCTGGTCGTCGAGGTGCTCTCGCCGTCGCCCGCGCATGCACGCACCTTTCATGGGCCTCGAACTCTGGAATGGAGTACTCCCTCCGTTCAGAAAAAAAACCCAATCCTAGATTTAAATCTGGACATACACTGTCTTCAGATTTAAACCCAGGATTGGAGTATATGATAAGCTGAATGACATGCAGATTTTAACTCTCTAATTCACAGAAGAGTTGTTGGAGATAATAGAAATGTGATGTCAGAGACAGGAACAAACTACTCCAAACCATACTCCGCATCGATGATCTTGTTGGAGCAGAATTTTATGGTCTCATTATTGCAAAGATGCAGCATTGAAGGTTCCAATATATTGCACTAAACAAATTGGATATAGATGCAAATTAAACCGCAACACAGGCGCGCGCAGCCGCGCAGAGTGCATCAGAGCGATGAGATCTAATGGCCTAATCACCGCAATGCATCACGTTAACAGCGAGCTGAGATCCTAGAGTGGGTCGGAGATTTAAACTCCGACCCCGTGCACACTGCCGCTTCACGCCAGCCCGATAAACGTACTCTCTTGGTCTCTCGACGCGTAGTCTCGGTTGACTTGGGGCGGTTTATGAAGAAGAGCAGAAACTGAAAGGCAGTCAATGCAGTGAACACCGTGGCAGCATTTCATCGTGTTCATGCTATAGCAGATATTTTCTTTGCAGTCAAATTGAGAAGACCTCCAGCTCAAAAGAGAGAGAGAGAGAGAAAGAAAAGAATGAGAAGAACTTGAAAGCGATGCTAATTAACTTCCGGCATCAACATTCACGAACCAACACGGTACGTCAGGCGAACATTAATTCAGAAAAATAAAACATCCAAAGTAAAAAAAAAACCAATAAATTTCTTATGTGCTGGGAATGCGTACCGTACCAAAGCTTGCGATGGATTAAGAAAGGAGACTGTCCGGCGAGAAGGGACCAAAGCAGTTTTCTTTTTTCTCCGAAAAGCATCCCTGGACGGTTGGACCCCATCCCGAGTTCCCTGCTGGTGAAGTAGTACACTCAAATGGCAGGCTTACGTCCAGGTTACAGTCTTTCTTCTCAAACTGTGACACAGCAGCAATCCGTAGCAGAGTCATGTCTTCCTTTCTCAGTTCAATACTGCTCTTGTAATTTGGGCTCTATACAACCCTTTTAGCATTTTTTTTTAGAGAAGGATATTTTTTAACCGGCCTCTACATTTAACCGGATATATACGGCCATTGAAATAGGGAACTTAGCCCCGCAAACAATCCAATCTGAAATTCGCTCCATAGGAAATTTGAACTCAGAACCTTGGGGTACTACTCAGATCACTACAACCCTTTTAGCATACATGACCTGTAAAGTTACTTAATGATCCCCGCAAAAAAAGTTACTTAATGATAACGAATAATCAATTAATCATTCGTGATCAAGTTATATTGAAGTACACGAAAAAGTGTTAATAATGCTGCCAAATGCAGAATGCTAATGCCATTGTTCTTTATGGACTCTGCTAGTAATAAGAAACAACAGGGTCAGTGTTCTTGATGGAACCTACGAGGTTTGGCATACTTTTGAGTTCTCAGTCAAGGAACAGCGAGTGTACATAACGGCCGGCCCCTAAGGACCAGCTGCAAACAACGAACTCACTCCATTTCATCTTTTTCTATTTATTATTGACCGCGGCCACACATACAGATAAGTTATTCCCCCTCTTTTTTTATAAGAAGGAAAATAAACAGCTCGTTTTCTTTTCTTTTTTGAACGGAAAACGGCACGAGATAGTACCTTTTCATTGAATGGAGTAGGAGAAACAGCTTGCTTTATAGTATTAACAGGTAATAAAACCGAAACGGTGGATCAAAGAACATATATTACAGGAAGGATTTACATCATCACATAAATGGAAGAGGGTAAAATAAACGGAGCAAAACAAGGAACTTTCGATCTCGATCGGCGATTATTCCTCCCTTTTCTACGAGGTGGGCCATCACATCGATCACCCAAAAAACCTCCACCAATATAAATACTGGTTTCCCCCATCCGAACACACCGAGCAATGATCATATTGTAATCCTTCCCGTCGCCGAGAGATTCCCACACAGGCTAAAACTATCTATCAGGCCTGCAAATGCAATAGGGCTGAGAAGTGAGGAAGCTAGGCAACCTCAACCTTATTCTAACAGCATCCAATCCCAGGCTAACACCTTGAGCCACGCGAGCTCGGCCTGTGCCTGGCTGGTCCTTGCACCGAATTAATCGTCGCGTGCGTCTTTGCCGGCCTCGCACATCATCTCTCTCTTTTCTTGCACATAACAATTTCTGCAGGTTAACCTCGTGTGCATGCGTGTTTTGATTTCTCGCGGTTTTCGATAGCTTTGGTGGTGTCGATATCATCGCCTTCCTTGGCCCTTGTCCTTTTGTCGCCGTCGACGAGGACGTGCATACTTTCTCCATGGAGAAAGGCGGGGGATCGCAGAAGGGTGGTGGCGGCGGCGGCGGCGAGGCGAGGAGGATCAACGTGGTGTATTTCTTGAGCCGCGGCGGCAGGACGGACCACCCGCACCTCTTCCGCGTCAACCACCACCGCGCCGGCGTGCGCCTCCGCGGTAAGTTCGTCCCGTTTCGCCCTTTCGTTCGATCGATCTCTCGCATTCACGCGGCTCTTCTTCTTCGTCTTCTTCTTCTTCATGGTGTTTATCGTGTTGTCATTGGTTTCAGATGTTAAGAGGTGGCTGTCGGAGCTGCGCGGCCAGGACATGGCGGACAATTTCTCCTGGTCCTACAAAAGGTACCGATAATTTCATAACAGGAAGGCGATTCATCAATCTTGCCCGCCTTATCGTCATCGTCCATGATGATGATCACGCGTGGTTATATTGTTCGGTGTTTCTTTTTGCGTTAATTCCTAAATCATTTTTAGCATGTTCTTGCTTACCCGATAGATTTAGCAATTTAGGAATGTTTATAATTGATTCTTGATTAGGAAGTACAAGGCTGGGTATATATGGCAGGACCTGATGATGGACGACGACCTCATCACCCCCATCTCCGACAACGAGTACGTGCTCAAGGGCTGCGACGTCCGGCGAGCCACCGAATCGCCAAAGGAGAAGTCGTCTTCTTTAGGTGCGGTGATATTTTTTTCTGGTCTTCTTTTTCTCGTTCGACGATGACGATGGCTCGTGATTAACAAATTCACAAAATTTGTTTGTGATAGCTGAAGAGCCAAAGAAACTGGACAGTCAGGAAGTGAAGGTCGCGTGCGATCAGAAGCAAGTCGAGGAGGTGACGACGACGACGGCGCCAGATTCCGACGAGAGATCGCCGAAGACGCTGCCGCCGGTCGACGAGGACTCGCCCGGCGAGCCGGCGAGCCGTAGTACGGCGCCGTTGAAGAAAGACCTGCCACGAGGCCTTCGCGAGGAGCGGAAGAAGCAGCAGCGAGAGGTGGTGAAAGTGGTCTCCAAGGCGGTGGTGGTGCCGGCGCCGGCGCCGGAGCAGAAGGTGAAAGGAGCGGCGAGCGGCAGGATCAGCAGCCACACGCCGCCGGCGGTGGGCAGCGCGCGGAGGATGCACCTGGCGCAGCTGCTCCACAACCTCCTGACGTGCGGCGCGGCCGACGCCGACGACACCGCGCTCCGCCCCGTCCTGCGGCACGGCGCCGACGACGACGGCGGCGACTGGCCTCCTACGCCGGTGTGCCCCGGCATCGACGGCTGCGGCCTCCGGTGAGTACGGAAACCCCACACAATTCGATCATCCGATTACACAGTGCTCAAATAGGATTATCTGGCGTGACAGGGTGGGCAAGAAGGTGAAGGTGCGAAGAGGCAGGAAAGACAAGGCGAAGCCGAAGCGAGACGGCGGCGATTCGCACAAGCCGGCGAGTTTGCCGCGTTGCTCGTGAGTACTCTTGACTAGCCAGCCCCGTTTCCTCTCAACTGATTTTGCTACCGCCTGCACGTACGCTGTCCATCTGTTTCTCGTTCTTGACCATTTCTTCTGCTCGTCCAAGAACCTTGCGTGGCAGCTTTTCGGTTGGGTTGTTGCAGTTGCCACCTATTCAGGCTCGCTGTGCGCAATGTGCTAGACCAGTACGGCTATAAACCTCATGGGCCGGCCCATCAAGATAACAAAGGCTCTCGTTATCGAGCAGTCTGAATAGAAATTTCATGGGCCGGCCCATCAAGTGCAGATTTACGTCTACTTTGAAACCCCAAACAAGCTATCAGCATCCACACGACTCTGCTTTTTTTTTTTTCTGAACAATCACTTTCTTTTCCATTGATCGTTTATAACCTGTTTAAGAACTGACTTGTGAAATGTTGTAACACACTTCTGCAGGCAGTGCGGGAAGGAGTTCAAGCCGCAGGAGCTGCACTCGCACATGCAGTCGTGCAGGGTCTTCAGGGAGAAGATGAGGAGCAGCACCAGCTCCCGGGTCAGCGTCGACAGGGGCCGGACCTCCGCCGCCGCGAGGCCCGAACACCGGAGGACGAGAAGCAAGGGCGCCGCCGCCGCCGCCGCCGCCCCCGGCGACACCTCGGACCGACCGTCCGCCGTGCTCCTCCTCAGGGACTCATGATCTGATGATCATTTCGATCGACCTTGGAGTTCGTTTGTGAATTTTGCAGCACACGCTTATATGGCGTGCATAATATTTAACAGCTTATCTAGGATACTGTACATTGATCTCCTTTGGGTCAAAACTTATAGATCATGCCATGATACTGCTCCTAATTGAATCCTAGCTACGCCAAATGGTTTTTTTTCAGGAATACGCAAAAGAAAAGAATTGTGCACCTTTATTATATTAAAAGGAATAAAATTTACATAGACGGCAAACAAAGAAGTAAGGGGGGTCGAGGAGAAAAAGGAAGAAAAAAATGAAAACAAGTACTTAAGCCTATTCTCGCGTTTACAGTGTGACAACCAAACGACCAAGCACGCTAACCAAGAAGCTTTGGTGGTGAGGGATGGGCAAGCCGCCAAAGGGCGGCCTCTTGTGCCATGCCTGCGACAACCTCAGGCTAGGATCGGAAATAGTTGTTAAACACACAGTTGTTCCTTTCTTTCCAAATGGACCAAGCGCCAAGGGTCACAATCATGTCGAACCCACGACGACGCTCCCTCAGAACTTTGAACCACCTAGTATGGAGCGCTATCCCCATGAGCTCTAGGTTGTGGATGCCCAACCCCTCATATTCCAGTGCGCGCGCAGATATAGGACCAAGTTAGCCGGCAATGGCCACCTTGTGCGCTTGCACAACCACACCAAAGGAAGCCGTGCCGGATCTCGTTGATGGCTTTCAGCACCCATTTCAAGGGGTGGGGGGATTACAATGAGCAGATAAAACCAGGATCGCGCTCAGCATAACTTTGACAAGCGCTAGGCGCCCGGCTGGATGGATCCAATCAGATCTCCACAGCGGCTATCGTTGTGCAATCTTGTCGGCCAAAGGCTGAAGGTCCTCGTGGTGCGGTTTTCTGATGGAGAGAGACAAACCCAAATACTTGCACGATAACTCCTCAACTAAATACTTGCACGATAACGCCTCAACCGGGCAGAGGAGAGAGTCACCGAGGACTGCGACCTCTTTCTCCGAGCAGTTGATCGGAATTGCGGAACACTTGACATAGTTGGTACGAAGGTTAGAGGCCTCTCCAAATAGAGTCAGGATCCCTATTACTAGGGTGGGCGTTCGGTCTGACCGAAAAATTCGGTCTCGGTCTTCGATCTTTCTGTCATTTCGGTCTTTGAAAACTCAGGATCGAATTTCATCCAAATAAACTCAGGACCGGCAAATTCGATCTCGGTTTTTTCGGTTTCAGTCTCAGTCTAACCGAATTCTTGGACAGCGCAGGTGGGCAGCAAGAGCTGGTGGCGAGGCCATGGCTATGGCTGTCGCAACGGCGCCACGCCACTGCTAGCCAGGAGCACCACGGATGGCAGCGCTCGTCGTGGCCGCGGCGGAGGCTAGAGGCAGCGCCGACGTGGACGGCGGCGCTCCTTGTGGTCACGGCAGAGGCTGGAGGCGGCAGTCCTTGTGGCCGCGGCGGAGGTTGGAGGCGGACGGCGATGCTCGTCGGGGACGCGGCAGAGGCGGGAGGCAGCGCCGAGGCAGACGGCGACGCTCGTCGGGACTCGGGACCATGGCGGTCGGCGGAGGCGGGAGGCGGCGCCGAGGCGGAAGGCGGCGTGATGGATGGGGTGGGGATGGATGGAGGCAGCGCTGGTAGGTGAGGGACTGAGGTAGTGGGGACTTCTAGGGTTTTGCAATTTATTGGGTTTATTGGGCCTTCTAGTCCTATTGGGCCACAATTTGGTTTTCTCGGTTAAAATTCGGTTAACCGAGCCCAATGACCGAAATACCCAAAATAAATTCGGTCTTTTGATGGCTAAGACCGAACTACTAACCGAATTTCTTGGTCTCGATCTTTTCGGTTCGGTTCTTCGGTTCGGTCTTATTTTGCCCACCCCTACCTATTATACTCGGAGGACAACTCTGTGCGTGCGAGTTGGCTGACTCGATCTCGATTACTGCTCACGTTCACGATAGAAATAACAGGGAAACAATCGAAAGGCGTTTTCGACCGCGCGCGTGACCAACCATGAGCTGAAATCTGAAACGAAACTTGATTTGTGTTTGGAACCTTGGGTTCTCAACCCCTCTCTATCGTATTCCGCGCGCACACTTTTTAAACTGTTAAACGATATGTTTTTTGCAAAAAAAAAATTCTATACGAAAGTTGCTTAAAAAATCATATTGATCTATTTTTTTAAAAAATTAGCTAATACTTAATTAATCACGCGCTAATAGATCGGAACATGCTATTCGGAACACACCAATTTGCATCGACCGGCACGGATGCATGGTAGAATTGGACCACATCAAACATGCACGCGGATCATCCACGTGCCAAGACGGAACGTGTTCGGCGAACAAATCAAATTTTCTGCGAAACGAACAACCATTATAACCGGCCGGCCGTTAGATATATTATTTCTGCGATTTCATTTCATTCATTGTTTAACAATAGCAAATAAGTTGATCTGCGAATTTCGCGGGGCCATCATCCAGTTGGCACTTGAACCTGCGCATGTTAGTTTTCCCTTAACAAACCAGAAACAACAACTGCTGATCGTTCAGAGCCGGCCAATCACCCCAGCTATACCAGCTGCTGCTAATCATAGCAAACCTAACAATGCCCCAGCCTGTGAAAGGAACTCCCAGCCAAGCAATCCATTCCTTATTCCAAGGCGACCCTGCCCTGCCTAAACAAAGCACACATGCAACGCAAAAACAGCCTAAAAGCCTCCCCGATCGCAGCTATATAAACACGACACCTCTCGCTCTTCTTTTCATCCCAAATTAAGCACCCCCCCCCCCCCCCAAGCCCTCGCTAGCTTTCTCGTTAATTCTCCGTTGCCAGCATCTCCAGTCGATTCATAGCTAGCGATCGAAATGGCGGCCACCCTCAAGCTCAGGATCCTCGCCGCGGCTGCCACCGCCGCCGTCGTGGCGTCGTCCTTGGTCGGCGTGGCCACCGCGACCGAGGCCCCGGCTCCTGGCCCGTCCGGAGCTTCCGCCGGCGCCGCCGCGACGAACGCCGCCCCGGCCGTCGCCCTCGGCACGCTCGCCGCCGCCGCCGTTGGGTACCTCTTCTGCTGAGCTCGCGAGCGCGTCAGTTCGGTCTGGACCGGTTGCGCTCTCGCCGCGGAGGTTATATGCATTAATTGATAAATGTTTTTCTTTTTCTCTTTTTTTTTTCTTTTGCAATTGTGTCTGTTGTTGTTGGATATATATAATGTAAGCTGATAGATTGATGTATTCGTTCAGCTCGTGTACACAGTATTTCATGAAGTAATATATATAATTTTGTTCATTGTTGATCGATCATCACCTTCTCCACTGTCAATTTCTGATTCATGTAAATTTTAATGGGGAAATAATTTGATCACCTGAGACACATTCCACGTTGCAAATCTGAATAAATTATTACGGGAATGAATCGATCACCTCAAACACAATTGACCGTTCAATTCTGATTAGTGGATGCCTGAATGGTGCTCTGACTTCTGCCCATGCACCATTGCACCCGCCTGGTCCGCTAGTTTTTTTTAAAAAAAATAAAAAACCCTTATTATAGTATGGGGGAAAAACAATCTGTACACGGTGCACCCAATCGTGCCTACCGACAGATAAAAACAGTCTGTATCATTTTTTTTATCAGTATGGTGTATGGATGCATGATCAATGGCCTTCTGGTTACAGTAGCAGCTCGATTGTCAGAATGAATTAGCTTAGAAGTAAACTAACTCTAGTTATACTCTTTTTGCGTCTTCTTGCATAGTTAATTATTTACAGGAACAAAGGAGGATTTTTTTCCTAAATAGATGTTCGAAGATCCAACAGTGACTCTTGTCACATGCACATGGCTATGATGATCGCCAAATCCTCTTGGCTGGCGTACAAAAGCGTCGTTCATATTCAGAGCTTTCGTGAATTGAATTAAAATCCTTGTTCTCGGTCTCTGCTTTAATTTTCGAAAGGAGCGGTTTTCGCTTCATTTCACCATCAATTTTTCGAATTGCTCGTCTGCTACCCGGAGCGTTCATTCTATCAAAAAATTTCAACTAACTCATCGCATCCAAATCAGCCTCCAATTTGGTTCTGGAGTTGTTTTTCTGGCTGGCAGTTTCTAGTTTAGCAGAACTACTGCCAACCACCTCCTTAGACGTGTCCACGTTATTCCTCCAAATTGCGATCGTAAAAGAATGCACGACGAAGATTTGCACTTCCAAATTGCGACCCAAAAATAATCAATGCATATGTAATTAATCAATCACGTTTCGGTATACACATGAGAGTACATGAGCAATTACAACCCCAGGATCAAGAAACAAATTGCACCCACGCATCTCAACAACAAATCTCAAAGCATACGTGATATGTGTCGACGCATATGCTCTCTCTGCATCACAACCAGCCTAACAGAATAGGTAACCTCCCAAAGCCGCGGCGGCGACCGACACGGCGGCGAAGGCTGGCGCTGCGGCGGCGGTGGCGGTGGCGCCCGACGTGGGCGCCGGGGCGGGCGCATCGGCCGCGGAGGCCGTGCCGACCAGCGACGAGGCGACGACGACCACGGCGGCCACCGCCACGGCGACGATCTTGGACTTCAGCTGCCCCGCCATCGGATCTCGTACGAGCTGGGTTGGAGAAGGGAGGGCTGGGGGAGACTGCAACAAGACACGAGTTCTGCTGGTTTCGGTGGGTGTGTGTGCGAGAGATTGGAGATGGTGCGCTGCTTATATACAAGCTGAGCTACGCGCGGTGCGTTGTGTTACAGCTTTCAGGCGGCCTGGCTAGCTAGCTTAATATAAGCTGACGATCGAGCGGCCGGGCGGGCTGTCGCGCGCCTGGAATCGATTGGTTGGCTTGGCGGCTCGGCGCCACCAGCTGGTTCAGTTCATCGTGGTGGGAGGGAGTCCGCCCGGCGCGGGATGGGGTCGTTGGCGCCGGCCCGGGGCCCGCAATTGCGTCGCTGGAGAGCGGCGGAATAATTGATTGCGCTCGCGGCGCGGCGCGGCAAGGCACATGGTGAATTGGCGTTGAGATGACAACTCCTCTGCCGTGCCGCGCTGTCTACTGGTTACGGGGGCTTGCGTCCATGGTCTACAAGCGAATTCTGATGCAGCCCAATCCGATGATCCAGGCCCATTTTCCGCAGGGTTGGGTAGGCCAGATCCTCCTAATCAGAGGCTCAGAGCGTTCGGCCCAGAACCGTACTGAAACAGAGAGAAACAAGTACAGGGAAACTATTCTAATCCCTCGAGGGGATGTTCCCTCGTTTGCTCAAAAATCATTTAAATGGTTATGAAAAATTCTGAAAAAATTTGACAACATTCATACAACACATATATACAACTTCACAAAATCTTAAGTCCAAACTCAACTCACACATCGAGATATAAAAAAGACAAATTTAGCGTATGAATAGTAGCGTACTGTTTATATCTAAATTTGTCTTTTTTTTCTCGATGTGTAGATCGAATTTGAACATGAATTTTGGTGGACTAGTAGGTATCATTATACTCTACATTGTTAATTTTTTTTAAAATTTTTCACAACTATTTATATTAAATTTAAAAGAAAAAGGTATACGAGGGGATGTCCCTCGAGGGATTAGAATCCACTCCCCAAATAAAGGGGAAAGCCAATGGAGCGTTTTCCTGCTCGAGCGTTCGGTACGAACACGATCAATTCTCTGTTGCGTGCGCGCGCGCAAAGAAAGCGGCAATGGGGAGAACGCTGACAGTTGGTTGCGACGTCAATTTCGCATAAATCTCGCGAGATTCAACTCCTGTTCATCTTCTTCTTCGCCACTCATCCAAAGAGGGACGAAACAATCGCATCCAAATCAACAGAGACGACACGGCGGAAGAGGGGTGCGCTCCAGGGAGGAAGAAGCCCATCACCACACTCATCAGGCCGGAGCCCCCCACTGCGGCAGCTGCATTCTGCCGCCGGCCAACCCATCCGATCAACATGCTCCAAGAGAGATGCCGATGAAACGGAAGGCCGCCAAATCAAATGACAGCACCAAACACTGTCCTAAATCCTATCTACACGGTACACCCACAATGATTCTACCACTTCATCTCCGATGGGCCACGACGACCTCGATCTCCTTATTAGCCGCGGGTGCCATTAATGCGGGCGCTGCTTGTTTCTGCCCGGTTGTCCTCACTCACCGCGTCGGCCTCAGCGCCGGCGCCGGCGCCGGCGTCGTCATCGGGGTTGGCGGCGGCAGGCCGTGGGACTCCACGAGGATCGACCACAGCACGTGCACGTCCTCGCACGGGCACGACTTGACATCGTCGTACAGGATGTAGATCCCTCTCTCTGCAGCCAAACAGCCATTGATACATACCGTCAGATAAGTGCAGGCAGAAGCAGAATCAGAGGAAACAACAGAGCGAGATCGAGGAGTGGATGATTTTGGGACGTACTCTTTCGCTGCACGGCGTTCATGTGGCACCAGAGCCTCCTCAGCGGGGACAGGAGCGACCGGAGCCACCCCATCCTCCTGACGAACCTCCTCGCCCGTCGTCTGCACCTCACATTTATACCGAAGCAGGAGCGGAGGAGCCGTGACGAGCCCCGACGACGACCATGTGAACAACCGCTGCTACTGCCGCTGCTGCTGCACATCGAGAAGACGAGAGAGAGGCAGGTTGGTGGTGGAATGTATGGTGCGTCGTCGTAAACTGCGTATGTGTGAATCAGATAAAAAGGTCTAGTAGCCTTTTTGGCTTTGCTTTACACTTGGGTAAAGTCTCGCACACTGCTCTGCTCTTCGATCGATAGTTTCTCTCTTGGCCGCCGCGGGCGACGCATCTCCTCTCCATCTCTCTCGCTGACACGCCAGACTCCCTTGCGGCGGGCTCAATCATACGCGTTACGCGACGCATGAGCCTCGAGCGACCGCGGCAGCGCGCGCTGCGGCCGATCTCTTTCTGGTGGTAAGTCGTTGTAGCAAATCTCTCGCGTACGGCGACCCCCCTCTCGCGCCGTTGCTCGATCGCAGAAGCAGGTGTAAATTATGCCCTCGATCAACTGCAGTTAAAATACTACTGGTAGTAACAAGTCATGGTAAATTGGTATAATCGACAGTTACTACTAGGCATGGTTTCTGCTATATGTGCCGTTCAGCTGTGGATTAAAGCTCCGGTTCCTGCGGTTAAGAAACAATTAAGAAACCGGGAGTAAAGGACACCTGGAGTCCTGGACAGGCCCTCGCAGAATCGCAGTGAACACTTGTCTCACAAGCCGCTAGCTCCGGCCTCTTTAGTCAAGCGTGGAAATGATGCCTGTGTAGACCAGTTGCAGAGAGAGGCGTGGAAAACGCAGGCAGATGAACGAACGCAAACGCAGGGTAATTCGCACGGCATCGATCGATCAACAACCAGACAAGCGAGCGTGCAACCGAAAACGAAGAGGCGAGGCGATGAAAGCCGATGATGAGCCGCCGACGCTTCTCACCGTCCCCGGCCCCGTGAAAAAGGAGGTCTCGCGCGACGCATGAGCCACGTGAGAAAGGAGTTCTTCGTGTGGGTTTGCGGCCGTACACCTGTTGTATGGTCCACCTGGAGCCACTATGTTTTTTCAGTTTGTTATGCGACTACCTTGGGAGATAGAGGAGGAAGGGAGAGAAGAGGGAAAAGAGAGGGGCGATGAGTGTTGACGTGATCCCATTATATATATTTTTTATTTTTAATTAGATACTCTTTTTTTTCTTACTTTTCATGTCATGTCAACGCCACATTAGCTCAAATCACCATCCAAACCGTCTTAGGATCTTATTTGCACTGGTTTTAGGAGTTGATAGACATGTCATATATGGTGTTGTGGTTTAGGGACGAATTTCAGATTTGGGGACAATGTGTTCGGGAGGTGGTAGTTTATTAATATATAATTAATTAAGTATTAGCTAAAAATAATTTGAAAAATATATTAATATGATTTTTTTTAAAGCAACTTTAGTATATACTATATATTTTTTGCAAAAAATGTACCGTTTAATAGTTTGAAAGGCGTGCACGTAAAAAATGAGAGAGGTGAAAAGAAAATAACTCAGCCTTAAGGGACCTAAACTGAACATATTCCGTGCGCTTACACGTGGCCTATGAAGCGGCCCAATTGTGTGGTGGCCTGGGAATGGTGGCTCGACACGGAAGAAGTTGGAGCCGTCCGATCTGATCGACAATCCCGATTGATCTGTACTTATATAAAAGTTCTGCAACCTAAACCCTAGCCTTAAATCATTTCCCCTCCCCTCTCTCTCAAAACGACAGCGTAGGTGGCGCCTCTCCCCCTCCGCTGTGATGGCGCCACTCCCCTTCTCCCTCCCCTACCGGCGGCGCCGCTCCATCTCCCCCTCTCCCTCCCGTATCGCCGGCATGGCACCGCGTCGGCGAGTGCTCGACGGGGGTACAGCGGCGACGACGACCGTCCTCTCTTCCCCTCTCCCCGTCGGCCTCGATGGTGGGGCTACGGTGCGGGCCATCCTTCTCTCTTTCTCTCCTCTGCCTCCGAGCAGGAGGAGAGCACCTGAGGATGGGGGGTTAGAGGGAGGGGGTGCCAGTGTGGTTGGGAAGGCGGCGAGTGTGACCGTGCCCGGCGGGCGCAGCCACGACATGAGTGCGATGGACGGCTATGGCAACGAGCTCGGATCAATCGGATTCGGTGACATTAAGCTCGCCCATTTATGCGATTTTTTCCTCTCCTTTTTTTCTTTTTTCTAGGGTTCTCGATGTGTATATCTCCGATTGATTGATTTTTTTTTCATGTAGATTTACCCGATTAAATTTTTATGGAGCTGCCCAATTGAATTTCATACCGATCTTTGATTTGATTTTATGCCTTTTCCATCGTACACGATTGGTAAATAGAGTGATGACGGACGAAAACGCGGACAAAAAGATGTGATGATCGGAAAATTACGAATTTTTTAATTAGTTAAGATAGAGGAATTAAGAAAATAAATCTATCCATCTATCTATCTATCTATTATATTATTAAAACAGCTTTGAAAGGAGGCACCACGTTCGCTGTGGGGGCTAGAAATTCCCACGTTAATCGGAGAAAAAAGAAAAATCTAGACCGTTAGATTATACTGGGACTAGACTTTGATGGTGTAGATTAACTTTGATAATAGAAGTCTGAATAGAAAACAACTGCTAGATCAAACGGACAACACTGATCAAGTATTAGAATACAAGTCCAAATAGGTGGACGTACTCCTGCTTTGATTCTTTCCTTATCCTAGATGGATACTAAGGATCAATCAACAGATCAGGTGATTAGGATTCAAACACAATGCGTGCATATATATTTTAGAGCCGGTATAATTAGAATTAAAATGTGATTTTTTTACCTATGGATGAAAAAAAGAGTAAATAGACCAGAAAACTTATGCATTGGTAGAGATACATCACTCCGTCCAACTCGCTAAGGAGTGTTCAAATTTAGTACGGTCTTAAAAACTAAACTTTAACTTTAAAATTTTCATTGTAGCAAAAAAAATCATAATCATATAAAATTAAATTTAAATGAATATCCAATGATATTATTTTTAACAACTAAAATTTAATTTATAATAAAATACAGCTTTGAAAGAAGGCACCACGTTCGCTGTGGAGGCTAGAAATTCCCACATTAATCGGAGAAAAAGAAAAAAACGAAAAGGAGAGTCCAAGTAGAAATACAATCTAAAAATAGCTGAAATTCAGAATTAAAAATAAGCAATACTGAAAGAAGTTTCTATATAAGAACCCAATACAAAATTAATCAAAATTCAAAATAAAAATAAAATAAAATCCAAAATTAGAAAGAAAAAAAGAGACCCAAGTAGAAATTTTTTTTAAAATAGCTGAAATTCGAAATTAAAAATAAGTAATATTGAAAGAAGTTTCCATATAAGAACCCAATACAAGATTAATCAAAATTCAAAATAAAACTAAAATAAAATAAAAATTAGAAAATAAAAGGATAGTCCAAGTAGGAATACAATTTTAAAATAGCTGAAAATCGGAATTAAAATAAGGAATATTAAAAAAAGAGTCCATATAAGAACCCAATTACGAGATTAATTAAATTTGGGAATAAAAAAATAAAATCCGAAATTAGCAAAAAAAAGAAGAGTTCAAGTAGGAATACAATTTAAAATTAGCTGAAATTTGGAATTAAAAATAAACAATATTAAAATAAAAATCCATATAATAACCCAATACGAGATTAATTAAAATTCAGAATAAAAAATAAAATAATATTCAAATTTAGAAAAATTAAAAGAGAGTTCAAGTAGGAATACAATTTTGAAACAACTGAAATTGAAAATAAAAAATTAAAATAAAAATACTAAAAGAACACAATACGATAATAATTAAAATTTGAAAAAAATAAATTCTGAAATTAGAAAAAGAAAAATAAGATTTTAATTGAATACAATTTATAAATAACTAAAATTTGTGATAAAAATAAAGACTATTGAAAGAAAGACCATCTAAAACACATGACGAGATAAATTAAGTAACAGGCCTATAAAGGAGTAGAGTGGTGGCGGTTGATACGACATATAAAAACTATTAATAAAACACCAAATAGAATCCTAATGACGATTAAAAGGAGGGACGATAGGCAGGCCATGAAGCAAATGAGCAATGCGATTGCCGGGACTACTAGAAAGTAAAAAAAAACCCCATTGATAATCATATTCAATTTTTAAAATCTCAATGACAATAAAAAGGAGAAGCAGTGGGCGGGGTGTATAGTAGTATAGTTTCAGAGCCGCTGATGTTTGACGTGACTTCTAGAAAATAAAAAATGAATTCCAACGATAGTTATGCTCAATTTTTAGAATCACAATGATAATAAAGAAAGAGTAGGCGGCGGACGGGCCATAAAGGAGCATAGTGGCATCGTTTGACGAGACTTCTAAAAAAATATAAAAAATGAAACCCAACAAGACAATAAACTCTAAAAACTATAAGGTTCAATTTTTAAAGGTTCCGAACTTCGAAAAAGTAAAAAAAAACAATGATAATCATGTTCGATTTTAAAATCTCAATGAAAATAAAGAAGGGACGCAGCGAGCGAGCCGTAGAGAAGTACAATGGCAAAGCCGTTGACGGTTTGGCGGGATTTCTAGAAAGTAAAAATGAACCAAAACGATAATTATGTTCGATTTTTAAAATCTCAATGACAATAAAGAAAAGAGACAGTGGACGGGCCATAGAGGAATATAATGGCAACGTTTGACGGGACGTCTAGAAATTATAAAAACGAAACCCAACGTGACAATAAACTCTAAAAACTATAAGATCCAATTTTTAAAGGTTTCAAGGAGAATGAATAGAAATAGTGGTAGATCGAGCAAGCAAATAAAGAAGGAGATGTCATAAGGGGTAGCAACTGGTGTGACTTTTAAAATATATATAATTAGAAACACGGGGATGATAAGGTTTAATCTTTCAAACTCTTAAGACATGAGATAGCTATTTAATAAATTTTAAGTAAAATCATACTAAAAAAATATATGATTTTATTTGGGTGCTAGCCGCGCAATTGCGCGGGCCACCCAGCTAGTTTAAATGATGGGAAGAAAATTACGATTAGTTAATAAGAGAAAGTGGCTGAAGATAATAACTTAAATAATTTGTGATTGTTTGAGAGGATGTGGTAAGTAGAGAAATAGTTCTATTTTAGGACAAGACACCGATAAAAAAATAGCTATATACTACCTCTATTTCAAAATAATTATAATTATATTTCTATGTTTAGATTGTGTTTGAGACTTGAACAAAGAGAAGAAAAGATCATTGCTTTTTGTGTTCACGCTTCACAAATTATTAAATGGTGTATTTTTTGAAAAAAAAATTCTATGGAAAATTTGCTTTAAAAATCATATTTATCCTTTTCAAGTTAAAAAATAATCAATACTTAATTTATTACTTCGTTCGTTTCAGGTTATAAGACTTTCTAGCATTGTCCATATTCATATAGATATTAATGAATCTAGACACACATATATGTCTAGAATCATTAACATATATATGAATGTGGGCAATGCTAGAAAGTCTTGTAACCTAAAACGGAGGTACTATGTACTAATAGCTTATCTAGTTTTGCATATCTTCTTAATCTTCTTTATTCCTCATTTCTCAAACATAGCTGTGGAGAAATGCTATGGGAAAAAAATGATGTATAGCCAAAAATGAGAGGGTGGTTGAGGATAAAATTGAAAAAAAAATAAATAAGAAATGATTGATGGAACAATTACTACTTTATTATGATAACTTTTTAAAAGATAATAACCGTTTATTATGACGGAGGTAGTAAAAAATTTAGGATGAATGTAGCACCGCAGTTTGCAATCGCCAAAAAACGAGCGTGATCAAACTGTGGGGCTTTGCTTATGTCAGGGCGCTTTGTTTATCAACTAAGCGTGATTAGGGTGGACCTGTATTTTGGGATTCTTTGAAGCGATGCGATGCGATCAGGTGGTGTAGTGTCAACTCAAGGCCCATCACGATATGCAAAATGTGATTTTATTAGTATAACCAGTAGCTAAGCTATCAATGTCCGTTCAGAGATTCTAGCATGGGCTTTTATTAGGTTACGCTTGGATGTCAGAGTTGAATTGGGTTGGTGTGGACATGGAGGTCCAATCAGGGTTGTGGAAAACCACGAAATTTTGAGGTTTCGATGTGGAACGGAAGTAGATTTTGAGTGAAATTTTAAATAGTTTTTGAGAATTTAAATTGAAACAGTAAAAGTTTTGACTAAAATTTAATGAAAGTTTGTTAAAAAAATGTCATACCACTAGTGCCGTGTTTAGTTGTTTTGGCAAAAAAAAATGACGTATACGGACACACATTTGAAGTATTAAACATAGACTAATAACAAAACGAATTGTAGATTCCGCCTGTAAACTGCGAGACGAATCTATTAAGCCTAATTAATACATCATTAGCAAATGTTTACTGTAGCACCACATTGTCAAATCATAGCATAATTAGGCTCAAAAGATTCGTCTCGCAATTTCAATGCAAACCGTGCAATTGGTTTTTTTCGTCCACATTTAATGCTCCATGCATGTGTCCAAATATTTAATGTGATGGAAAAATTGGAAGTTTGAAGGAAACTAAACACAGCTTAGGTTGGGTTCCGGCACTCATTAAAAAGATGAACCCTAGGTCTAATTCAATAACAATTATAATTGGTACAATATTTGGCTCGAATTCAAATTTAATAAGATGAAAATATTGTTTTTGATGAAAAAAGTTACTACTAGATCGCTAGCAAATTCCAACAATATTACTTACCAAATTTTGCTGTACTCTATCTCTAAGGAAAAGAATAACTTATAAGGGCGAATCTAGACAATTGTTCATATTCGCACATAGAAGTTGTTTCTTTAATTGTACAAGTATATGATTTCACATATATGATTTCCGGGAGTTTCTCCACATCTATTAACATCTTCCACAAGCTAATGTTCCAAACTCATCGCGTTGTGCCTTTTTCCCTTTTCTCCATATGTATATCATGAATTGACAATTATTTTCTGGAAGCATAATAATTAAGAAATCATTTATCTCCTGATTAGAAGATCAAAAATCATCGTCGTACCAGGGCCCCCGCATGTCCATCTAAAAGGCCCCCACATGTTAATACTGGAAGAGACAGTTCCCATTCATTGCATACTTGGAAAAAACACAAGCAACAGGCCAACAAACTCCAGCACATGTGCTCATCAATACTAGATCGATGAGCTACAGCTTCTTTTCTTAATTTCTTCTCCAGTCATCAATAGTTCGGCACTCCAACTGATCCTTTATTGCTCTTTTAAATCCATCGTCCCGTTCTCAAAATGACGAATTTATAATCAAACCCAATCCCTTACTCAACTATAGCAAGTGCACACAGAAAAGCACAGAATGGTGCGAAGTGAAAAATTCCAAGACAAAATAAATTCGTACAAAGCATAGCATACAATCGATCCTTTCCTTCATGATAGACATATACTCCAGCTTTGCATCAAGAGCTGAAAACAACCGCCAAAACGCTCGATATTCTCAGCTACGTTGGACATTTGCTAACTGCCTTTTTGTCCCCTCTTGTCACATTACATGACATTGGAATATAAAATCTCCAGATCTCTGCAGGGCCACACACTAGTACTGTCGCTAGCCATGGCCCTGGTAGTATTAACTACCACTACGTACGCATGTTCTTGTGGACATGGATTGGAGTGACCTGAGAGGCTGGTGAGCCCTTACAAAAATGGTGAAGCACCCTAATCTTCCATGGGAGATCGAGATCGGTACAGCATCTTCCTTCCTTTTATATTCCGCAGGGTATCAAATTGGAGTATTTTTTCTCTACTCGTGTAGCGATGAGGAGTGTAGAGTATCTATTGGAGCGCCTTGCAAGCAACGCCAAACGACTACTCCTACACCCAAGACCCAACTTCCCACTCAACTGTACTGTACTCCACTCGCCGCACACACTGACACAGCGGGCCCACCTGCAGTTAGTTCTCCGGATCGCTTCTTCCACCTCGCGCGCACTTCACCTGCGCTGCGCACACACGCTCCAGTACTCCGCCACGCGCACGGCTCTTATCCCGAGCTCGTGTCACTGGTGGGGTGGGGCCCACCATGACAGGCGAGGCGTGGGTCCCGCAAGCAGGGTCAGCGCGCGAGTCCGAGTAATATTCCCCCACAACCTCTGCCACAACGGAAAACAACGGCCTCGCTTTGCTCCTCCAAAATCGAAGAGAAAATTTCCAACACCCCACCCTCCCCCATCGCCTCCTCCTCCCGTCTCGGCCGGGGCGGACATAAATACGAGCCGCTCGACGGGGAACCGCCGCGCCGCGTCCACCACCCACCACAAGCTCGCCGCCGGCGTCGCGGACGGCGGCTCATCCCGGTCCGGCGTGCGATCCGGCTGACTGGCCGGAGACCTAGGAGCTTCGACCCCCCCCCCCCCCCCGCGATCTGGGCGGCCCATGGTGGGGTCGGTACCGCAGGGCGGCAGCCGCGGCAGCGAGATCTAGGGTTTTCGGCGCCTCGGGGGTGGGGAGGGAGCGATGGGGCGTCGGAAGGTCGCCGCGGCGGCGGCTGCGACGCCGCCGCGTGGCTCGTCGAAGGCCGGGGGCGGCGTCATATCCGGTGAGATCCTCGCCTTCGCCTTCGGTTTCGATGCGTGCGGTGGCGGTAGTGTCAAGGCATTGCGGGCTTTTTTAGATCGGAGCTTGCTGCTACTGGGATGCTCTGTGAGGTTGGGATCGGAACTATACGATGGGAGTGCGATTTCGAATGGCGCTTTAGTTTTGTGGGATTTGGAATACCTATAAATCCGAAGCATGAGACGCAGTGTATTTGATCGGATTCAGTGGTGGATCAGCTAGCTGACTGTGACGTAGCGTGTATATGTTGCGTCATGGTTTTGTTCTCTCAGTGTTTAATGCGTGCAAAGTCTCAGCTTTCCCCGCAAAAATATGGCTCCCATCGGATGGCCTAATCAGCCAAAGAAAAAGCCAAAATTTAAATTTTCAAGCTTAATTTTGAGATTGATTTTGAGATATTTTCAACGTAGTTTCTTTTACAACATTGGCTTTAAGTCACGAATAACACATTTATAAAAGTTTTACCTATAAATTCATTTTTATTTTCTAATAAGCCGTTTTGGCTTATTAGGAAATAAGCCAAACGATGGGGACCTATACCGTCTCAGCTTTAAGCTATACGCCTAGCTGGTTGTGCACGTGTACTATGTAATTGAGAGGTGTTATTTCTGTGTTTTATATGCTATATCATGTTGCATGCACATCACCAAGAAATGCATGCTGTCTATGGAAAGTTAGTATATTCTGAACTGATATTGGTTTCCTTTGGAATGTGCTACACCAAGTCTGTATTTGAGGCAATACATTAAATTAGGATATATATAAGAGAATACTTGAGGTCATTGTTGTGGCCAATGTATTGACAACTGTTCATTCTTCAATGTAATGGTGCTTACTGATACAGCGAATCGATGAATAGCTATTCATTAATCTACTGGTTGAACTGCAAAGTATATATGTTACAACTCAAATCAGAGGAAAGCTAATCAAATCTCCAATTTTGTTTGGTTGCATGTATATACTTTTACCATTTAGAGTCTTGTAAAATTGCCGCACTGCGTGCGCCAGTTCCTGAATCTTCTCCCATCCTGGAGCAATGAACTTGGCAGTTTAACATTGGACTGGTTCACTTGCTGATGGCAGTTCCAATCTCCCTTGATAACTAGGGATCCTAGTAGGGTTCTTGTGTTACTACTTTGATTTTTATTTAGCTGATGAGCAATGGCTGGCAAGACAGTAAAAATCCTCTCTAGTTAAGGACCCCAACATCTGTGCTTTGTATGATCTCTTTGGTTCAGGACTTAGTCATTTGAATATTATCTACATTATACATGTTGATGTAGTTAGGTTTGCCTATTATCAGAGCTGTAGACTAAGGTGCTATATTGGACCAGTCGATGTTTGGCGTTCCATTTTCAATCCTTACCTTTTTTTTTTCGTTTTGCAGAAATCCGTGAGAAACACAAATTGGAACTGGAGAATTTGACACTAACAAAGCATCCATTCAGGACATTACGTTTTTTCATGTTAGCTATGTTGCAATACTTGAAAAGATTAGCAACATATATCCTGAGTAAGGGTGCTTTGTTTGTTGTCCTCATTGTGTTGGTGCTAGCTCCTGGAATTTTACTTGCGGTTACAGATGGTCTGCATAAAAAGGTGTGTTACTTCACTGTAATTTGATTACGATCGCAGTGCTTGTGCTGATAAGAGTAGACATGACAATAAGGGCACTGATTTATTATGTTAGCTTCTTGTGGTGTGCTTGAATACTGATTTTGTTTTCTGATGCAGCATGTGCAGGAGTTCCTGAATTATGCTAGATTTGTGTTGTGGTGGGTTTCACTAGGCGTGGCTTCGTCAATTGGACTAGGCAAGTGTTACTAGCATCTGTCAAATTTATGACATACCATTATATATATGGAAGTAAATAATGTGCCACTGTACTTTATTTTATATCCTTTCTAGTTCTATAATATTTTTAGCTGATGTTTCTTATACACTGTTGAAAGTGACTAAAGCACATGCTAACCATGATTTAGTTAGGAAGAGATGAACATAAGAAAAAAAACAATGATTGTTTTCATTTTATTAGTTATTACTTACCTAGAAACTCTATCATATCAGGAAAATTTTAACAACAAAATCACATTAAATTTATGTACTATGACTTCATTGAACCTTTAAAAAATCTTCTAAAAACTCGTATTGGGCTAGAAGAGCAAAAGGCACACCATCGCCAAATTACACACTAAAGTTACTTTGAGATTTAATGCATTGGGATAAAGTTTCGCAATTACAGGGCTACTGCTGCAATTAGCCTTTTACTTTCCAATCTAGAGAAAGGTATCTCAGCGTTCTTTTGAGCAGAATTTGTGGATATTCAGAATTCCAGATAATTCTGTAGTATCATTTTGACCAGCTACTGGAAATTTCTTTGGTTAACTTTTAGGGGCTTAGAGGTGTAAAAGCATATACCACCAGCAAATATTAAGTGATGCTTTTTTAGTTTTTATTGGCTTGAGGCTTGTTGCAATGGATGCTCTTCTGGTTTAATGACTTTCAAATTTGGAAATTTTGAACTTCGGATGAAAATGAGCTCATCCTTTTTTTTACTAACTAAGATTAATATCTTTGAAATTCAGGTTCAGGTTTGCATACATTTGTTCTGTATCTGGGCCCTCATATTGCCCTCTTCACTATTAAGGCTGTTCAATGTGGTCGGATTGATTTGAAAACTGCTCCATACGATACCATACAGCTTAAGCAAGGGCCATCATGGCTGGACAAGAAGTGTTCAGATTTTGGACCACCAGTGTACCAAGCATCGGCTCATTCTGTCCGGATCCCAGTCTTTGAATTACTCCCTCAGGTTCAGCTGGAAGCTGTTCTTTGGGGCATTGGCACAGCGCTTGGGGAGCTCCCTCCTTATTTTATATCACGAGCTGGTAATATGGCATAACGCTTATTTCTTAAGTAAAGAAGCTTAGCTATATGCTTTACACTTTCTCACGTCTCAGTACTGGTGAACCTATGTAATTGTACACATGATTTACTCTGCTTTCTATTATTTTTTTTTATGAATTGACTTTCCTTGCACACTATATAACTGCATCTCATCAATTTTAGTACCACACAACTAAAATATATGGTCCACCATTACTGTATATAGTTCTTCAACTTCAATAATGCTCCCTCCATTTCTGTTTGTCATCTTTGACCACCTTTTGTGTTTGAGAACAATTGTCACCACATTTTTAAAGTTCAGGTTGCCTACTTTGTCCTTTTGTGGGCTTAATAATGAATTTAACCATACAATTTTATTAACTTTGTATCTTGACATCTTATGAATCCCTTGATTTTGCTTGTTATTTTTTAGCCATAAATTAGGGCTGTGGTGGAAACTTCGGTTAGTGTTGTGATAAATTCTAGAAGATCGATTGTGTTGGCCCATGCATTAATTTCTGAATTTGGTTCCTGTCTCTTTTGTCATATTCAACCACACCAAGTAAATGATGTGTCGTGTTGCAGCTCGTTTGTCAGGAAGTGAACCAGAAGCTGTGAAGGAGCTGGATGCTGCTGCTTCGGATGAACATGGTCCAATAGCATCCACTCTCAATCGAACAAAACGCTGGCTCCTTTCCCACTCTCAGCATCTCAACTTCATTACTATCTTGATTCTTGCTTCGGTTAGTCTATGTCCTTTTCCCATCTTGTCATGCCAATTTATTTGTAGCAGTAAGGATTTTCTTGCAAAAACTACATATAAGGATTCTCTAGCAAACATGCAAGCTACTATTCATTTGGGCCTCTTTCTCGAGTCATGCCTACTGCTCTGAACATAGATAGCTCATGCATCTTTAAAAGAGGGAGCTGGAGTTGATGGTAGGTTCTACACCCATCCAACTCCGGATCTTCTGTAACTGCAAATATGTGTAGGCGTGTGTCATGTGTGTTTGCATCTTTGCTCATATAATTATGTATATTGTATACAAGTTTTAGAGAGGATAATTATTTTTTATGCATTTTATATTTTTAGACTTATAGTATATTAGTTATGATCTGCTGCAATGCATGCATGATGCTAATGGTGCTAAAAAAAGTTGAAGCGGACATTCTCCGTATCAATGCCATAGCTAACAGATGGTGGTGATATGGAGAATCTTGGTTCTTTTGTACTAACATCTGATGGATAAATAATTTACCATACAATGAATTTTCTTTGTGCTTACTAGGTTCCAAACCCACTGTTTGACCTTGCTGGTATAATGTGTGGGCAATTTGGCATTCCCTTCTGGGAGTTCTTCTTTGCTACTTTGATTGGGAAGGCCATCATCAAGACCCATATTCAGGTTTGCTGTCTGTCTAATCTTCTGTTAATGCTTATATTTATATGTTTCGTAACTTTGGGGCCCTTTTTTTTTCGCCGGGGGGTTGGGGGGGGGGGTGCGCTTTTCATCAATGTGAATGATCTTAACAGGGCAAATCGTTCTTAGTTGCATTATGTGTCAGCATGTTTTCCTGAGTCCTATTCAGTTGAAATCATAATTTCAAAACTATCTCAACCTTGCCCATTCAGAAAATAAACCAAAATTTTGCAAGCCCTCTCAAACAAAAGGCCAGACCATGCATTAGTCAAATTCTAGAAATTCTGTTGTTTATCTGTTTCATAACTTCCTTTTTCTCCCTTAGCCGCATAAATAGTTCCTGCTTCTAGTCAGGATATATAATTTTGCCATACAAAGTATGTTAAAAGCCAGTGCTATTTTTCTCGTTGCACTCTTTTCATTCCTGCCGCCACAGTAAACTTTTGCAGGGAGTCTACAGTATTTGAACTTCCAAGCCTGATTGAACTGAATTAATTACTACTGTATTCCACTTGAATTGTCTTGTCGATGATCCCAAAAGTTGCTGCTGACACATGCATTTTGCCTTCTCTCTTTTGCAGACATTATTTATTATCTCCTTGTGCAACAATCAACTCTTGTATCTTATGGAAAAGGAATTAATCTGGATATTTGGTCACATTCCTGGGTTTTCTGCCTCCTTGCCATCTGTGATTGCAAAGCTCCACAGTGCGAAGGATAAGTATTTATCAACACCAACATCGGCCACATCATCCTCAAAAATGGAGGTTGGTATTTTACTGTCATCAGTTCAAAACATTGGTCCCGTGGATTGAGTTTCAAATATTAATTTCTTCTCTATGTATCCCATTTCTTGGCTCATTTTTTTGTCCACTTATGTTATATATCCAGGATACACAGTGGAATTTCTCTTTTACATTGGTCTGGAACACTGTGGTGTGGCTTGTGCTTGTGAACTTCTTCATTAAGATCGTCACATCAACAGCTCAAGAATATCTCAAAAAACAGCAGGATATAGAGATGGAGCTTATTACTGATTCCTCGCCCCAGAGTCAGTCTAAAACTAACTAAATATTGCAACTTGTGGTGTTTATTCAGCTGCAAGTTGCAAATATTCTCCTCATGAGATTATACTCCTGGCCAAAGCCCTTGCAGATGATATCAAGTACCGGTACTAAGTTGGTATTTGTAGTTATTCATCTGTTCAGTGAGCAAATATACGGGCTTCATTAACTTGCCCAAGTGATGGCTGCAACCTTTTGCCATTGAGCCCTGGATTGGCTGTTCCTCGAGGAGAACAAGTTAGGCTGCTATTCTTTAGACGTCAACACGGATGAACCTTTTAGGAATTGTTTATGAAGAACGGTTGCATTAGTGAGGTGTATCACTGGTGCCTTTTTCTTTCTGTTTTGGAAATACTTTAGAAAGCTTGAGAGGATTCGACAGCTATACTTTCATTGTTCAATTCACTGTAAAATGCAGATTTGCAACTGGTGCCGGCTAGAATATAATGGAATAGTAGACTATTTCGGCTACGCATACTCTGCGAATGAAACTTTTGAGTTTTGATACAGTGTTGGACCTGTGTTTAGCGCGTTGCAACATAATCCTTCACGTTATAACATTTGCGTTAGCTATATATGTTCATTTATTACATTATGATCAGCCTCTGATATGTGAGAAAAGCACACACCTTCAGTTACAGTGCGATTACACCTCAGCAATGCGGACATATTTTTAGAGGAGCAATGCGAACATAGGCGCGTGCAAGTATGCAACTACGGCCTTTGTCGACGTCAAAAGGTAAAAATAACAATAGAAATGACCTTTGTGTTGCCTATCACACTAGTACTTCCGATTGTTCTTCGAAGGAGGTGGGATCAAACATAAGTTTGTGTTTAGTTTCTGAAATTGGACCTTATGTTTAGTTTTTGAAATTGGGAGAAGTTTGGGGAAAATTGGTAGTTTGAAAAAAAAGTTAAGAGTTTATGTGTGATTGTTCTTCGAAGGAGGTGGGATTAAACATAAGGTTGTGTTTAGTTTGTGAAATTGGGAGATGTTTGGGGAAAGTTGAAAAAAAGTTGAGAGTTTATGTGTGTAGAAAAATTTTGGATGTGATGTGATGGAAAGTTGGGAGTTGGGGGAAGTTTAGTGTGAACTAAACATGGCCTAAGTATTGCATTGCAAACATAAATGTTTATACTAATTTTTTTAAAGAAAGGGTATTTTTTACCTGGCCTCTACATCCAACCGGATATATATGGCCATTGAAATAGGGAATTGAAATAGGGAACTTAGCCCCACAAACAACCCAATCTGAAATTTGTTCCATAGGAGATTTGAACTCAGGACTTTGGGTACTACTTAAGTCACTATAACCACTAGACTACGTGGACTTTCATAAAAAAATGTTTACTAATAAGAGTATATATATATAATGCTAGGAGGCAAGTCATTGGATATAGTAGTAGCTGTGACGTGTCTACAACTTTCTCATAATGCACTTCATCCGAAATTGCTGAAAGGCGAACGGTAGCAATTGCTCATTGACAAAACTTCGCCTATAAGTCTACGCTATTCGGTAAGCTAGCAGTTTTCTTTAGAAAAATGAAAAGGAGTGAACGTCGATGCCATACATATTTTCTCATTTAGCTAACACACCGTGCTAATTACGATGTGAACTTTGTGATTTGTGAACCACGGAAGAAGCAGGGTCATCGTGTAAAACTTCACCTCCACGTCGTGCTCGCTTGGAAGCACTCGCATATGACGCTCGAGACTCGAGTGTCGACTCGACACGGCTCTCCACCCAATCACAAAGTCTATCTGCATTCTGGCAATAAACGATCTTCTTCGCACGTTCGCCCGCTTAGAAAATCTCTTCGCTCGGAGAGAGCCGATCAGCCGAGACGACCGCGTCACGTCAAGCGTGAATTTCCCCGAAGGCCACGTCAAAACGCACGCAGCTACACAGAACGGACGGTGTGGGTGCTGCATTTGGGAGAAACGAAGGCTCTAAGTGCAGTCCCAACCTTCCACCTAGGATAGTGTCTATGGCATTAACTACATTGCTACGTAGAACTTTTAGCTTATATGGCATTATATTAATTAAGAGAGAGAGTGAAGAGAGGAAGAAACTGGGTCTCATGCAAGACACAGCTTCAACAAGAGAACCTATGCATTATACACTATCAAGTTTTGTATTGGGAGAGAATAATGTCTTTATAATAGATGAAGAATAAATATGATAGGTAGAGAAGAGAGATGATGTATTTATTAATGGTCCACTTTAAAAAACCATAGATTGTAGAGTGTAGTTTATATTGTGATGTCTTACTGACATAGAATTATAGGCATTACTTATAGACACTATGGGTTGGGACTGTCCTGGTGCGCGATTACTAACGTGGAATCCGCACTGGGAGCAAGACCGCTAAAGCCACGTCACGTCACCCTCTCCGTCGTCCAGGCGCGGGCGCGTCATTCGGCGGTCGAAAAGCACAAGCCCGATGGTGACACGAACGAGTTCATCGTCCTTTTAATTCGTCGTCCAAACCAAACCCGCGCAAGCCAATCCACCCCGGCCTAGTCTGCACTGCTAGTGTACTACTCCGTCAATATTTATTTAATAGATTAGATGAGATAAGAGGAGCAAAAGACCCCACTTGCTTAGCCTCCAATCTAACCCCGGAGAACTACTGGAGTATCGCGCGGAGAGCGGAAGAGAGAGCAGAGGCTGTGGAGGCGGAGAGCGGAGAGCGAGCGGACATGGCGGCGGCGGCGGCACCGGCGCCGGCGGAGAGCAATGTGGAGTTCATCCGCGCGCGGAGCGACAAGCGGGAGTACCGCCGGGTGGTGCTCCCCAACGCGCTCGAGTGCCTCCTCATCAGCGACTCCGAAACCGACAAGGTCTCTCCCTCCCCGATCGCTCTCGCTTGCAGAATGCTCGTCGGTTCATCGGCGATTTCTCGCGTGATTTGGTGGTGTGGTGCGTATGCGTGTGTGCGTGTGTTTAACTAACCCCTAATTCCTCGGCGTTGCAGGCGGCGGCGTGTATGGAGGTTGGCGTGGGCTCGTTCAGCGACCCGGAGGGGCTCGAGGGCCTCGCCCACTTCCTCGGTCAGTCCACCGTTCGCTTCCGCTCCCTCCCTCCCTTCTCGTCCCTCGTCTCCGCTCACTTCGCTTCGATTTTCTCGATTCGTTTCGTGTGCGCAATCCGCCACCGGATTCGTGTAGTGGGGAATCAGAGTAGGCAGTATGGGGGGGGGTACTTGCGTGTTCGGTTCGACAGGACACCTGGCGCTTCCCTTTCTCTGCGATTCGCTTGCGCCGCATGGTGGATGAATCCCCTTTTGGGATCCGGCCGGGGTCTCGAATTGTCTCCCATGGAATCGGGATGCTCATTCCTCGGCGACCTTTCCCCACTGCTACTTTTGTGGGTCAATGACGTTTTCATAGGTATAAAGTTGAATGTACAATTCTTTTCTGCGAAGGAAATGCAGACTTGTTTTGGCCGTCGGATCATGCAGCTGACGGTTCAGATCATTGATGGTCTGATGAAGGAACTGTCATCTCTGTTCTTCAGCGTGATCCATTGAGGGCATCCGTGATTGATCGTACGGGACGCACATGATCGGCCTATGCTGTGGCTTCTGATGTACGAGCAGACGCCCTTTTATTAACAGGATGTACGAGCAGACGCCCTTCTATATTGCCTTTTTATTTCGTTTAGTCGGCACAATGTTATTCACGGATGGTCAGCTGGCCAGACTGTAGGAAATAGAGCGGGTCATTCTTCAAATAATTTATCTTGCTCTGCTCCTGCACGTTGTTGCCTAGTAGGATTTTTGTCAGCTTGCTCACAAAAATGTCCCTTTACCTTTGTCTATATATGTACAGAACCAACGCATTGATTTTGACTGGTGAGTAAATTCCACCTTTTAGTGATAAAGGATCAGTCAGCTACACTCGCAGGGGTGCACCAATTCATTGGCTCACTGGTTATCGTAAGTCCTGCGCTACACCTAGTCACCTACACATGGGGTACTGTACCAATTCATTGCAAGTACTTGGGGGGGGGGGTACTTTCTGCACATTCGTGACAGTACCAACCCTATGTATGTGAAGGTAGCGGTGTAAGTGGCTAACCCGCGAAACCCACTTATAGGCTAAAATAAGCGCGAACCCGCTTATTTTGATCTATAAGTGGGTTCGCGGCTGACCCACTTACACCCCTATGTGAAGGTATACTGCAGATGAAACCATGTAAAGTTAAATTGAAATTCTACCCTAGAGAGTTGCATAGTTTTCTAAATATTTTGTTTATCATCTAAAGGCAAAATGTTTGATGAAAGCAAACTGTACTGGAATGGACTATGGAGAAAATGATTAGCATGACAAATGTTAGCCCGGACCCTGGACTTTAAAATTCAGTAATCATTCAGGCATCCTTTGGAACACATAGATTTTTTTTTTGGGAATACGCGAGGGGCACATCTTTGTATTAAGAAGGAATAAAAGTATTCTTTGGAACACATAGATTTCACAGTAATTATATAGTATTCTCACACAATTCAGTTCAGTTCCTGCAGGAATTAAGAAAATTCCTGGATTGACTTAAAGTCTTTTATCTGTTTTCTTGTCTTGATTTATTGTCGTGGTCTTGTTTGCAGAGCATATGCTATTTTATGCCAGTGAGAAATACCCTGGGGAACAAGATTACACGAAGTATATCACAGAGGTACTTTCAATTAATCAACTCTAAATATAAAGAAACACTGGTCTTCATTTCATTTCATTGTATTTTGGGGTAAAGTATTATTCACACAATATCATGATATGCTGACACAACCACATCAGATTTGTATGAGATCAGCCCAGTTTCAGGGTTACCTACATCATATTTAGATGTCAGATCAGTAGAAATGTAGCAAACAACGAGACAATATAAGAGATGACGAGAAAGGGAAACTGGTTTGTATGTGTGCAAACTGCAGACCAACTGCTATTTAATATTTGGTTGTTCCCCTAAAGTCAGGTTATATCCCATCGTGCTCTGTTGAAGTGAAATCCCATGCTTGCCAGCGTGGCATTATGTCGTGGTGACGTTTAAGAGGAGGGGCAGTGTCCTGATTAGCAATAACATTTTAATCCTCATCTTGTCATCTGTCGCAAGTTGTTTAAGAGCTACACCTTGCACAATTTCTCGAACATCAAAAAATATTTTAATGCTTGGAAATCACATACCTAGACTATATTTTTGACAATTGTTTGATGTGAAAAATATCAGCATGGTGGCTCTTGCAATGCCTACACAAGTTCGGAGACAACAAATTTCTATTTTGATGTCAATGTGGCCAATTTTGAAGAAGCATTAGACAGGTAAGATTTTTTTGGTAGTGCTTTTAGTTCATTTATTGTATATGTGTGTGCGTGTGTGTCTGTGTTGAATATGGTGGGGGTTTGTTCTGAAGATTGTCATGCTTTTTATTGGAAAATAACAAATTGGTGGCTCGGTTGTGCAGATTTGCTCAGTTTTTTATTAAGCCATTGATGTCGCAAGATGCTGTTC